CATGCATTGCATCAAAGATTTGTGCACTATAAATGTTATCATAAAATAACAGAAAAATCAATGTTTCGTATTGTGTCAGGGTTCTGTGTAGACATTTAGACTGTAGAAGAGTGCATCGTCTCCAGCTCCACCCACATCTTATAGGCGGCTTATAGACGAGCCATGATTGTAAGCAATTATGCAAATGATCCCTATATTGCAAAGTATATATATTTTAGCAGTATTCCAATGAGTAAGTTAATAGGTGTGTGAATGTAAATTTCCAGTTTTTAAGTAATCTTTAATGTCACAATTTTGTTGTGATTTTAGCTATGCCCCACATATTTGAACCAGATGGATGTCTGAAAATAGGCTATCAGAGAGATATGTTACTTCAACTATTGAAATTCATACATGTATTTTTGTTCAAAATTGGAACATTTGAAGTGTATTAACATGATTAAGGATGATTGTTTCCACATCAAGAAAACACAATCAGTAACCAAATGCCGAAAAATATGAGGCTGATTTTTCAACAACTATTCTATAACTATAAAGGATTCAGATCCCTACTGTCAACCTTTCTTATCGAGATACCCCCAAATATTTATTTTGGCTTTTATTTACCAAGCAAGATTCCTGCATATCCCGTAATAAAATTTTTTAAGAAATTATGCAATTGCATGTATTTCTAAAAATGTTACTAAATAAAAGAAAATGTAGTTGTCGTTAGCTCACCCTGTATATTTTATGAGTCCAAAATATGTTCTATAATATATAGAGTTCAAAGTATGTTCTGAACTCAGTTGATCTCTAATCAATGAATTCCTAGAAATGAATATTATTATTTTATGTATGGATGTGACACATGGTATCACCATCAAAGGCACATGACACATCTTATCTTGAAGTACAACAATTGAATATTGTTATAAAATGAATTTTAATTAGAAGAAAAATAGTTACAGTTCACTGTCCAGAAAAAGTTTTAATCCTTAGGGAGACACTTATCTACATTATTTTATTCAATTAATATGATTTATTACTTGAAACGTATTATTTTACAAAGAAGCCATCCATCGTCCATTTATTTGTCTGTTTGTCTGTGTGGGCCATAACTCAGATACTGGTTTTCGGATTTTGTCCAAATTGTTTAGGCTTATCTTTTATGGGCATAGGAACGGACCTTCATGGGCATAGCAAGGGGGTGCGATAGGTACAAAAAAGAAAGAAAAAAAGCAAATCTGTAGAATTTGTGGAAATTCTGGTTTGAAATGCTTAGAACGCACTGTATACAATGTTGATTTTGAAAAAATCTGGGATGAACCCCCGTACCCCACTTTTTGGTGCTTGCTTTGCTGGCAGTTTAAATTTTATAGTCTAATGCCCAAGGATGAAGAATGATGGTTCAAGAAGAAATTATTGATATGGTTGAATGCAAAATGGGGCCATTTTTTCAGTGGTGGTTGGATTTTGTACAAATTTCATTTGATGATATCTAAGGAATAATGGCACTTAAGCTCAAGAAGAAATTCTCAAGATGGCCATTGAATTCAAAAAAGTTCTAAGGAAGGAATTTCATGTCACATCATGGGTTTAGATTTAGCCAAATAAAGACAAGACCTGTCACCATTCCATTGATCTGTTTTGTGAAATGATCAAAATGTTGCGTGGTTTGATAAAATGTTTTGTTCATTGGGATTTGTTACTTCGGGGAGTTACTGTGTTTCTAGAAAGTGTATATTTGAGTGGAACAATCCAGGGCAGCATGTACAGCCCGAGGGATGTTAAAAAATCAAATATGGTGTACTTTTATAATAATGAAAATAATTCACCTTTTGAACTCATAAACTTACTAAGCCTCAGGATGCCTGTGCTCATAAAGCTCATCCATATATATTTAAATGATATCTGTTAAGATATTTTAGATTGTGATAAACCTACTATTATTATGCATATTAATGTGATTTTAATAGATAAGATATTTATTAAACAACAGAAGTAAGAATGTCGAATTTAGTATGGTGGCATTATATAATTTGCCTTATTTGCACAGACAACAAACACCTACAGCCTAAATGGAACACACTTATTGAATTTATAATGTCATTTTAAGATATAACTGGTTACTAACCTTTAAGGAAACCTTGGGGTCATCTAGGGAATGACCTTTTTAGACTGTTATAAAGGAAATGTGTTACGCCAAAATCCTGAGGAAAGGCTATAAGGCTAACAGTCTACACATATTACACCCCTTACAAGGAATCTGGGCAATGCATATTTCTAAGCCCCTGTGATATAATGAGGGTGATTTTGTGGTCGTTTATGTGGTCGTTTATGTTTTTTGTTTTTTATCATACTTCATAATTCTGCTTGTTAGGCTGTTTAAATATACCAATCTAAGAGACAAACATATAAACTCAAAGTAAAGTTGAACTTGTATCATGTTGGGGTTGAAATTCATACTGTGCCTATTTTAGCAGTCATTAGTGGTGATTAGTAACATAAGCCCAATGTTTATTTTTTAGATATCATATGTAGACTATCTATCAAGCTTTATTACATACTATATTACACCATTTGAATGTTCTATACTGTTACAGAATGAAATATTTGAAAGATTTAAAGTAAAATGACATTAGTCCAATCTAAAGAGATAAAATAAATTATTTTTTGAAATTTTTGGAACGCCACACATTTTTACATAAATATTTTATAATTTTGAACTTTCGAATAACAAATGTGCTCATTGTATTTTCAGGTTGACCCCAAGTTCTTGCGTAATCTGAGGTTTTCCAAGCGCCACAACAAATCCCAGAGCCATCTTTTGGGTGGAGACAAGAAATAGATGTGAAATTTAGAGACTTTGGCAAACTGCTTCAGTTCCTATGTAAATAGTAAGCTGTGGAATAAATACATGCCGTGCGCAACTCAGTTCGATGTTTATTGTTCAGTTATTTATGTTGATTAGTGTACTGTATTTGTCTTTAATTTGATGGGCATTTGCATATGGTGGCCAATCAAAAAAATCACCAAATTAGAAACTCGCCGAAATCCCTGGGAATTTGATGTTTTTTGTTTGGAACACTTCCAGAAATATATACCAAGATGGCCGAGGCCGTTTAAATTAAGAAATATTCGAAGAATCAACAAAACTGACAATGACTATCTCTAATTGAGTTAGACACCCAACAGGATAGGTTGGCTAATGATGTAGCATCTTATAACATTAGGTATCAGTTGTTACACAATGTTACAAGTCAGAACAGAGGTTCTTATTAAAAAAATGGGATAATGAAGACAAGGCCATTATATCTAAATATGCAATTGAATATGAGAATATGGCAGCTGCTTAGGGTGGTAAAAATCATAGATTTGAATGTACAAATATTCAACTCACATTACATCTCATCCCCTTGAAAAACTGCCAAATTAAAGAGACGCCAACATTTAGTCTGATATCCCAAAAATCACCAAATTAAAGATAAATACACTATACAACTACTTTACAGTAATATGCAGATATAGAGAAGCCCTCCATCAGTCAGTCAGTCAGCCAAGGAAGTGGTTTACTGGATAAAATATGAGCATTTAGCATTTATTTCAAGTTTTCTGCCAGACCCATAAGTTTCCATTGATTTTGAGATCTCTCTAAAGTATTGTTTTATTATGTTCAACTAAAGGTATTAAAGAGAGAAGGGGGGGGGGGGTGCAAAGGGGGTACTGATGCAAGACTATGTTAATAGGTTGAAATAATATACCATTACATGAACAATAAATAAATATTATGAAATAAATATTTAAGTTTCATTTAACTGGCCTTTTACCCAAATTCTATCTTACTGGCAATAAAAATAAAAATGTCTTGGACTGAATTCTCTTAACCACTCCAATTTTCTGGCTGGAGTAAACATTATGAATCCAAACGAATGTATGTTTAGGGATGAGAGTGCACCTGAATATATAATAAATACATAATGTTGATTTATATCCATGTTCTAGGCATCATTAATCCATTTATACATTTTGATTGATGAGAGATATCCCACCTGAGGTAACAGGGAAATAACCTATGTCAACTGAATACCTCATCAACTGAATCAGTGAATAACCTCATCAACTGAATCAGTGAATAACCTCATCAACTGAATACCTCATCAACTGAATCAGTGAATAACCTCATCAACTGAATACCTCATCAACTGAATCAGTGAATAACCTCATCAACTGAATCAGTGAATAACCTCATCAACTGATATCTGATATTACAAAATTAAATTGCAACATGACCTAGGATTCCAGTATGATATAATAAAAAGTAACAAGGAAACAATAGACTATGAATAGGTTCATACCACACCATTAATTCTGCTTATATTTTTCCCTTGAGCCCAGTAGAGAATCACTCATGAGATTGATAACTGTATAGAATATAGGAGATGCAGGATGATGGAACGCAGAATAACTCTATTTTGTTGCTACTATATATAGTTTAATGTACTTATCATATAGAGAGGAGTATAATTCTATTTACTGAGTTGATTAAAAGGTATTGTGTTGAATATTATGGATATTGCGATACCAATCTGATTATTTTGATAAAAGTACATGTAATATTGTAAAAGTAGTTATTAAACATGAGACTAGTGCTGAATGCTTTTACATCAATGAGTTATGTTTTAATCATTCATTACTTCCCATGAGGAATACATTAAATAACTTTATAAGCAGCACTTTCTGCTTGTTGATTTATGCTTCATATGTGTTTTATGAGATCTGCAGTCATATGTGTTTAAAATGCCTTAAAGCATAATGGTATAAACAGCCATAAAAAAGTCAAATGGAAAACTGAATAATCTATTACTTGTATTAGTACTAGATTTTGAACAAACTATTTCTGTTATTATCAGATCTTAAGAAAATGCTCAGAGTAAATGAATTAAACACGAATTATGAAAGGGCCGAGCATAGATCTCTTTATTTTCACAAGGTATGCTACTTAAGTTAATACTACGTGAGCAATCAAGCATTGTTATTTTCAAGAAACCTTATTCTGTTGCATATCATCTTTTCTGTGGGACATACTTTAATCCCTCTGTCCTTGTCCCGTCATGTTTATTCTGTTATATCATTTTCTACCATAAAAGTTCAATAGTTCTATTACATTGGTTTGATTTGGTTTGTTTTTCCAGAGTAAGTCAATCACATTATATTTTTGAAGATGTACTCTAAAGTAGTGTGTCATCAATCATATTAATTGAATTCTCTAAATATATGGGAATCTGCGAAATGTCATTTAACACTTTAATATGCACTTTGGATGTACTCTTAGTGAGTGTTTTAGGAATCTGTTATTTAGTAATATTACAGTAAAAGCTGTGTTGTCGAACCAATTTACAGTATCTGAATGTATTTGTGCATTTTTGTTTGGTGGTATTTCCCCGCATTTTCATTCAGCATATTATGCAGACTACTTCCAATCAAAATGTGCGGGACATTGTGCTCTAAAATTGCTCAGAATGCACCAAATGATGACAAGTTGTAAGTGTAACTTATGCATTATCAGATCGCAACATCTTACCAATCATTTGGCAAGGGGGTCTTTTTCATAAAAATGTCTAAGTTGGTACCTTGCCCGCAGAGTTTAGTTACAAACTACCCTCTGCCTAGTACATGTAGTATAGACTATATTACAGTTTAGCAGCCCCACCCCCAAAGATTGCCAATCTTAGATGCCATCTTAGCTCTCTATTACGAACTGAAGTTGAACTAATACAAAGGGTATTAAGTTGGAGGCCCTGGGTCACAAATCGGATGAAAACGATTTCAAATAACCTCCCCTTTAATCATATTAGATAATACGTGCTGGCATGGGCAGCGTATCTTCTGAACAAAATGTGAACTTTCCTGTTATTAACTTTTCACTTTGTCTCTAGCGAAAAAAATGTGCTAATAGTGCACTTCTGGGATCTTTTTGATAATGTACTCTTAGTATTGATTTCTTGTGATGCTGTGTAGTGGTAATTGGCATGAATGTAGCACATTTAACAAAAAATATCCTTGGCAATCTTAGGAATTTTATTCCCATTGGCAATTCTCTAGAGTTTCATAATCATTTGAATTAATCCTATCGGTCTATATATGAAGTTTCAGTGAAAAAGTTTGGGTGAAATAAAGCCGGTTATTCGTCTTTGCTGTCCTTTTAACATACAGTAATGGCATTTGAGCATGGTATGGAATGTACTCCCAATGGCCATCTGTTAAGATGTCAATTTACGGAGAATGACTGACAGGGCAACAGTTCATTATCTCTTAGTACAAAAAGTACATATTACTTATCGATTCTCTTTACTTGATCTTGTTACAAATGGTTTATTGTTGTACTTGACACTGTTTACAAGACACAATACTAGGTAATAGAATCTATATAGGTGTTTGCAGAGAGGAGTTGTCAGTTTCACATGGGGACAACAGTGGGTCACATATATTGAAACTAACAGATATTTGAGATCAAGGATTATGAGAATGTAATGTAACCAGAATTTGCCCTTGGAGAACATATTACTAAGGATTTCTCCATCTAAAATGTCACTCGACTTTTTGGCAATTAAAAGTCACTGCCTGCATTTAGTAGTCATATATTGTCATGTGCATAATTTTGAAACCATATCCTAATTATTTCACAAACCCTTTGTTGATTCTGCCATAGTTTCCAATTTGTAAACAGCATTTAGCCTTTTTAATTGGGAACTTTTTTGAAATTTCCAAAATGGCTGCCATGTGATTCAAGAATTAACATGAGTGTGACGTGACATCACACTTGCTCGTTCCTAGGTAACAACAAGATCACAATTGCTCGTTTCTAGATAGCAACAAGATTTTTGATAAAATGGCACAGAATTACCCTGATTAACACCCTTAAAATCCGATTTTCAAGGAATATATTTGGAGAAACAATAAAAGGTAAGTGGAATAAATTAGAAGATGGTTTCAAGTTACCACAGAAGTCAATTTGAAACTCAAGAATGCTTTCTTTGACTCATAATCACAAAAAAGTCGAGTGACATTTTAGATGGAGAATTTCTTAGCTTCATTTCAGCCCATTACATTATAAAATTCTCCCTTAGTTTAACATTATGAGTTTCACTTTTCATTTCCAGAATTTGAAAAGTGCCTCACAATTTTAAAATAAAATGCAGTACTTAATGTACTCATGAACTTAAAGACCTAATATTGTTTTTTGCAACCATACCTTGTTACCATATAATAGCACATGATTAAGATACCCCTATAAGGGTGTTGCCATTAATCATTGATGATATTCAAATGAAGGCTCTTTAATCGATTTTAAATATGATATTGCCTTCCACACTTGTGCTATTTTCTAACATATAGTTCAGGTTAATACTTATGGCTTTGTATATAACTGGAAAATGAAAATATTTATGACAACAAACATCCCTTCATAGAAATCAATACATTGTTTTTTTATCTTTGTACATTTGTGTAGAGTCTGAAGATCCCTTGGTACACTTCCTAGTAAGCAAATAATTCTATAGTCTCTTTGTGAAATCAGACTTCAAAAATATAAACAAAAATAAACACAGATTATGTTATATGAGATAAGCCAAAGTGCTTAATGCAAATCTAAAAATAAAACTGATTCATTGATCCTTATACTTGAGGCAATCAAATTAATAATTCATCCATTGTAAACATAATTTTAAAAATTGTCATGTTGTTCCCTGTCAACACCCGACTAAATCAAGGCCTATGGGAATGCTATTTAACAGAAAAGGGCTGGCAGGCTCATTCAAAGAACATACAGTTACGCTTGCCTTATTTAAACTCTACTAGGAAAGAATTAAAGGGAATATATGAAGAGGTGTTCACATTTCAAGGTTTCTTTAACATGGTAGTGAATGAGAGATTTGAAACTTGGGCGGAAAAAGTGTTCACATTGAGAGGTGATAAGATTACAGAGGTGTTCTTATATACGAGTTTTACTGTAGTCACCTTCTTAAACTAAAAGCAACTGAAAATTGCACCCACCCTGAACATTACTTTTCACCTAATTGTAACAACATAACACCTTCAAATATTACACTATTAATGGCAAAAGTGATATATCAGATGCTATATTCTGAAGAACCTTGAGGCATGTAGCCAGTTTTTTCCAAGGGGGGGGGGGTCACTTTTTAAAAAATTCCAGGGGGCTTCACATTTGACAACTATGGCCCAAAAATGAAAAAAAAAAAGAAAAGTGCTCAGAATGTTCAAAAAGTGCATGCTTTAGAAAGAATGTTTGGCCGGGCAGGGGTACAGACCTTTTCTGAAAACTCCATATATAGTAAAACCTGTTATGTGGAACATCTCTGTAAATAGAACACATCCATATGTGTAACACTTCTGTTGCCCATTAACTTAATGTGAAAGGTGCCTCTGTCAGTGAAACACTTTCTTAATCAAACACTATTTTGAGAAATAACCAAAGCTGTTCCACTTACTAAGGTTTAAGTGTATCAGGATATCTTGATAATGTTTTGATTTGATTTAATTTCTTGATTTCTTGTCAAATATCTTGATCAGTTATGATTTCCCTCATTTTTTTAGCCATTCAAAGTTAATTATATGTTGAAGGGCCCTATTTCATGTTAGTGGGAAGTGAAAATCAGACTTTCAAAAATCTTTTTTTTGTTCTACTTAATTATTATGATTTAAGCAGAAAAATACTATAAAAATACAAAAAGGGCGAAAAATAACATCATAGTTACATAACCTATTTAACGAAGACAAAACTGAAGCTGGGATATATCTAGCTTTATAATGTTATGTTTTGAGGGCCTCGGTAAAATGCCTTGTTAATAAAGATGGCGTTCTACATTTTCAACATTTCTTCTTATAGTTTTGTGATTGTGTATTAGGTTTGTATCAATATTTGGAGAACTTTATTTCAAGTTAGGTTTTCCCTCTTGAGGCACTTGTAGTAAAATAAACTATTTATCTTGAAATACTATGATTTTCACAATCAAATTAAAATAGAACTAATATTTACACCATATCCTAACAAAATTAACATTTGGGGTATTAGTATTATTACTGATTAGCTCTAGTAGATTTCCAATCGTCTTACATGCGTTTGAATGATTCAAATAGTTTTCCTGTTTTAATTGCTAAAATCTAAAAACAATTGGTTGATATAGTGATATAAAAAGAATATTAAAATTAAATGATTATAAGATTTATTGTTAGTATGACCCCCCCCCCCATATTGACTTCAGTTGTATTTAAAAACATTTCAATTTCAGCGTCATGACAAAATCAATGTGCAATATTTGTTTTACTCTTATCTTGTCAAGATAAGCACTCGATAAGTATAACTTATATGTATTTGCCTTCTGATAAAAATATAAATTCAAATATAACACAAATGACATTGAAAGTAGAATCACTGACTATAAATAGCCTAACCCTTCTTGTTTGATATAATACATACATATATAATCACATAAACTTCATGTGGATTAGCAATATGACTAATGTGTATTCAGAATTCTCACCCCAACTTTAATGATACTTTAATTTTTTTCTAAATTGTCATGATAACTCAATTGAACACCCACCTTTTTCTGAATAACCCTTGTCTATTGTTTTTTATAACAACAGGTGACATTTCTATATTTCAAGATTTAAATTCCAAAACTTTCAGTATAAAATTGGTCAAAAATGTGATACAAAAATACATTGAAGTCCAATAAGATAAAGAATTCATTGAAGCATGTTATTTTTCAAAGTACATGTATGACTATATTCTGAAGTTTTTAACATGTAAAACAAAGTATTCAATCGTTCAATGGCCTTAGTTGGTAATACCGACATGAATTTACACACGTTTTAATTCATTGTTAAATAATAGTTCGTGCTGTTGAACACGTGTACACATGGATATATTACAACTTAAATAAAAAATGAGTTGGCGATAATTTAGATAAGATTTGGCATGACACATATGTTGTACTATAAAGCCTAACAAAATGAATTTCCAAAAATTCTAGAATCTTCTCTGTTGGTAATTCGAACAAGTGAAAATTTTGTTTAAATCCTTCATTTTGGTTGTTATCTACAATTAATGTACTAAAATATTTTTGAAGTTATTTTTTCTCTGATATACGCAGGCGATAATATGACAACATTTACAGTACTTTATATCTGAAGGGGCTTTTGAAAAATTGATTTACCTTTTTTAGTAGATCTATCATGTCAAATCGTCTTATCTCAATCGACACTTGTGTACACATGTGACGTCACAAATCTTGAACCTTAGACTGCAATAAGTGACTCAGTTCTCGACATTTCTAAAGATTGATTTAATATAGGACAGGACGATATTGATCATTGGGAAATCGTAACATTTTCAGAGAAGTCATTTTCAGCACTACAATTTTAATGTATGTGGAATTGTAAGGCGATTTCTTTCTTGAAATAGATAAATACAGGGTGTGACACAAAAAATGCCACCTTCTAATTTTGGTATAACTCTCTCAATTATTAAGGAATCTTTGTAATTTTTTGTGAAATCTTCAAAAAATGTTCAAAAATTTAATTTTCTGAAATTGAGATTTCTCTCTTAGCCATTATATGTAGTGATTTGTTGATTGCTTTCACGAGCTTACACTTATATATTATTTATAGTGTTTCATATCTACCCATTTTCCTTGATAATGTCAAATTTGATGAACCGCTTATTGGGTAAATTTCCGCACTCTATCTACTCATAAAATATTATGAAGATTCCTCAATTTTTGAGAAAGTAATTCCGAAATTAGTGCATGTTATTTTTTGTGTCGCCCAGTACCTGCTAAAATATGGTCGTTTTCTAATCCAGTAGTTTCCCAATAATTTCGTCTTGAACACAGCATTTTTTATAAAGATTATACTGTATTATTGAATAATGGTTGAATTGTCCTTTGGTAGTTTTTAAAGAATAATGGAATTTCTGAGAAACTCTTAGTTTAATAGTAGAGAAGATCTGCGGGATGATTGGGTATAAAAAATATATTTTTCAGGTTTTATTCAGCTCTAAAAATGAAAATATTCAGAGTGTAAGGTCCATCTTTACAGTTTATGCCCATGGTTTTGCCTCCATTGTCTTGGAGAATAAAATGAAGCATAAACTCGTGATTTTGTATTATTTCTACTTCTCCAGCAGTAGGTGTGTCCATCATGTTCATTTACAACAGGGTGTGTCTATATTTATGATGTGAAGCCAAATAAGTTCTTAATCATGTAGGTTAAGAAGCCTTGGCTGTCTCTTGAACAAAGACATCCTTTTTTAACCTGTGTCATGTTTTTTTCTTACACTTGAAACCTGATGAAAGAAATCATGTAACATCTCAGTCTATTGTTTCTGGCTCACAATGTGAGCCTATGGGGTAATCCTCTTAGTCATTTTGTTTATTTTACACAAAATTCTGCAATCCATTCAAATAATGGTTATATGATAAGCTAATTCTACTGATCATATTAAGTTATTGTGTATTGTTTAGATTGTATGTTATTTATTTGTAGATTTAGCTATACCTACTTTTGCAACTTCATGTTTCAACTTAATGAAAATATGACAAAAGTTCAAAAAGTATATCGGTACTCATGCCAAAATTATTGGTCACTTGTTCATTAGTATTGCTTTTATGGCAATGATTTTTTTTTTATTATGTCAACACCAGAAGTGTTGACAAGTTGTCTCAAACATTTTTTGCTGGTGTTCAACGGTTTGTGTTTGATGGTTAGTGTTTGGTGGTTGGTGTTTGGTATATGTTACAGCTTTGTTATTAGTATTTATCTTGGATTGCAATGTTAGCAGTATCAAAATTACAGTAAATCTATAGTTATTTGTGCTCTATGCTCAGTATTTGTGGACTTAAACAAGTAGTATGAATTTTTCACATTCTTAATATTTTCTCTAGTTGGGCCCATACTGCCAGAGCAATGACAAAACCGTAGGGTGCCACACGATACAGCCAAAAAGGAATGCTGAAGAATAGAAAGTTATGGTGACTGTGAGGAAAGTTGTATGACTAATGATATTTAAAGTAGTCTGTACAATGTACTATTGATAAACTCTGTTAGACTGTGTAACTTGTAGAACTCTTGATTAGCTTAACCACAAATCTGATTGTATTATCATTGCCTATTGTGAAATCATTAATCAGTGTCTTCAGTCCTATTACATATCTTGTTGGCCTGTACGTAATTTTGTATTAATTTGTAAACTTGGTCATTGGTTATCTTTAATAACCAAATAATTTAATATTTGAATGGTGGTTTATAACATGATAAATATAATAAAGACATTGGATAGAATCTTTCAAAATTGTGGCAATGTTGGCAGGAGTTGTATCGTGTTAATCCCTTAAAGGAGTTGTACAGTGTATATTCTTAAAGGAGTTGTACATATAGTGTATATCCTTAAAGGAGTTGTACAGTGTATATCCTTAAAGGAGGTGTGCAGTGTATATCCTTAAAGGAGTTGTTCAGTGTATATTCTTAAAGGAGTTGTATTGTGTTAATCCCTTAAGGAGTTGCACAGTGTATATCCTTAAAGGAGTTGTACAGTGTGTGTACATCACTTAAAAGAGAAGTATGGTGTACAGTAGTACAGTTTAAAGTGTATTTTGAATTATTTTTGTATTCAAATAGGTCAAACCATTAGGAAATAGTGTGTCTAAGGTATAGCAATATAAAATATATTTTGGCATAACTTTCCTTTAAAACTCATGTTAATACAGGGTGGGCCAAAAAAAAACACCCCCCTAGCCAATATTTTTGATAAATATTCAATTTTTAACATGCACACCAACAATGATATATCATTTTAAAGATAATTTAATTTGCAACAAAATGATATATAATAGAACAATTGTTAACAACTCTGGCTCGAGATATAACCATTTATGTGACATGGGGGTCAAAAAACACCTTTTCAATTTTCGTCTATTTTGCGAACAATTGCCTATTTCTACCAAATTTTAGTATATTACAACATTGTCATGAGTCTTTCATAATTGGATATTATATATTGTTTTCATTCAGTTTTTGAACCTTGCATGCTCAATATACATGTGTATGCTTATAAAACTAATCCATTTCTTCTTCAGTCTGTCCAAATATGGCTCAATAGACTCACCCCCGGACCAAACTTCTGATTTGATTTCTCGCTTAAAACGCGAAAGCCATTGTTATAATTGATGGACCTCTGCAGAAGTACCATCCAACACCTAATTATTCATTCTTTCAGTATGTCTACACCCCTGATGGGCTAGGGATCTCCATAGGCCAACTGTTCTAAATGCCCAAAGTACTATATATGTAATCAAAAGGCTATACTCTATATCAGTAAGCAAGAATAGTGACATTTGCGACAAAAGGCTACTCAAATCGAGATGACATTTTTCTGAAAGGTAGGTGGTGTCCACTAGGTGTTTCCCAAAAAGGAAAGACCATACAGGCCCTGTTTTTTGAACCAGGAGCAAAAATAAACTCTGAATGTTAATGACATGAGGTGGTAAAAAGGACTCCTCAAGAATATAAAAAACGTGTGAAAGAAATTTCGTTTTTTGATAGAACAGTGCTCCATCACACAGGTCCAATGCTACCCTTGAGTTTTTGGAGATTCGAAATATCACCATCTCTAGCCCAGAAAATGGCTTACTGGCAGTCCAGTTGCCAATAATGTTGATTACCATACCTAGGGGCATCTAGAACAGTTGGTATTTAAATATACCCAGCCTATCAGGGATGTAGAGGAACTAAAAGAAAGAATAACTAGCAGTTGAATGGTACTTCCGCATACATCCACCAATTATGCCATCAACCAATGGCTTCCGCGTCTTAAGCGAATAATCCAATCAGAGGATGGGTCCGGGGGGTGGGTCTATCGAGCTATTTTTGGACAGACTGAAGAAGAAATGAATTAGTTTTATAAGCATATACATATATATTGAGCATGTGTGGTTCAAAAACTGAATGAAAACAATATATAATATCCAATTATGAAAGACTCATGACAATGTTGTAATTTACTAAAATTTGGTAGAAATAGGCAATTGTTCGCAAAATTGACGAAAATTGAAAAGGTGTTTTTTGACCCCCATGTCACATAAATGGTCATATTTCTGTATGGGGTTGTTAAAAATGGTGCTATCATATATCATTTTGTTGCAAATTAAATTATCTTTAATATGATATATCATTGTTGGTGTGATTGTTAAAAAATAAATATTTATCAGGAATATTGGCTAGGGGGGTGGTTTTTTTTGGCCCACCCTGTAGATTACAGTGTAATGTACACAAAATCCATTTTGTTTTCCTTGACCCTTATATCTCATTTGCAAGTATTGGTTGCATGCATATAGTACATCAAGAGCAGATCAATTCCCTTTGTTAGGACAAATTAAATAAAGGACATATTTTATACAATACAAAAGAAACACGTCAATTGCTGGGAAGTAAGAAACTATGTAGGATTCATGTCCCGATATGCCCACAAGATGCATCGCAATCAAAAATACAATAGCAATTATTGCGAAAACAATACCCATCTAAAGGTACATGTACTCAGCCTAAGAATTCAATAAACTATTTTGAGTGAAAAATGGTACAGCAAATCAATTTTCTTTGAGGATTCATCCAGGGAATTCTTTTGATCTTTTATGACGATCTTGATCTGCTGGTTATTATATAAAATCTTTATTATTTTGTATTGAATGCAATGAACACCTGGGGGCAACCTTTGATTGGATTCCTTCTTATTTTATTGTAGTTCGGGCCCATAGCCAGGGTATTTTCACCATTCTGAGCACTTTTAAGTGATTTTTCAAATTTGTCAAAAGTGAACCCCTCTGGATTTTTCTAAAAAGTGAATCCCCTTGGCAAAACTGGCTATGGGCCTGTACTTGTAACTTTAATTCTGCTTGCTTGCACTCTATGTGGTTCCAACAGCACATTTGGCAAGGTCATAGTCAATGAGTCAACAATCGGCAAATAAGAGGGTACAGAAAACTGTTCAATAATGAAATGAGAAAGTTGGATACAAAACATGATTTTTGCCCAATGGCAACATTGGATAACACTTATAATACTTATAGCATCTTTCTTGCTGTAAGACTAGAGTGAGTATGAAATACACTCCCCTCTATAAATTTGGCAATTGGAAGTTTTCATCTGGGAGCATAATAAAAGCCTGTCAATGTTTGAATGTTAATTATGTTCTTTAATTACTAGAGTTAGAAAAATTGATGATTTCTCTTAAATCACTAAATCTTAACAGGGTCTGATAAGTGATCCAAATGGGGGGGGGGGCTTTCACTTGCCAAACTTATGGAGGGGAGTGTAAATCACAGAGAAGGAATTTAGATTCAGCAAGACATATGATTCACAAACAGGTTTCATAAGGTTTTTCTAATCACCCATTCTTGTGTTACAGATTTGTGGTTTTGGAGTTTTTTTAATTTCATGTTATTAGGCTTGATGTGTCAAAAAATGAATTCATAACTTTTTATCTCATGTATCCAATGCTATTCATTTCTAAAGGTGTATATAAAGGGAATTTGCTTCCTTTCTCTTTGTTTGAGCTTATTCCTATCAGACTATATTTCACTTCTCACTTTTATGCTTTCATGTTGAATACCAAAATCAAATAAATTCTGCAGTAGCAGTATCTAAAACACCATTGACCTACACACAACATTGCATGTTATCTACAAAACTAATTATGAATTAGATATTTTTATTAGTGAGCAGAAAGTCTTGTTAATCATTGCATGTCTCATTCTGTCAATCATAATATACATTTGTACTTTATAATTAGTGACATGGGAGCCTGAAGTTGCCTGATTGTAGGTCAAATGGCAAAAGTAGGTCAAATTTCAACGATTTCATGGATAGGCCAAAATATAACCCACATAAATACTTGTACAATTGGATAATTGAATATAATTAATAAAATGAGCTCATCTTGAAACCATTGTGCAGTTGTGTGAGGATACATTATAAAATGTTTATGTTATCACCAGAAGTGTTGACAGTCTCTAATTGTTTTGTGAATGGTGTTTGACAGTTGGTGTTTGATGTTCAGCATCTGTAACAAATGGCAGGTGGTGACATTCATGTTAATGCCTCGTTCTGAAAATACAGTCCAACCCTTTATGCCCTGAAAATGTAAACTTAAATCGATTTGCCTGTTCAAATAGGCCTTCACATTGAATTATTCAATGGTTGGTCATCCCTTATTTTTACCATAAGCTGATTTGATTTTAAAATATGATAAATGCCAACCTGTAAATGATTCTGTGATCCTTTTCAGGGGTAAGAGAACTAATTGCCTAGATAGGGATATCAAGGTCAAGTATCTCTCCCCCCTCCCTATAGGTCAAGTACACTCCTCCCCCCTCCCCCAATAACACCATTAAAGCAGTAAGGAGGAACAGAGGTTTGATGCAAGACTAGCCCTATACTTTGTTTTGTTTATGTTTACTTCTATTGTTGAGGTTACCATATGTTGTCTAGTTGTTACATATCTATAAAAAATTTTGTTAAACTGCGAGTATGTTGATTATGTACTTCCTGACAGCCTTCCCCTAATGAACCTTATGTGTTACACTACACACCAGTCAACACATTCCAACGGAAGATATCAGTTTTGAATATGTCACCCACAGGTGAGGTGATTGAGCAATATTTTTTTTGAACAATCATTCAAAGAACAGTGTATGTTTTATTTGATACAAGTATTCAAGACACCATTAAGGAAGTTAAATTGTTAAAATCAAAAATATGTAGAAATTTCGAGTTTGTTAAGTAGTAAGGGCAGTATGAAGTTTTGATTTTTGAAAATAGGCATGTCAGTGGCCTATATGAAGTTTTTCTCAATATTTGTCTACTCTTATAGAAGAACAGATTGGGAGGAGTCAGTGACTTCTTTTATAAGTTTACCCTTTGAATTTACATTTTGGGTTAGTACGTTCATTTGTATTGTTATTCTAAGTCATATACTGCAATGTGATATGCGATACTACATCAACAAATAGTTTAAATGTAAGCTGTTCATTTTTAAATAGTAAGATAAAAAGTAGTCGAATCAGTAAGAACATGTTGAAGGGGGTGACTTGGGAAACATCCAATTCTCCAGCTGCTTGTCTATATAGAACAAGCTCTTCTTGAATATTTCCAAGTTTTACTTGAACTCAAATTGTTTTTTTGTAGTTCTTTCATTTATGTGTGTTCAATCTCATCTTTTATGAATTTACATTGTGAATAATATGAATTCATATTTTATAATTATTTTGATAACTGAATAGATATAGTTCATGTGGTTAAACTTAACTTGCTTTTGTAGTTTTATTTCGTTTATGTGTGTTTAATCTCATCTTTTATGAATAATATGAATTCATATTTTCTATTTCTTTGATAACTAAATAGATATAATTCATATAGTTTGACTTAAACTCAACTTGCTATTTATAGTTTTTTCGTTTATGTGTGTTTAATCTCATCTTTTATGAAATTACATTGAGAATTAATATGAATTCATATTTTCTATTTCTTTAATGGCTGAATAGATAGAAACAGTTCATGTGGTTAAACAGTCTATGTGTTAATTGATTCAGATGTTGTAGTAGCTAATGTTAGTGCAATATGTGAGCCACGCATGATAATAACATAAAACAAGTATTTGTTTATTTATAAAATGTAGCTCATTTTTATTTACACTATCTATACATGTTTCTTTTTTTATTGACAATATGATAAGGCACCTTATTCCATACTTTTTCATGACTTCCTTAACACAGTTACGGAACAAACTTTAAATGAATTTATATCTGAAACTTTTTCTTAACTTTAAGTATATGTAATGTAATATATAAGGGAGGTTAAGCTACACGTTTTTTAGAGAACTTGTGCATGAATGTGTAATATTGCCTCTATGAACACTGTCCCCCCCTTACAATACTGTTTTTTTCAGGGACCTAATCATGGCTGTTTTTTATACCTTTACACTCAAGTGGACAAGTACTGTGATGGTGAGAAATATTCCATAGAGGACCGTCATTCTAAACATTCATGTATATGTTCTCTTAGTTCTCTAAGAAAACATGAAGCTTAACATCACTATATTGTGTCAGTAATGAAATGCCCTGCACTAATCTTTACTGAATTTGTTTAATAAAATAACTGTTATTAAAATATAATTCTCTTTAGAGTTAAGTTCTAGTTCTCTCCATATTGTCACCGGGAACCTCTTAACTTGGCAGTTCCATAAAATATATTACAAGGTGAAATACAGTAAAACCTGTCTTATCCGAACACCACAAGGACTGGCCAAAGGAGTTTTGATCGACAGCTGTTCACATTTCAAATTTTTCATACATGGCAGTCAATGGAAAATTGAAAAAGGGGACATAAAAGACATTCACATAGAGAGATGTTCAGATGTGAGAGGTGTTCTAATATACAGGTTTTACTGTACATAATTTTTTTTGGTAAACTCTTAATATCAAATCACATAATGTTATGTACATATATGTATTTTACTGAGAAAACTGTAATCTTGAGTTTCATGGCTGATATGACTCAGTTGGACAGTGTTTCAATTATAAACACCAGGGCCTTCTTATAAGAGGGCAAAGACATCAACAGGCCATAATGAGCTATATTAGAGAATTCATCTTACATCAGGAGAAACCCTTTGTAATTAGCCAAATTGAAAAAATGATTGATGTTTCAGATAATACATCTAAAATGCTAAATGATGGCAACAAACTCATTCCATAAAAAAATCTAGGGCATACAGTTTGGATGTTGCTTGCCGATTCTAAGGTAGCATTTACATAATGTTAACCTTTCTGTACAGTGTACTTGAGGGGTACAGTAGACATTATGTTTGATCACTGTCATCAGTAGCATGCCATATTAGTAAGGATACAATTACTTGGACAACACTTCCATCCTTTACACTGAACATGTATGTTCATAAAAATGTTTAGAAAATGTCAAAAACTGATTTCAGATTTGCCATACTTCAACTATTGTGATATAATCAATATGTTTATGAATTACGTGATACACCTCTGCTACCATGTTGAAAACAGATTATAACATAAAATTATCTCCACACTCTTTTTACCAATTATACCATAGGAATATGTTACACCATACTATTCCTAAAAATTAAGAAACTCATCCTCGGTAGCCAGTATGTATATGCCATGAACACTTATTACAGTTGATCAGTAAATATGCCATGAACACTTATTACAGGGATCAGTAAATACATCATGAACACTTTATAATATTATTGCAGCTACAAATAATTGTTGCATATTGGCCTTAATTAATAATACGTCATCCTGATTGACAAAAATATATGTAAGCTTACTTACAAAAGTTGCCAAAACTTTTATTAAATAAACTGGCCTACATAGCAGTTGCTTTGAAATGCTCAAAAAAACTTTGACAATTTTTGTAAGTTCATGATAAAGCTATTAAGCCAATAAAAATGTTAGCAGTAAGCGATCATAAGTATGCCATTTTTGTATCAACTTTTCACTTTTCCCTGATTGAAAGTTTACAAAAAATAAAGTCGTGTAAGTGATACTAAACAAAAAGGCAAGTCGATTTTTAAAACATTTACAGTTAACAAAACATTTGTCAGATTATTTGGCAAAGTGATGTCACAAATGTTATATGGAGTTACTATATACATTATTTACAATATGGTACAATATGATAAACTAGGCTCAAAATTGAATATATTTTGTCAAATAGACCTAAACATATACTGTTGAAAAAAGCACCATAAAACAAATAACAAGGCACACATATGCCTTTAAAATAGTGATGTGAATGTCTGTTTAACTCCTACGCAGAAAAATGATACCATTCAACTGTACAAATGTATTGAATCACCCCATCATACCCATATATAAGATTCATTATTGGCCCTAATTGGTAAGTTGGGCCATAGAATACTAGAACTGCTTCAATAAATTCCCATGATTGAGAATTTACAGCAAAAGAGGCACATAAAACTTCAACTTCTTAAAGTTTCATGTCTCGCATCATACTGAGTAGATGGTTTACAGACATCAGATCTACATGAAATCATCATATGGAGCCAAAAATAGATTTTGAAAATGAAATATTGTACAGCAATGGTACTTGAAGATATTGACTTTGCAGTTGGGTCTTTATGATAACAAGCAAGTATACAACTTGTACTGTATAGCATACATTTCAAATCATTTCATGTCTACACTTTTCATACAACACAAACACCTTTGGACTTCATATAAATCGGCAACACATATCCGAAAATGTATTCAATATGTTAAATTGAGTAAACTCAAGAGGGAAGTAAAAAATATTGCAATCCCCATGGTAACACAGTGAAAGGTTCATGTTAACACAATTAAGAGAGCGAAAAGTTTATTACTAGGGAACTCATGGCAGGAAACGTCCATCATTTTAGATATCTAAATGATGTTATACATATTCAGGGCCAGGCTGAGAATTGTGACAATAAAAACATGTGTTCTAAACCAAGAATCTATACATAGGTAAAAAGGAGTCAAAACAGATGATCAACAGCTTAGAAAATATTGGTTACCATAGCAACCAATTCAACATCAGTTTTCCATTGCCACTCTTCTTGGTGATTTCTAGTCCAAAATATCCTATTTCGATAAATGTAAGGTATTTCTATGAAAAACCACAATATGACAATAAATTGACTTTATACAAGGCATTCTGTGAAACAATCAACCACAAAGGATCCAGATATTAATTTGAAAATATTAAACACAAAGTTTAGCATGGGTGATTAAATGAGGTAACCTTTATATTTCAGGCAACTATGATGGGAAAACTGATTTGAGATACTTCACATTTTCTTCTTGATTCTTTAAACAGCTTGAGACTATCTCTTCTTACCGCACACACTGACTGGAAATTTTTCAACTTCCAGATTTTTGATCAGTTATATGGGTTATGTTGTACTGCTCAAGTGAAAGTAAATTTGGCCAGATTTCCTCCTCGGGTAAAGGAAATATCATATTTTGGAACAATTACAAATCAAAAATTATCTTCTATTTAGACTGGTTGCTGACGTCAAAATGGCAACCATTTGTTTTATCTTAACAGGGCATTTCCGGACTATTTAAAACATCAGACTGAAGATCTATTTACAGAAATGGCCAGATCGTCTACCAATTAACACATATGAATGTTATGAATTAACTTTAAACTAAAAATAAAAGTTCAAGATAAACAAGACACTGAAATATGAATGGTTTGGCTACTTCTAAGAGTTTGTATCTTCAAGTAGATGGACCTTTAACATTAAAGTTGTGAAACTAGATACAGTGAATATTGTAATTCTACCAAGAGAAGATTCCCTTGAAGAGAGATGTAAATTTGTAAAAATGCCCAAAAGAATTTCCCAAATGTCGAATATATTTCAGTTAATAGAACAGCACTGGGAATGAGCCTAACATGTAACATGAAACCTAATGTAGGCTTGTACTGTTTGTCTTTTCATAGTGGTTCATCAAATTGAAGAAATCTGACTTTAAAAGAGGAAAGGTAATTTTGGAATCTAACCAAGGTTCTAGAGAGAAGTGATGAAAGAAAAGATTGAGATACGGATTCATGTTTCACTGATTTCCTACTTTGATTAGCATGATATTTGCTGCTGTAAATAACATTTCCCGGTCAACAGCCCATAATGTAATCACACCCACACTTAAGTCTATTTTAAAACAAGAACCCATCTACAACCTTGAGCATACTCAATTTTAGCATACAACTTATCAATTTTATGGAAATTATGAGGAAATACTCTCTTAGTGAGGTACATCAACTGTTAATTTTACCTTCAGAATATCAAAAATACGTTTTTGTATTCAGTTGATATCCTTTCCTGAAGTTAGTAAATAAGTGTTTGACGTCACTAACACATGTCTGGAAACCACAGATGTTTGAGGAACCACCAAAACTAGATGATGTTTGGACTGCGGTTCACCTTTTCACACAAAAACAAAGTAAGAAGTAGAACCCACATCCTTCGCCAGTGGTTTTCAAACATCTGAATTGTCAGTAATTGCAGCATATGATTTATGATTCAAACTGACATCATTCCAGAGCAAATCTGGTTGGCTACATAATTGGGATATCCCGCAAATTTCTGATTTCCACATGTTGAAATCTCTTCGCCATATTTGCCTAACGCACTTATACAAAGACCAACTTACTCAATCAGACTGCTGTATTGCTTAGTATATTTACATTACTGTTGATTTAGTTGAAAAACTTCAATGATAGCCAATGTGTAATATGAATACAGATTGTGTGCATGTGTGATTACGTTCCGTCATATCATAATAATAATTTTGAACTGAAAAATACAATTGATTGTTTTATCATACATATATAGAAGCTACAATGGCTTATCGTGTTGATTATGCTGTGTTTAATGGCTTTGTCAGATCTTAACTGCCAGTTATGACTATGTATTGGCAATATTCATTTATTGCAGCTCACTCCCACCTCTTGTTCCCTTTCATTACCTGAGAGCATACACATACTCTGTGTGTATATATATACAATTTATGGTGGGGTTCCTGCAATGTTTTAGCATATCAATCGAACAGAATGTTATCTACTCTCACCACCCCTTGAAAAGACGAGGAAGAAATGCCATCCCTGTGATTTCACAATGATTTCTCCTGAGTTGTCAAACCCTGCTTTCATGAGACTTCTTCAAGGTCAAAACCTCCCTGTGTCTTGGTCGGAGTCATAAAGTACATTTTTGTTTCACAACACGTACACACAACTTCATCTTTACATGTACATTCTTCTGGGGTCCGTGCTCCTGACAGGTGCTGCTCAAAATCAAGTAACTGTCCCATGAAGTTGAAGTTCGGTGATATGTTTGGTTTGCACTTTTTCACATAGTCATACGCATCATTGAGAGATAGCGACATCTTTGCCATTAGGTAGGCTACCGTCACAGTCACGGAGCGACTGATTCCTGCGAGGCAGTGGACCAAAACACCACTCTTCTTGGCCCTAGCTTCATCTGAAACACATACAATAAAAACACTGTACATTACATTTTCCCTGTATATATCTTTAAAATGTTGTTTTTAGTTTTCACGGTGAATCCAACACCTTCTTGTTACATTATAACAGCTAACCACTGATGAGCAACAAGGGGCAACATTTGAGAAAAATCTTGAAATACCAATTTTGATCTGGAGTAGAGTGTTTTAAATGTAATAATCGCACCCTTGTGACTATAATTATATCTACCTCTGTTTATCACATAGTTTTATTTTTTAAACAGTTGACTTTTTGGGGTATGGATGTGTCAGTGTACTATGTCTTAGTTAATAAATGATGTTTGGTATTTTATTATTACTAGATATAATTTCTAATAATGTTAGATATTAATTACTGAGTAGGAGTAAGAATTTTTTTTTTCTATACTGTTATTACTAGCCATCTGACATTGGCTCAGGGAAATTGAGGAAATTAACACAGAGAGTTCTTTGTTTACGTCATGGGCCTTCATTAGAGCCCATGTTTACGTCATACATTTTGGTTACTTGTTATTGTGTCTGTGCGTCTCAATCCAATTTTCAATCTGCTTACGCTCATAATCACAAACTTCCATGATCCATTATTCTTATAAATACAGGTAAAGGTAAGTTTATTGCGTTGGCGTTGACCTTAATGTGAACATTGAACCAATCAATAGGAAGGAGTCTTAGGAACACATCATATAAGCCTTGTTATACAACTCTGAATCAATCAGTCTTGATCTAATAAACCTTAAGTTGTAGGGTTTAAGTTACTTGCTAACTTTCTCATTGATCTGCCTAGATTTTAAGTTTACTTTAACCATAGTAAAATCATAGTAAAAGACACGCCTGATACTTATGTTTTCTTAAATACAGAACAACAACAATGGCTTATCTCAAGTTGATTTTGGCAAATTGGTTCTTTGATTAAAATCAACTATAGTTAACACACAACAAGTCAGTTAGTTCCATATTTAAGATCTATTGAAAAATTCAATCCATCTGCCAAGAAAAATAAATGTTATTTTGATAGGAAGTTTATACTAAAGTACTGTACACGTAAAATGTATAACTACTCCTATGTTAAAACTTTTCTTTTAGAACATGAACCTGTTTTCATGAAAATCTACATTTTGTTTTTGGAGAGTTAAGACTTCCTGTTTTGTCATTAATCTTGTATTGATTTTCAACATGGTAGAAAGGGAATAAACATGTACATATATTGATATGCCTAACAAAGTAGGGGGTAAAATCTTAAGATAAATATGCCGTTAACGTGTATTTAGAGATCAACATTGATCTACGAACAAATAATGATTACCCAAGAAGGAAATGAAAAATCAACCTAAAATAATATTTCACAAAGACCAGGGTATATTTTTATGTAATAAGGTGATTGAAGAAATTAAGTTTCTTACAGGTGTGTGGGAAGGGGGATCGATGCTGATGTTCTTTAAAAGTGAAACCTGTATATTGGAACACCTCTCTCAATGTGAATGATCTTTTCACTCCCTTTTTTGATCTGCCATAGACTTCCATGCTTAAAAACCTTGAAACGGGAACATCTTGCCAATCTGAATACTGTACGCCCGGTATTATTCGCGTGCGATTAACTTTCGCGCTTTTAGCGATGGTGTTAAAATCGCGAAAAATTATCGTCGCGAAATTGCTAATTAAATCTCCGGGAATTTGTTTTTACCCGGGGCTCTGATGCATTTCGTCAACTTCTGATCCCTCCATTCCTACGTCTGTAAGAAGAACTACAAAATGCATCTCGTTTTGTGTAAAACGTTTCGTCTAGTGTTATTGGGCGATAATTGGATGATTTCCACCAACATGTCTATTTTACGTTGGCTAGTCAGGCCAACTACTACCAATGGGCCTAGGCTTAATAATGACATCGACGATATTATAGAAACTGAAGTTCAAATTGCTAAAAATAACATGAAGTCCAAGGGTGGAACATATAAAGTGTACAACGACGCAGAAAGGGCAAACATAGCCCGGCACGCACTTCTGAACTTGTGAAATTAGCGAAATTTAATAGCTGCGAAACCGTGTTTTCGCAAAATTCGTGAAATTAAAGCTCGCGAATAATACCGGGCGTACAGTACTCTAAGCTGGTCAGTAGGGTTCGGATAAGAAAGGTTTCACTGTATAATACAAACACATCATGGTCTTGTTTTCTTACCAACACAAGTATAATTTTAAATGTTTCTTTGTTTTTAAATACTTGGGGCCTCTTTCTGTGCCTAAAAAGTCATTCAGGCAATTATGTCTTTGGAGAATACTTTTTTCTTAGACAACCGTGCTAGTGATCAACATCCATTTAGGCAGGTTTTCTACTCATGTGACATGGAATAGATTATGTCTGCACATATAACCAGAATAAAGGTAAAAAGACAAAGCCTTTGGTATCATTATGGTTAAGTATTATATCACCAGATCAGGTGGGCTATGATGACTGGGATCACATAATAAGAAGAGTGCATATGACGTCAAACACACGCATCCAGCCTACGTGGATTAGGCCCATTGAGCCATCTAACCAATATTCAATGTGCCCCTATCAGGATTTTCAATAGAATCACCCGTCCAGTGGATGATTAAAGCATGATACAATCAAAGATTTTTTACACTTAATCATACTCTCCAATTGATTATGTCTGTCTCTCCCATTACTGATAAACACTCAATCAACACCACTGAGACCTTGCCACATTCTCCATGGATTTCCTTTATATTAGCTGAATCTCAAACCATTGTTCCATTCATCAATATACTGATTACCATTAATCATTTCAATTTCATTAAGATCTCTCCCCAAAAACAAATCTGTGAACACAGAAGAGACCCATAAGGACATGAAAACTTCGCTTTATGAATCACTAAACAATTTTAGGGGTGGTAGTATTACACAAAAACTGAAGTGCTGAGCAGATAAGTAAATTCAAGTTCTAGAGCACTACATATCACATTTCTATATACTTTGAAGTAGTGACTGTTTTAGAATCGTACATATGTGTACATAAGGGTTGAGTAAGTAAAACCACATGCGTTCAATAGCTCCCACTTGTTCAATGACTATTGACTCTCCTATTTTTTATATTCCCTGAACATTATGTTGAAACTACTTCATATGACCATGTCAAATACTGAACATATAACATGGCAATGGGCCAGCCTTTTTGATACAAAGGCATTCACTTGAAATGTTTATGTGTTCACAAAAAGCAATATAATCGTAGTTTCCTCCTCTTTACAATGTGTTACAAAAGATAGTTTCATTAATGAAATGTTTTGAAAAGATGTTTCATCAGGTGTTAAAGCAGCTCCTCTAAAGGTTATGAATAATTACTTTTTTAATAAAGATTAAAAAGTGGCCTGATCTTAAAAAATTTCCATGTACACACGAATGATCTAATCTCAAAATGGAAACTTTATGATGATTATTAATTGATTGATCAATTGAGGAACTTAATTGGGAGTTTCACCATCAATGAAACATCATCATGTGCAATCAATCATCGTCAAGGAAAACCCTTTTTGGCATTGGTATATTTACATTTACCTCCTACACAACTTTACAGTCATCAACTATTTCTATGCATTTTTTCTGTTCACAGATTGTGTTCATCTGTTCTGTCTGAATAAGAACCCACAAAGGATATAACCAGTTGAAAACTCAAAGCATATGTATACTTGACAATTTCTAACTAAGAGTTAAAAGTTTACTATAACCATAGAACAAAAACGTTTTTGAAAAGAACATGTTTCCCTTCAAAAATGACTAAAATGTGGCATGTATTCAACTCCTTTTATACTAAAAATACAAGAGTGTCAAAAGCAACTAGTGTACAGGACATCACAGTATAAATAGAGAGTGACATGCTGATCTACTTTAAACATCCTTGTATTGATTTTTACTTATCTTTGGCTTGAACTCAAAGCAATCGTTGACAAGAAGGATAAGAAATTGGAAAACAAAGCTATTCTGATGTTCTAAATGTGAAAAAATATAAATTACTAAGTCGATTCATCCTTTTTTGATCTAAAAATATAACAGATAAAGTACTTAGTTCTTATCATATTGGACATTAAAAGGTTCAGTGACATGTCTCTATCTACTCATACTTATCAACAGCATAGAAAGTTTATAATTAACAGAAAAATACATTAATTTGGTGATCAAAGTAAGTGGAAGCGATTATACACAGTGAGCTCATTTTCCTCTCATACTGTCACACTGAGATCAAACATAACTGACATCCTATCCACATACCAATTTCCAAATTACCACCAAGATTAATGAGTACATTATCATGGATTAAGTCAGCTGTGGTCATAACATACTGACTTTGCCATCTACATCCTGATTAATCAAGCCTCAAGGGAATTCCTGATAGAGAAGGGGGGGGGGGGGAAATATGCATTAGTTAATAAAAGCACAGAAATCCTGTGCTAAGGAAAAAGGTCAGTCCATATACCTGTGACTTGAGATCAATCCAGGATGTTCCATCACTTTAACACACTCTTTCATAGACTTGAACTTCCTTGGCAACATAACAAAATAAATAAATGAAAAAACTGCTGGCAAGTATAGTAATGCCATCTTGAGAAATGTCCCTTGATTGACATTTGTGTTACTAAAAGTGTTTAAACATTGTTTTGAAAAACCACAGAGACAATCAATATGTCAGAGCACTGAAATTTATTCTTTAGTTTATCAACGTAAGAACACTAGGCTTTAAGTCCACAAAACTCCTTTTGGTAAAAACGAATGTAAACTTTTCTTGGCCTTACTTGAGAGGATCTATATCATTAACATGACATTTATGTAGTCACAAGAATGTGAGATGATGAAACCAACTTACTTTTAGTAAACTTCCAGTATGTAGACTTCCTTTAGAGCTGGGTAAATTAATTCATTTAGATATCATGTATTTCAATAGGTCCATATAGATAGTAATTTAATTAGTTAAGGCTAGGGCTCTAAATGGAAACTACCAGTCATGTTGCTAAGTTGAAATTTTACAGCTCTTGGCGTAAATATTTTAATCCGAAGTAACTTGAATTGGTATCTGGTAAAGTGAGGTGGGGCGGTAAAGTGAGGTAGGGCTTGGTGGAAACTGGGGGATGGGAACACCTTAAGCCCCAGGTGACATTTTGAAATAGCAACACTAAACCATGGTTTACCCTTTAAAAATGACTGCCACCTAGCATAGCTAATAAAATAAAAGAATTTTGAATTAAAGCTGAGTCAAGAATGTTGATAGTTCTGATTGTCTCGATTGTTTCCATTGCCACCCCCTTTCATTATTGTTTCTCTATCTGTATATATAAATATATAACAGGACAGTAAAGATGACCTTAAAGTAGCCCAGCTTCAACAGATTATGAAACAGTGCAAAAAATATTCAATGCCTCTTGTTGGTGTTTTTCTGCTTTAGCCATTCATGTTAGTTATGTTAGTTACAGGTACACATCTGTTAATGACATGATATGGAAATGTACAAATGCACTAACAACATGTGCAATTGCCATTATCAAATGTTCTATAAAAGAAAACTAAAATAAACAAGCGATCAGAGAATGTTTATTCCAAGTGTACCTCATCCCAGAAACTCTCATTGTTTACTGCCATATTTCTTTCATTCCTGCACTTGCCTATTTGAGAATTGACACAATTCATTGATAAAAGTGTTGCATACAAGCAGAACCATTCAAATTGAATATTAAACTCCATTTGCTTCAAAAATACCAAAATCGCCATATTTAGCGAACACCCCCAAATACTAGTAATCGCTCATCTTGCTTCGAAAAACTCAAAAGATATGTTGAAAATAAATGACCATACATGAAATCCCCAGGGAATTTTGACTTCTTTCATGTTTCATATATGGGTGCTTATTAGAATGATCTGAAGGGAGTATTCTGAATTTTCTAAATTCCCAGGGTGCTAATTATAGAGAATACGGTATTCTCTGTAGGTTTGTTTTATTCAGATAAGAGTGGAATAACCAGGAAAAAGTTGTAAGTTTATTGACACAAATGAAAGCTTGTATATATACAAATAGAAGGTCTTGAGATGGTTGGTGAATTAACTCTTCAGGCGACTGCTTAACATATTACATCCGTTCATTGATTGATAATATGAGAGCTAAAGGCAGCGAGAAAGCTGTGTGGGGTTTATCACAGCAACACAAGACATTCTAAGAATGAACGGATAAAATCACTCATTACAACGAATGTGATGTTATTTTCAATATGAGCTCTTGCAATCATTCTCACATATAGAGCATGTAGATGAATACAGACAGGGTAGTCTTGTTTCAATACCCCAGATTATCTACTCTAACAACTGGGTTCATTTTATAGGATGTGGGCCCATTAAGAAAGCAGAGATGGCAATGTTAGTTAATAATAAATGTCACATATGTCAAGAGATAAAGATGTACAACCTTAATTAATCCAGAATGGATATCATTATGATCACAATACCTTCATGAAAGCAAAGCAATAAGCCTGCTATTTTGTATCAATACACTGCCAGTACAGGAAGTACTCTTGTACCAGTTTCCACTGTTGCAATATGTAATTCCAAGACTGCATTATTTGACACTCAAGTGTCAACTCACTCACTTCCTCTACATCCTCCGAACGCAGGACTCCTGACATCATCTACTATGCTATCATACACCAAGGAAGGAACATTGTAGATGATGTCTGGAACCCAGTGTTCAGAGGCTGCTTCCTCCACCAACCATTACAATAATAAATCCCCATGAAAGTGAACTAAGCATCCTTTTAATTGAATTTCGAAATTACCCAAATATGGTCATCTCTATTCTCTATATCACAATCTTGGATTTGAGTGTTTCGTAGTTTTGACTTGAGGTTCATTATAATATAACTATGATCTAGAAATAAAACAGTAAGTTGTAACTTTCTAACACTAACAGGTTGATTGAGACCATTGAGAAATAAACATGAGTGAAACAGACCTATTGATATTTTAGGCCTTTCCCAAAATGGAACTGTCAAGAGCTTCAAGAGATGATTTAAAAAAAACAGAATGAATGAATCATAAGATGCTTAAGTGTTAAATGAAGTGAAGCCGAAGACTAGTAAACCTCATAATTACAGCGCTGTAAAAATCTATATTGGCGTAATCTCCCTTCAACATCCGTTCATCGATTTTTCCTTACCACACTAAGTTATATTCTTTCATTCATTTCCTGCTTAGGGGTACATGTGGACCTCCACAGAGGCTTAACCCTTTCATGTTAGGTAAAATTGGATTCAATCAAACCTCACACCACATGTTAAGTCATTGACTTATGCCCTTTTGACTTGTGGCATCATTATCATGACCATTTATCAAAAGTCTGTGTCATTGATAAAATGTAAATGACATTTTCATGTTAATATACCTCTTTTACTTTTCACGATTTTTTGTTCACATTTTTTAACTGAAGTAAGTACCCATTCTCAAATTGTAGATTAAGGATTAAGAATTTATAGGTTTTCAGCATTAAGCTTGTAGAAAATTATACATTGAACAAATGCCGAATGGTAAATCTCACAATACTTCACTTGGGCCCTCTTGTAATATATAGCTACCATAACATTTGTCAAATAAGTATTTTAATAGGCTTCATGTAAGAAACGGGTGGTTGATTAATATATTTTGAAAGGGTCAGGCTACTATTGGGTATTGAATGTTAATGTTGCTACCCTTTGTTCTTTCTTATGATAACACTATAACTCTTAGTTCTTCTTACCAGCTTACACTTTGTTAAATGTGCTACTTCGAAGACAGTATGCATGGCAACCTAGGTAAACTGTAGTAAACAAGTGACATCAATTGATTGAGCTATTAACGCTATGTCCAGCTTCCTGTTTACTACATATAATGTTGAAGCTTATCATTATCAGCCATTAATTGCATCTAGTATTGTAACAGGTGATACTTATATACATACAACACAGGATCAAAGAGAGGTCTTGTCATGGCTTCATGACATGCATAAATATCAACTGGGATGAGGTCCATATATATATATGTAATAGGTCCATATATATTGTACTCCCACTAATATTTGACACTATTATATTTCGCGTTTTTGCGATATAGAAATTTCGCGGCTATTATATTTCGCTAATTTTTAGTTTTTAGAAGCGCAAAATATAGTAGCACGCGAAAATTACCGGCAGTACAGTATATATGTAGTTAAGGTTATAATTCATTTAAATAGTAGGGGTGGTAGGGTAAAAATATACTTGATGGTAAAAGTAGGAAAATAGTTGCTCAGAAGCAAGTACAAGTTAAGTAGAGACTCGATGAACATGGTTCATAGTGAAGTCATTCTGTGTTTATTTATTAGTATCATATTAGCTCAGCGGATAAGTTGCTCCTTTCTAAGCTTTTTAACCCAAAGTAGTTATTGTTTGGGTTTATGACTTTCCAGACTTAAATGTAACAAAAGCGAGATACATATCAACAACATAACATGGTCTGGACACTAAACACAGCACGCCACATCCTGATTAAAAACATTCACTTGCCAACATTGCCAATATGCATTATAAATGTGGAGTTAGGTCATCCAACTGAGTTTGGTCATTGGTACAGTGATGGATAACTTGCCTTGCCATGTTTAGTCTCTCGGTTACATCTATCTATTCACAATTCCATTATATGTTAATGAACCATTCACTTATACCTGGCATGTTATATAACCTCAGTGTCAAATATTATCAAATAACAAACATATGCCAAGAAAATGTCAGGAATCCAAAGGGGCATTATTTGGCAAATATATTTGTGGTAAAAAAAACAGATACATGTACAACAAGACATGTCTAATCTGAACACTACTGAGACTGGGAAAATGTGTTAGATAACGAGGTGTTCACATTTCAAGGATTCTTATATGGATCAATGGGAGATAACAAAATTGGAACTGAGAAAAGTGTTCACATGGCGATGTGTTCAATATTCAGATTAGAAGGGTGTTCGGATATACATGTTTTACTGTAGTACCAAAACAACAAACTGCAACTAACTCACCTATAAACTTGATCGCTTGAGGGAAATGAACAGACAAGTTCTGGGACCAGTGATCGCTAATGGGGATTCTCTTGTACTCAATGAAGTCCTCGTCTTCAAACACGTTTGGTATATTTGGAGTGACATTAAGTATATATTGAATTCCATGCTTTTTTAAGGTGTCTTTATCCGCAGATGTTTTCGCATTCCCTAAATACAAATATGGTAGCACCTCTACGGGAAATGTCATCGAGTTCATACCGATTCCACTGTCTGGATTTTCCACCTCAGATATGGTTATATTTTTTAGGCCTAGTATTGATTCATCTTCTTCTCGCATATTGTTTGTGCGACAATACTCAGGATAAAACTTGTGAAAAGTTTCAAATCCACCTAAAAATAGTAAAGTAATAAAGATTATGACAAAACGTACAGTCGCAGGAGCCGAAGCCTTTGGTGTCATAAAATTAAGTCACTTTTAAATTATATGACACTTTCAAAACAGAAGGAATTTGATATTCTTGTGTTAATGTCATCAAGAAAGCTTATAATGTTTTCTTTAGATTTACATGCTAAAGGTTAACATGGGGAGTTAGTAACTAGAACACATTCAAAATGGCCGACTTCAGCAAGTTAATAGTACCAACACAGATGTTATTATATTGTGTTTTGAGACGTTGATTCTTCAAGCTGAATAGTACATCTTAAATCTAATGGAATATTTTAGTTGTCTATTGAAAAACTGAATCGATGATTTGTTTACAAATGGGTAAAATGACAGGCTAATGTTTGTTGATATTACCTTCTAAAATTTCGACTCTGCAGCCATCTTCCTTGAGGCGATGAGCAAGTAGGCAAACTACACTGTTTTGATTCAAGTTACTATCTTTACAATCATCGTAGAGGATGATCTTGTGGGTTTTTGATGAACTTTGGAACTTCTCCTTGCCATCGTTACTTTGTATGACGGATGATATACTCAAGTTGCCCTTTTTTAGTCGGCGAAGCATCAGTGAAGGAAGAGTAATGTTGATGGCAGAATCAACATGGGATTCTGTGTACTCGTTCTGTCCTCGACAATCCAACACTAAAATGTCTCCAATTTCACTTTTAAGCCGGTCAGGACTGCACATCTCAGCCATTCTGTTCTCAATGATATCTCGACAAGGCATCGATATGAGATTACAAAACTTTATGAGACCAAGTTTGGTCGATTTACAACTCCCAACTCAAAATCGAGATTATCGTCAGTTTACTACTCAGCCTATACCGATCAAACCTGTGATATTTTCATCGATTCGATAAGAAAAGTATGTTCTTCTGACGACAAATCTAGTGACTTTGTACTCCTGTTCGTGAACTACCTAAACAAAGTTGTAAAAGAAGTACTGTTTCACTAACTTTGAGCTTCCATCTTGGAGTGTTGGCGCCGTCTCAATGAAGTGCTTAGGGGCTACACATCCGGTCATATTGACATGTACACGTGACATGTGCCGACCAATCACCGATCGTATTTTAGATAAACGTCACTTTTAGCCACACCCCTTAGTTAATTATCATAATTTATCAATTATATTTATATCATCAACGTAAATGTGAATGAACGGAAAACAAAACAAGATGGTTTGTTTCAATGATGCTAACAATGAATAAGTATTCGACCGTAATACATGTAATATCCAAATAGATCGAAATCACAAACGAATCACAAAACAAAAGTGCGAGGGTACACTGGCATGTAGCGGCCCTGATATCGATAAATTCTACACGCAATATAACCCGATTTTAGATGCTTGGTTAAAACTTTACACGAAAAAGCCTCGATATCCGGGCATTTACTCTTACACTGAACTGAAAATAGCATCGTCTAAACGTGTATGTCTTGGCTTCCGGGAAAGTTTATCAACATTTATACTCAATTGAAAGAGCAGTCGTGCTTATATCGTGTACCAGTTTGATTGTTTTATATGTGTGTGTATTTATAATATGATAGCCTAGTAATACCGTGTCGTTAGAACAAGTGCTAGATATCGAACTGATGACCTGAAATTAGATTATTGGACTGATCGCGCATCTGATATTAGATGATTAATTTGCATTGAATCTGATATTAACTTGCAACCCAATACCACAATAAATACCATGACTTTACATTAGAATGATAACACGGCCTCATATTCTAATTCATTATACGCCCATTGCAGGCCAAAAATGTTTCAATGTGGATATTGTAATGCACACGAGAATACATTCGATTCGTATATATTGATCATACATCAATTGAACATGGAGATTTTCCTGTACACTTTTCCCAAACATGTGGAATAGACTAGATGCGAGTAGAAATTATCTTGATTTATCCTATGCCAAGTAGGGTTTTAGGGAGATAAGTTGGTAAGATATATCCCGTATCCTGATTTTGAGGTTTCCATATCAAGAACCTCCATATCTCCCGTCAAATCTCCCGCTTCGGTGCATATCTTCCCGCTTCGGGGCATATCTTCCCGCTTCCAAAAAAGTGGAAATGCAATAAAATGACTTTGCATATGAATGATTTGTTTATTTTTTACATCTTGTACTACTGGAAACTCTACTTGGTATAGGATAAAGCAGTTATGTACGGTCGGTTTGGATATTGGGTTCATCCCTCGTGAGATATGCACATCTACTTTCTGTCCCTACGGTCCCTCAGGTAGATATGCATATGTCCCTCTGGAAAAACCCCATATCCAAAACCTCCCAGTACACAACCCTTATTTATTCCATGGTTACAAGGATAAAGATCGAATATCACGTGAAGATATAATTGATACGTGGATGAAGATATCATATTTTAGCAAAAAATTCCCAAATCATCGAATATCACTTTTGAAACCATCGAATATCACTTTTTGAAAGGTGATATTCGATGGTTTCAAAAGTGATATTCGATGGTTTTGATTTTTTCAATTTTTTTTATTAATTCAGCAAAACGATTGTTTATGTATTTGTTATATATTTTTATTTTTTGGGATCTTGTTTTTACGGCGTTCGCATTAAATACAAACCACTCTGTTACGTCACGTATATGACGTTCGTTGAATTATCGCAATCAAAATGTCAGACGAAATGGAATTTCCATTGCAATTTATCTGACTATTCAATGTTCGCTGGATAATAGTTCCCAATGGGATAAACGGACAATCCTATGGTTTTTCAAAAATATCACTTATATCCACTCATGGATATCAGTATCTTCACTCATTCGCTGCGCTCACTCGCGAAGATATCAATATCCACTCATGGATATAAGTGATATTTTTTCAGAGCCATAGGATATTCCTACATTATTCCATACTAGTTAGCATGATATCCATAGGATAACATGTCAAAATAAAAACGGTATTTTTGAAATCAGTGGTAAAATATGATATTTTTGGCAAATTTTCACTTAACCATAGCATACGGTGTTTTAGCCATGACATACGGCGCCGTATGCCATGGTTTATGGATTTTTGCTACTTCAGACTCAAAACGAGGCTAAGTGTCAATATCGCCGTATCGTTTGGAAAATACGTTTTAAATCACTTAATTCCCGACGATTCTGATGATGACTTTAACTATGGAATATAAAGAACATCCTATGATTCACTCGTGATATGATTTTAATCCACTCATGGATGTTGATATCTGCACTCTCTCGCTACGCTCACTCGTGCAGATATCATATCCATTTGTGGATAAAAATCATATCACTCATAAATCATAGGATATCCTCTATTTAAGATGTGATATTCGATAGTTTAAAAGTAATATTCGATGGTTTGTAAATTGTTTGCTAAAATATGATATCTTGATCCACATATCAAATATATCATCATGTGATATTCGATCTATATCCTCCTTGCAACCATGGGATAAAGAAGAAGGAAATAGAAGACTATTACAAGAGCCAGTCCCTTTAAAACTAGGAGGAGATGTGATTCCTAGTTGCACCAAACACAAACACCTGGGCTTAGTACTTGATCAAAATCTAAACTTTAATTCACATGTTGACCAACTCATAGAGAGAGTAATCTCTCTCATGAGACCATTGAAAAAGTTAACTAAAATGCTAAACAGTAAATACCTAGAGAATATATATAATTCATTTATACTACCACATTTCGACTACTGTGATACAATATATGATAAGGCATCAACTTCAAAACTATTAACATTGGATAGACTTCATTATCAAGCAGCTTGCCATGTGTCAGGAGCAATACACGGTTCAAACACATCGAAAGTTTTATCATTACTCAACTGGAAAACGTTAGCTTCCAGGAGAGAAGAACATCTTAAAATTTTTGCTTTCAAGGCTAGATACCATTGTTTCCCTCCTTTCATTTGTGATTTAGTTAGTTCATACGAGAATATTCCAAATCGGCCCCTAAGACAACCAAGGCATTATAGAATACCCTTTCCAATCAGTAATTCGTTCAAAAAGTCAACCATTATCAGGGCTATGACCCTGTGGGATGATATACCATATGAGGACAGGAAAGGCCAACCAATATCTAGATTTAAAAGGTTAGTAAGAGGAAATATGAGCCCTGACTCCAGAGTATCCACTACTAAAATGAATATGACAATGCCAAGGAAAATTGAAATTCTGTTCAATAGATTTAGAGCTGGACTGATTCTAAAAGCACATTTATATTCCCATAACTTTGTGACAGTAAATGACCCTTTCTGCGTATGTGGTGACATACAACAAACAACGCATCACTTTTTATTAAACTGCCCTCTGCTGCAACAAGAAAGATGCACTCTCCTAGCAGGACTAAAAACCTTAGGATTTTTCAATCGTTTCCAAAATTTAAACTCTCATGAAAAAATTCAATTTTTATTATTTGGAGACAGAAATCTCACTGTAACTGATAATGAACAAATTATTCATATAGTTAGCCATTACATCTGCCAGGCTCTTGATATTTTAGATTAACCCCCCCCCCCTGAAAGCCTCTAACATTCCCTGCCATTAATATTATGTACCTTATCTATTGTATTTTCATTGTTTCCATTTTTATATGTTTTGTATATTGCCGACAATGTTGAAAAACGTAGGCAATAATATTGTAATGTATTTTATGTTATATTCGGAATAAATGAGAAATGAAAAAAAAAAAAAAAAAAAACCATGGGATAAAGCTTTACGTCCCGCTCCAAGCGGGCAGATATAGTATATCTGCCCGCTACGTCATAATCGCCGCTTGTATATTTGTTCATAATTTGTAACGTTCGCGGAATGACTGTAAACGGCAATGGAGAAAACACAGACAATCAGGGTCTGTTTTATAGTTAAAAAAGGGGAAAGAGCATCCACTTAATCAATAAAAAATTCGAGAAAATAAATATGGGAATATTTGAGAGAACATGAAAATCCGCCCACGGCCAAGAAAACAAAACTGGACATGAATATTCTAAAATGTTTCCACGATTTAACAATGTGAACCAGATGACCAAGATTGGTATGGGATAAACATATTATCCTATAGTCGCGGTTCAGGATATTGGGATTATCCCTTGGCCAATATATAGGGGTTCGGTCCCTCGGGAAGATATATTATATATCCCTCGGGATATTCCCTGTATCCAAAACCTCCAAGTGCATAACTGTTGTATATAGTTTACCATGATATGTACTTTTTTCTGTAACTGGAATACGATTCTAATATACAAGCAGCACATACGTATTCCCGGGGAACCATAAATATTTTGTGTAGGGTGTGGACATTTTTCTTTTCATTTCTCTAAAATCAGACTATTCTCATAAAATTCATACAAAGTTGGGCCTAAGCCTCTATTTTCGTATTCTGCATGTTAAGATATTTATAATGTAAAACCTAAGAGAAAAATTCAATGTCTTCAGTTGAGAATAAGTATAAGGTAAATGTGTGAATTCTGCTTGTTGTTGCACTATTTTTATAATAAACAAGGTTTGATACGCAACACTGAATAGACTGCAGTCATAGCTTAGTTGTAAAGAAAACAAAAGAAGTTGGGACGTGGTCATGCTTGAATACGATTTTAAATATATCGCCGTTTACATTTGTTGAAATCGGCCTGTATTAATTTCAACGGGTGATCGGTGTACAAGGGCATATATTTGAGTTATTGGTTTAACGATAAGTATGACCTATGAGTGGGTAATGTTTTACAAATGCATGAAACAAATACTCCAATGGCCTAATCTCAATTTTCCTGCATAAACTATTACATTAAAATGATGGTCATTTGCTCTCTAACTTCCGCACCGCATACGTAACTTCGTAACAATTCAATAAGCCAAGACAGGACCGCTATAATCGCTACATGCCAGTGAGGGTAGGCCAACTGAGGTTTTTAGAAGTAATAGTGTACAAAATGGTTGAAAGCCCATGGTTTATAGAATCATTCTAGTCATGCCAGTAAAACCTATATTTGTGAGCTTGTCTTACTACTGGGGCCCACTACTCACGGTTCCACAACGCACTGGCGGATCGGGGGGGGGGCAGGGGCCAAAGAGGCCTTATGGTCCCTAAAAGTGGGCCTTTTTGGTCATTACTAGGACGATTCTTCGGGTTTGTGTAAAAAACCGGGTAACCGGGTGACCGGGTACTTAACGTTCCTAGCAGGGTTAGGAATTTTTTAATTTATAACGTTGGATCTGGACGATACATGTACGTTATTTTCGACCTCATGTTTTGAGGTTATTTCACATCGTAAGAACGTTTTGACAACGTTAACTTTTAACGTTAAAATAACGTCGGTAATGAACCGATTTAGTGAGAACATATTGACATCATTGTAACGTTTCCTTAACTCACAAATATTTTGAAGCCATTTCCACAATGTTGAAATTCAACCATCCATCGACGTTTTGCTGAATATTTGAATAACGTCAGATCAAAACGGTCCATGAACGTCATTATTGATGTCACGTTTTGAGGTTATTTCAAATCGAAAAAACGTTTCGACAACGTTAAATGTTAACGTTAACAATACGTCGGAAATGAACCGACTTAGTGAGAACACAAAGTTTTTGTCATGTTTTTTTCCACTGATTAAAAGCCTGTTTTGACAACGTTGAATTTTAACGTTTGAGTTACGTCACATATGGACCAATGTAGTAAAAAATCAAACGTTCCTGTTCCAGGCCAATTTTTTTCAAAATCATGCACTTTTTAAGTGATTTGGGCCAAATTTGGACCAAAATTGTCACAATTGAATCCCCCCTTGAATTTTTCAAAATGTGATCCCCTTGGCAAATCCTGGCTACGCCGGGGCCTTAGTCACGTTGCGGATTATCATTTGGCATAAAGTAAGACCACAGTCCAGCTTTTAGAAATGCTCTTGGTTTGGAGTTTGGTTTGTAAACCCCATGACTATTCATTGGAAAAGTTGTCCTGTTCCAGCAATAGACACGGCTGTACTGTAATGCGCCAAAACAGGTATAAATGCATCTCAGCACAGTCACTGGTCAGTATCAAGATACAGTAACGGCCGTTACTTTCTCATCTAAGATGGCGGAAGGAAAGTGTCGATTTCGATATTTTGGGTTTTCGTCGAATTGAACTACTTTATAATTGACGTAATGCTTAGATATTTGAACTTGATAAGCCTTACATATAATGTAAACTTTGGAGTATGACCATTTGTTCGTAAATCATACGTGGATGCCATAATTCAACAATACGTATGTTTACAGTTGTACAGCTCCATTGGCAGCTCCCAGGGGCAGCTCTACTTCAACATACTAGTAATCGGGCAAAGTTTATTATTCTACAATGCGCTATGGGCACAATTTTGAACACAATTGTACTGCTCTACTAATAATGGCCATTGGCCACAGTTGTTCTAGATCTATTCCAACATAATCATATAATGGGCAAAGTTTATTGTTATACTGCATTGCACAATAATGGGCACACTTTTACTGCTACACGTATGGGTAAAAATGCGCTGCTCTACTATAATTGACAAAGTTGTTCTGTACCATAATGGGTAAAGTTAATTGTTCACCAGAATGGGCACACTTTTACTGCTCCACTATCAGAATTGCAATGCTCAACTATAATAGCTACAATTGTACCACTCCAATATAGTGATGAAGATTATGTCGGAGAGTACATCAAGATAAAATATTGCTTAACAAAGGGCCCCAAAATGTATTCTGCCCAAGCGTGGATATTTATTTTTTCACATGATTTTTTTAACCCCCTCCCTCTTGATTTCTAGACCACCCCTGTTCTACATATGCGAAATATGTGAGTTACCGTTAGAGAGCTTGTCAAAGTATGTCAATGTTTCAATCTTAATTGTCCTCAACCACAATGGTTCGGAAATGAGAGTTGATGATTCAATCGCCAAGAACAACAGACTTTGATAAGTGATCAAAAATGGGTGTCGACTTTTGCCAATCAACCGAAGATACCTCAAGAAAAGCCGGAGATTGCCGAAGATTGCCAAAGCTTTTCTTCAAGTTGCAAACGAAGTTGGCCAAGGGAACCACGAATGTGAAGAGGACGTCTCTAATTGGTCAAAAATAGGGGCTCGGCATTCTCCGTCAGATTGAATCTGCAAAATTCGGTTGTATGGCTTACCTTCGGTTGTATGGCTTACCTTCGGCTGCATGGCCCAACCTCGGTTGATTGGAAAAGATGCTGTCCCGATAAAAAATGGCGCTCTCCTTTACAAGCAACAGTAATATCCGAATATGCCAGCTTGAATACAGAGACATCTTTTTAACTATAGGAAAGTAAGTTCAAGTTGTTCACCCACACTTTGTTTTACCTCTAATAAAAATCAATTTGTTCATTCCAGCGGTCCGCGTAGAAATCATCAGGCCGTTGCCAGAGGCCGTAGAAAGTTCCCACGGTGGCTGTATATCGGGCTTACATTGACCTACGTCTGCTGTAGTGTTTTGATGGGTAATGTACCTTGGAAACAGTTTTTAGATCAGAGTGCTGTCATATCTTTGCGGACGCAAGATACCAAAGGAACATATATATCACCTGCAAAATCCGACCGTTTTAGAAATGGTAGCCATTTTTATGTGTGTTATTTTACGATTTTTGCGATAACCGCAAAAGTAGTAGAGGGATTTTGTAAAATTGGCAGCCATGACTGTTCGATGGGATTTGCTACGGCATGGCGTTGCTGTTATCTATAGGTTTTGTGTAGTCTTCATTAGGATACTAAAAAGAATGCCTGAACTGCTGAATTGTATATTGAGGTTTGTTTCTTTTCTGTATTTTTCATAATTTGCACTAGTTTTTTGTTTGGTAATATCTAAACCCCTTTATACTCGTACACACTAATATCCAATTAGGCGCACATCTGCACATAACACAACACAAGTAGTTTTATGTATTGGTACCCTTTTCGTGGTATCTCTGAAGTATCATTTATTGGAGCTGCATGAAAATGACATATCAGTCACTACAGAGTATATTACTCAGCGTCGGGAGCTATTTGAAAAAGGTAAGATTGTATGATGGTATTTGTGAAACAATGCATGTTGTTGTTTTTTTAACTGTATAATTATATGTAAATGTCTTGTAATTGATTTTGTGAGGAAACCAAGTGTTTGGTTTGAAACACAATAAAATCTTGAATCTATTAAATAATACAATACAAAATTGAACTAAAGCTAGACTAAGGTAACTACAAAATTCAAAAATACAATTATGATCATGCAAAATTCATGAAAAAATAAGAAAATCGACGCGATGTGGCATTGGCACAATGTTGATCTAATTTTTTAAATGAATTCGAATTGTAGTCTTAAGCACTACATTGTTATTCTAAACTTTGTTGAGATCGTAAAGATGGCGAGATTTTTAAGTTCGTATACTAGATATACTGAATTATCTATTTTCCGTTCCAACCGTAGCTCAGACATTGTCCACATCTATTTTCTCTTGTGCTTGGGCATCTTAGGTGGTTAGGGCACGACCAGCATCTTGGTGAACACCCGCTTCTGCAGCACCTCGAACCAGAATTATCTGAAACAACAAATACACGTGTAGGAAACCAGAAAGGTGTCATGAGAGATATGAAATACTCAGATACTGCATATCATTAAAGGCATATTTTGTTATCGTTTACTGAGTATTTGAGATACTAATTAAATCTAATAATTATCCTTTGACTAAAATCTGTAGCCTATCACATGGTGGAGTGGTGGGGGGGGGGTAGATGTTGTTTGTGAAGTACAGTACATATCAAACATCAAATTGCTCCTTACTTCTTGGTTTGCAACCACACGGCTTCTCGCCAGGGACCCCGCAATCACATCCACCACTTGACAGGGGACACCTAAACGTAGATGGTCGACATTGCCAGTTGCCACTGCAGTTACACTGGAAATAAGCGGCTGCAATACAAATAACATTGTTCATATTAACCATTTCATAAGCTTAAATTTCCTTCATACAGAACAATATAGTTATCGAAATTGGAGTAAAATACATCTAAAATATAGTGTCCACTTGTGGTGGTGACGCAATTTTGTTTAACATAATCTCTTCATGGTGTTTAAGGCATTACAAATCAAGCCGACTTTCCCAATCTCCAGACACCCGGTTTTCCCACACAAAATTATCTCGTCAGAGTTTTAATACATTTGTTAATACATCTTGAATACTAAAAAATAAAATTATGCTGTTTTTTACTCACCTGATATACAACTTGCAATAGCAAGAAGAACCAAGATTCCGATAATGCTCTTCATTTTTTATTTTTGTTCGCAGTCAATTCATGAACTGATACAAAAATCGTCAAACAACTACTTTTATACATTTCTGTACACATATTAACCTCAAACAACTGTGCTTATCTTTGTCCCGATTCAAAGAAATTCGGTCGTCTTAAGCTGCATTGGAAATGGTTTAATTAATGGATCCTCCTCTGATTGGTCGTATGCTATCTTACATCCTAAGGCGTCCTTTGACGACCAGGATGTTTTTGACGTATACTCAAGGCAGCATTTCTTAACCACTAGGAGACGTGTCATCACAGAGATATATGATATCTGATATCGTATTGTACTCTAAACAGTAAACATTGCGAATTAGGGTTTTCTGTTAGGCTATAACATTTAACAAATTCCAAGTCGTGATTTTTAAACCATGTCAGACTTGCCAACCTAAAATGAAAATTTTTCGGGAGATATAAAAAAAATTGCGGTACTTTAACGGGAGTTTTTTTCCAAATCCGGTAGTTTTTGCGGGAGTTTTTTGAAAAAAGCGGGAGTTTTTACGGGAGATTTTTGAAAAAACGGTAGTTTTTACGGGAGATTTTTAAAAAAACAAGAGTTTTTGCGGATATTTTGAAAAAAACGGGAGTTTTTACGGGAGATTTTTTAAAAAAGGTATTTTTCGCGGTAAATTTAAAAAAACGTGACTTTTTTACGGAAGATTTCAGAAAAAACGGGAGTTTTTGCGGTAGGTTCTGAAAAAACGGGAGTTTTTACGGTAGGTTTTGAAAAAACTGGAGTTTTTGCGGTAGATTTTTAAAAAACGGGAGTTTATACGGTAGATTTCTGAAAAAACGGGAGTTTTTACGGTAGATTTCTGAAAAACGGGAGTTTTTACGGTAGATTTCGGAAAAACGGGAGTTTTACAGAAGATTTCTGAAAAAACGGGAGTTTTTACGGTAGATTTTGAAAAAACGAGAGTTTTTACGGTAGATTTTGAAAAAACTGGAGTTTTTACGGTAGATTTTGAAAAAACTGGAGTTTTTACGGTAGATTTCTGAAAAACGGGAGTTTTTACTTTAGATTTTGAAAAACGGGAGTTTCTACGGAAGATTCTGAAAGAACGGGAGTTTTTACGGTAGATTTCGGAAAAAACGGGAGTTCTTACGGTAGGTTTCTGAAAAAACGAGTGTTTTTACGGTAGATTTTGAAAAAAACGTGAGTTTTTACGGTAGATTTCTGAAAAAACGGGAGTTTTTACGGTAGATTTTGAAAACGAATTGATCAAAGCTAAGTAAAATGTATATGTGGCGTTCACTATATGCTAAGGGCAATCTGCGTGAGGTTCCATTTTTAGGTTCGGTTTTTCGCGCATGAGCATTAAATCCAGCGATTTAATTACGGGAGATTTTAAGGGAGTTATACCAGAAAACGGGAGATTTTACGGGAGTTATACCAAGAATACGGGAGATTTTATGGGAGTTATACCAGAAAAATGGGAGATTTTACGGGAGATTTCAGCAAAAATACGGGAGATTTTACGGCCATATTTTTAAAAAAAATTACGGGAGATTTTAGTAGAAATACGGTACGGGAGTTTACGGGAGTTTTTACGGGAGAAAACAGTACGGGAGTTTGGTATTTTTTACGGAAAAACAAAAAATTTACGGAGATTCCCGTAAAAAACGGGAGGTTGGCAAGTCTGCATGTGTAATATTAGTCCATAGATATATATGCGCATTGAATATTATTGTCTGTTCTGAACATTTGTCAAGAATCAGGCATAGGCAGCTGCGATAGTATAATCTAAATGGTAACTTTTCAGCTTTTGAAGCGACATTATGACATTTGGTGCGAAAATAAAGGGATTATATATTTCACTTATAGTTTTCTCAGCGTGTCCTTGGAACGAAAAGGGGGAAATATTTTCTTAACTTTCTGAAGCATTTTTACTTTTCCAGGTATTTTTCTTTTACAAAATTACCTCATAAAATTACTGTTAACATCGACAAGGGGCTTTAACAATGGAGGACACCTGAAATTATTTATCAGTTTGTTAAAGCTTCTAAATGATGAAAAAGTCAAAAACTGAATTTCCCTCGATAAAAATGGCGGTCATTTTGAAATAGGAGGGGGATTTCTTGTATTCGTAATAAACAAAAGCAACCTAAAACTAGAATCATATTGACAGAGGTTTGGCTCATTTCCTGTACACAAGTCTCCATAGGCAAGATTTTAGGATGGAAAATCCCAAAATGGCCGAAAATCCGACAATAAAACTTGCCAATTTTTTTTTACAAAATTAAAAATTAACTACTGTTAACAGTGCCATGGGGTCCAAAAGTGAATTTTGCACGACAAAACTGGCGGCCATTTTGGAAATAGTCGAGCTTTTGTATTAAAGTAACCTAAATCTAGAACCCCATCGACAGAGATTTTAAAAAGTGGCATTGTAGTTGACACGGACAGAATGGTGATAGTGGTGAATGATCGCTAAAATGGCCGACAATAAAAAAGCAGATATAAATTTTGCCGAATTCTTTGTTATTAAATTACTTTATAAAAATACTGTTTACAGCCACATGGGTTTTTACCATGCAGGACACCTGAAATTATTGATAAAGCTACTAAATGGTGCAAAATTACATGTAGATGTTGCGTTGAATAAAAATGACTTAAAATGGAAATCCTATAGACAGAGGTTTTAAAAGTGACACTATTTGTTTAGAGACGGACAAGTAAGTGATTGCTAGTCTGATAGCTTACCATGTGAGCTAAAAACTAAGAATCTCTCAACTTTTCGAGACAGGTTTAAGTTGAACTGGTGTAACAGAAATAATGGTCCCCTGGGTTATGTCCGCCATTTTTGACAACGGTATCTGACTTTACCGTTGTCAGGCTATTCCGGTGTGATAATAGGGCCTGTCTGTACATTCACATTCAATAACCTTGATTTAAGAAATAGCGTGCCGAAATACAGGGGCGTTCCCTGGCTCGAAAAAGCCCCCTCCCCCTCCTTCAGAAAATATGAATACAAAATTGGCACTAAATAAGATAAACCTTGTGTGTCACGTACGTAAGTTGATTCTTCTGCGAATTCCTGAATGAATTGACGGGTGCCAAGTCTACGAAAAACGAAGTCTAGTGTTCTTCGAGGAAATATCCTTGATCATGTATTGTTTATAATTGAATTATTTCCACCAAACGATGATCTCTTATCTAAAAGCGAGGGGTAAGTGAGGGGTGGAACTTGATACAGAAAAATCCACCCGCTCTCTAGATACACAATGTACCTAGAACCTCCGTAAGTATGAAATATTGGAGTATTGAATTATATATATCGTACTGCTTGATCGATTAATCGATTAAACTGTGGACTTCTGCGAAATTCTATATTGACATCACCGTTGTGGAACACTTGAAGTCGCAGAGATTGGAGTTAAAGGCCCCATATAAAGTTTAAACTAAGGTTACCGCGAGCGCTCAAGCAATTAATACCCGTTACGAGCTGTATCAGTACACAGGATGAATATCGTATCGGTTTTCGAAATGAATATACATAATTTCAAGTTTTCGAAGCATTAATCAGGTCAAAAAATAACAAATGACCGAATGTTTTGATCTGAAGTTATAATAACTTACTTGTCAATACATAATGAGCATAGTATCAGTTGTACGGGGGAGATTCAATCAAATAAACGAGAGAGAAAATGCTTAATCTCAGTATTGCTTGTACGTTCTCTTGATGTGAAAAATTTCTCAGGTGGTTTTTCAAGTCTTGATAAGTAATATTTAAATGCTTAGACTTTATTTTCAAACTTAACACAGGGCCTTTTGATATATGGATGTGACATCAAGAACCATTCAACTCTAGATGAGCACCTGTGGTATGAACTGGATCAGGTAAGAATGTGGTAAATCATGTTCAACATAAAATAAAGGTTCAAAATTATCAGTTGTTAGTAAAAGAAACAAACGAATGTTTTAAAATAGTCTATGTTCCAAGGTTCAATTAAATGCAACTCAAGTTCTGTGAAGACATATACTTACGATGACAAACCCTTTTATATACTGTATTTGCTTTGCGATTCTTCAGAAATTATAATGACTTCTGCGACATGCGCCGATACATACAAAGGAATATAATACAAGGTGAGGGGTATTCGCCTGTATTATTATAGCTATAGGCTTAGTCTAACTTTTTGTGGGGTCGGCGGTTGGTGTGCGGCGGTTAATGTTCAACGTTCTTCGTTGGCGTCTGTAACAAATGTAAAGTGGTCACATTTTGCATGTTAATGCCTTGTTTTTTCAGTGAACTTAGACAAACATGGCGGGTGTGATTGAGGGACAAATTAAAGACACACTTACATGTAAAGTCTGCTACCAAGTGTTCAATAATCCTAAAACGCTACCATGTATGCACATGTATTGTTGCGGCTGCCTTGATAAACTGGCTATCAAGGAATCAGATGGAAATAAAGTGAAATGTCCAGAATGCAGGCAAGTACACGTTGTGCCTGAAAAAGGAGTTGAGGATTTCAAGGTCAGTTTTACGACTAAGACATTAGTGGAGATTTTCACTGCAGTTGACACAGAAAACACGCCACGGTGTGAAAGATGTAGAGTACAAAAGGACACAAACGCTGTTTTCAAATGTTTAGAATGCAACAAGGCATTTTGCAAATCCTGCATGAACAATCATGATGAATTCATTACGGGCCATACAATCGTTGATCTTACAGGCAATGAGTCTCACGACATGCGGAGGGCCCTCGAGACGGTGAAGGATCGTACGATTAACTGTTCGAAGCACAACATCCCTTTGCAGATTTATTGCAAGATCGATAGGTGCGCCTTGTGCGCTACTTGTTACGTAATCGATCATTCAGGGCACGATTGTATGGACATAAACCAAGCTGCCCAGGCCAATGTTAAACAAATTGGGGAAGTACTAATACACGGTCATAATTTGCTGAAACATTATGAAGCTGCTATACACGATACCCATGAAACAAAAGACGCCATGGAGACAAAGATGGATAATGCTGTAGATGAACTGACTAACGATATGAATGCGACAATCCAACACATCCGTGATACATACACACATGATATCAACACTATACAAACGAACAAAGACACGTGTACAAAGCAAACGATCGCACACTTGGGGTTTCTGGAACTACAGAAGAGTCTAATTGAGAGCACGATGAACCAACTGTCCACTGTGAAAGAGTATGGTCACAGTGCGGAACTTGCTAACATGACTCCGGAGATTGACTCAAAGCTCGAGATATGGAAGAGTGTTCCAGATCTTAGATTTGATTATACAGGTAAGCTGTTTGGACATTTATGATATTTCACATCTATTCCATGTGCATTTTCTTAGACTTATGGAACTGATACACGGTTTTAATTAAAAAAATGTCGTTGGAATTATTGGAGGTATAGACCTTGACATAATGATACAGGATGCCATGTTCCTTAGTTAGGCGCTCGCCGTTCGGCGTCTGTACTAAATGGCAAGTGGTGACATTTTCCTTGTTTATTTATGTGTAACACTTTGTTTGTCTACACCAATTAGATCTACTCAAAATAGAATTCAATAGTCACATGGAATTTTTAGATTTAGACAACGTCCTGCGAAGACAAGCTCAAAAAGCACTCAAGCTCGAATGGCAAACATTAGATTTAAAGGAACCAAAGGTGGAAAAAGAAGTTGAGGAAGACACAGATGCAGATTATGTTAATCCATATGAGGTAAATGACATTGCTCACTTTTTAAAGTTAGTTTCCATGCGATATACAAAAAATAATCGAAATAAATTAATGTTGGATGGAGGGGGGAGGGGGTGGATGGAGGGGGGGGTGGATGGAGGGGGGAGTTATATGTCTTTACGATGGAACAGATTCACAAGAACTCGTGTATTTGAAAAAACTAAACTCAGTACCCCAGTAAGAAATTGGATATTATATCTCTGGAGAATGAAAAATGGGACAATTTTGAGTTATAAGAATAAATTCAAGTAGCATGTCTTATCATGTCTTATATACACGTTACTCCCCCCCCCTCCATCCACTCCCCCCCTCCATCCAATATTATTTTATTTCGATTATTTTTTGTATAATGCGTGGAAACTAACTTTAAAAAGTGAGCAATGTCATTAGTATTGTGATAATAACGTCCCTTATACCTATTTATTACAGGTCGTGTAGACCATTGTTGCCTGATTTATAGCAAAAACATTGACTTTTGCACGTTAGTGATGATGCGCCTTTTTAATAGATCTCATATCTTAGAAGCGTATCAGTTCAAAACAAAAATAGTAGAAGACCTAACATATTTAGCCATGCACTGCGCCTATTCATTAAGCAATTCAGTTGTATGTTAATTTTCTCTTAAAAGTATAAAACTTCCAAATTTGTTGAGATTTCTTGCAGAAACCGCCCATTCCCCCCCCCCTCCATCCATTTTGTACGATCACCGGGCGTGCTTTTAGTAATTTCCATATTATAGTAGACGCGATTCCAATTATCAATTAGTTATCAATTTTTACTTGATACTTAATGTGAATTCCCAGAACTGCCCATAGTATTGACATATTGAACAGTCATGTAAAAATAAGACTGATCTATAGGTACCCTACTATCGCCATCTTTAATTTTTACAAATAACAGTGCTACAGTGCCTCGGGATGTCATCGCCTAATTTGGTAAACGCCTAGGTTCAGGTCGTTTTAGATTAGAACAAGTTTTTTACAATATTTATTTTAAATTCAAATTCTTCCTCTTTTCACATCGAGCCACCACATGCAATGACAATGTCAATCATGCTTCTGTACGAAATTCGCTAAATATAGGAATACGATCTCAAAGGAAGTTTGACATCCTAAAAAGGCACAGACATCCTGCACTCGGGATGATGGTTTTTCCATTTAAATATCACACTTTTAATTAATTTGCACACCCTAGCCCCTGTTCATGTATGAATGTATCTCTACTATAGAATGTAAAATTCGTCTTGTCCAGAGATCAATATTTGTTCTGAGGTATTCAGCTTCTGAGAATTTCTGTGTTTAAAGTTCCCTGGTACGTGTAGGTTTTCCCACCTCTTTTGTTTTGTCGTATTGGATTAAGTTGATACGTATATTCTGAGTATGGTTATTGTGTTTTTCGGACTAAGCAACCACAAGAAAAGGAATACAACATGTGGGGTTCCAACCATGATGATGTAAATATGGCGTCAGATGAGCGTAACGATTCTCGAAACGATCGTGACGTCCGACCCATACTAGCCGACGAACAGCCTCATGGGCCTATCCAATGTCCCGGACCTCCTGAAATCATCAAAAACACTGTATCTTCATGGCCAGAATCACCCAACAGTACTTCGTTTGAACCAATTCGAAATGCTTCAAGTATTTGCCAATCCCCACCGCAGGAGCATAGCATAACGGACATTCGTCCAAATCAGGCATCTCCCCACTCGACAACTATTGACTATGGACATTTGGCATCATTTACAAATCCTTCAAGTCAAATTCCGGCTGCTCTTTTCCAGACTCCCCAAAAACCACCTGACCATATCTCGGGCTACTCGCCACATGATTCACAGGGGTCTTTCTCTGGTATAAGACTAGGGGAACCAAACCAACGTATGATGCAGGGAGATTTCAACGGGAATCCAAGCTATCAATGTCCTGGCGGCAACATTGGATGGGCTCAACCACAGCCTCCTCCTGGGTTTCATGGACCAATGCAACCTATACAAACCGTAAGAATTAATTTGTATCAATCGTTTTGACCGAATTGATCGTTTTAGTTTTTTCACTTTATTTAATAGAACCTCATTTTTTAAAAGCAGAATCAAAGTTATAGGGATGACAAAATTGCAAGCAACATTCCAATAGATTCTTTTAATATCTCAAATAAATATAATATCTCTCTGTAATCGCATGTAACCACAACTATAGAGAAATGAACATTATATTATAAATAGCTTTAGTTTTACTCAAATAAAGTATGCATTATCATGGGATTAATAGAAAATAGACATGACAAGGATTGGCATTTACGATATTGTAAAATTGAGGAACTGTTTTGTTGAGGTTGCTCGCTAGATCTGATACTATAGTATCGTGAATACTTCATTAGACCGTTTAATTACTTTTTTAGTTCCCAGCTGCACAAGCGTTGCCAACGAGTAGCTCACAACCAGATATGATACAAGAGATGATGGAACTGATGAAATCACAGGCGGAGAGACAGAAAGAACAGGACGAGAAACAACAGGAGCTTCTCAAACAAATTGAAGAACTGAAACAGTCAAAGAGCCGGGACCAACTCCAGTGTATCATATAACAAAACAGCATTTACAAGTGTTACAACTTTGAGATTGTTCTATATTCTTTTAAACCGGATGTCGCACATGTATGTATATGGTAAAACTCCACGGTTATCAATAAAGGTCTCACCACTAAATACATATAATCATATGACATCTTCCCTTTTAAGATACTTGTTCACAAATCAAGCCTTGTAGGAGGCTTCCTTAGTCTTTGAGGATATCGTCTTTCTGGCGATACAATTGATGACGGCTGTGCATCAATTACAGAAGGAACAGTTCCTATTGGTTCTACAGCAGCCATAGGAGTGTGATATTTGTCTCTAATCAGTGTGTTTACTACAGATGTAGTTACATTGTCAGTTATCGGGTTTTCCACACTTGAATGTCTTGGGTAATCCACAGTGTTGAATACAGGCAAGTCACTTGGTGGTGATTCAACACTTGGCGTATGTCCAGTTTGCTGTAAATGACGACGATTACGTCTATATAATGTCTCGCCTTTTTGAACCAGATATGATCGATTACTGGAATCTGGCTGACTTTGAACTACAACAGCCGGATGACTCCAGAGTTTTTCCTGATCACTTTTAATTCTCACATAATCACCAGTATTCAGTGGTTTCAGTGGTTTCGCACCATGGCGCCTATTATAGTATTTTGCATATGATGCGTTTGCATGACTGTCTGAAAGCCGAACTTTGGACTCTATTGGCCAATTAGGCTCAAGATTTTCAGGGAGGGTTGGAAGATTAGTCCTAAGCTCCCTACCCATGAGTAGTTTAGCAGGGGAAATCTTTGTTGGGGTTGTGGGTGTACTATGATAACTAAGTAAAGCTAGCCATGGTTCAGTCTGTCTAAGCATTCGTTTAGCAGTCTGTACAGCCCTCTCTGCCTCTCCATTTGCAGATGGAAAGCGAGGACTACTGGTCATGTGCTTTATGTCATACTGTTCACAGAATACATGAAATTCATGAGAAGAAAATTGCAGGCCATTGTCTGATACCAATACCTCAGGTATGCCATGACGGGCAAAAAGTGCCTTGAGTTTACGGATGATCTCAAATGTAGTAGTTAAGTACGGGCTAATTTCTGAATTTCAATAAATCGCGAGAAATAATCGACAGTAATTTATTCTGTTTAGGTTTCTCAATTTGACATTCAGAGCAAGATTTAACTTTGTCCTGTATTTGTTCATTTATACTAGGCCACCACACGGACATGCGAGCACGCTCCCTACATTTATTCATACCCAAGTGACCATCATGAATTCTCTCCAGAATTTCAGAACGCATACTTTCGGGGACAACAATACGACTTCCAAAAAGTATCAAATCCTGGACAGTGCTAAGAGAATCACGATACACAAAATATGATTTTGCACACATTTTTACGCTCGATATACCACTAGGCCACCCATGTATGATATATTGCATTACAACCTGCAACGTATCATCGGAAAGTGTCGCCACACGAATCTTGTCAAGTTTGTCATTAGACACTGGCTTGGTTTCCACAACTGACTCAACATATGCTGAAACTTCATTTTCCAATTCATGATCTTCGCGACTTTGTTTTGGAATTGACTTGGATGATGCACGTGACAATGAATCTGTTACAATCAGTGATTTCCCTGGGACATGTACAGCCTTAACATTAAATCTCATCAATCTGATAAGGAGACGCTGACACCTTACCGGGGCTAAGTCAAGATCTTTACTGTTGATGAGAGGAATCAGAGGTTTATGATCGGTTTCTACAATAACAGTATCCATACCTGTGAGGTATCGACCAAATTTCTCACATGACCATGTAATACCCAGACACTCCTTCTCAATCTGTGCGTAGCGCGTTTCACTATCAGACAAAGAACGATGACAAAATGCTACAGGTTTCCACTGATTTTCACTATGCAACTGCCATAAAGCGCCGGCAATAGCATGACTCGATGCATCTGAGCTAACTCGCGATTTTTTCTGAGGGTCATAATATGCAAGAACTGGGGCGCTACATAATTTTCTTTTCACTGATTCAAATGCAGACTCCTGAGATGGTCCCCATATCCATTCTGAATCGGATCTCAATAACATGTTCATTGGGTGACAAATGTCCGACAAATTGGGCACATACCTTCCCAAATAGTTGATCATTCCTAACATCCTTTTCAATTCTGTTACATTTGTCGGCGGTGCATACTCATTTATTGCCTTAACCTTTTCTGGGTCCGGTTTAACACCAAATTCACCGATGACATGACCCAAAAACTTCAATTCCGTTTTCCGAAATTTGCATTTTGACTTGTTCAAACGTAGACCCGTTTTTCCGATGACTTCCAACACATTTCGGAGATTTCTGTCATGGGAGTCCGTGTCTGGGCCAAAAACGACAATATCGTCCATGAAGACAGCTACGCCATCTATATCGCGCAACATTTCTGACATTCGCGACTGGAAAATCTCTGGCGCAATTGTGATGCCAAAAGGTACACGACAATAACAATACCTACCCCAAGGTGTAATAAAGGTAGTTAACTTTTGACTTTCATCATCTAAAGGCAGTTGCCAAAATGAATTTGACAAATCAAGTGTAGAAAATATACGTGCGTCCTTCAACTTAAATAGCATGTCTTCTAATGTTGGAAGTTGGAACCGCTCACGCGCAATACACGGGTTAAGCTTACGTAAGTCACAACACGTTCTTATGGCACCCGAGTGCTTCTTTACATTTACCATAGGCGCACACCACTCTGTTGGTTCATTGATTTTACGAATTACTCCTAAATCTTCCATCTTTTCCAAGTTTTCTTTGACCTGGGGCAATATTGGGAATGGTACTCTACGTGGAACAGGCGCATTATACGGCTTCGCATCCCCAGTAAGCTTAATTTTCACAGGAGACGTTTTCATGATACCTCCTTCCCCAAACACAGAATCTACAGCTTCAACGCGTTTAACAAGATTCATAGCACTACAGACTGATCTGCCCAACAGGTTAACAGTATCTTGTTCAACTACATGTACACGATATTTGTATTCACGACCATTGTACAGAGATGTGGCCATAAAATAGCCTAAAACATGTAACTTACCTCCAGGTGAATGGAACTGAACAGTTTCCTGACACAAACTTGGCCTCGGCTCAAGACCTTCATAAGTTTTCTCTGATATTACCGTACTATCCGCACCGGTATCTATTTTAAAACATAGTTTAGATTTTTCGACGGGCAATACAATTTTCCAAGCCGAAATTTCTTCCACAGTGTTTGTTTGTACATGACCAATAAACAACTCTGAACCACTGTCATAGTCATTGTCATCGTCAAGGTCATAATCTGTCTGTCTATTTGGTTGGTCTGATTGGTTGCAGGACAACCGCCATCCCTGCTTTTATGCTTAGTATACCCACAATATTGACAAGGCTTAACAGGGACGAAACGACGTCCCGATGGGGATTTACCAGGTTTGGGCTTAAATTCAGGTTGGGGCTTAGGCTGGTGTTTTACTGATGGGTTTTCAATTTCACTGTAGTTAGGCTTTCTTGACACTGCATCAACATTCACATTGCAATTCTGACTCTTAACGAGCTCAGATTGGCGCATTTTTGCCACTACATAATCAAGCTCTAATTTGAACTTATTTTCATTCATTGAGTCCATCTGTAATTTCTCGGACAGTTTACAGTCTGCCATACCTGTGACCAGTTGATCTCGAATCTCTTCAGTTGGCTTGTCATATTCACAATGTTCAACCATATCATATAAGGCACGTATGTACGCTTCAGCTGATTCACCAGTTTCTTGATTCCTTTTACGGAATTTGACACGATTGTTCAACACATTTCTCTTTGGAACGAAGTGACTATCAAATTTTTCCAAAACTTTGGAATATACCTTTTTGTCATCTGGGTTTTCGAATGACTTCCCCATGCTTATTGATACCAGGTACATGTATAATACTATCACAACTAGAATTGCATTGCATGTGAAAAATATTTCTTATATTTTTTACAGTTGCGTCGCGAGTGCTAGGTAAACAATTGAGAGAAGTATTTCAAACTCAAATAGAAGTCTCAGCTTATCCTCTAAGGAAAATCTCTAAAATCGAGAGGAAGTTGAACAATAATTGCATATGCATTAAGGGAATACCGACGTCTGCTTCCAAGGAGACAGTTCAACTATTCGTTGAGAGCATGAGCCAGCAGAGTAATCCAGAGATACATTATGGTTATGAGCCTGAGAGAGCATTGGTGAAATTTCAAGAGCCAATAGGTAAAGTACATATGAATCGCTCATGTAGTAAGCTAGGCTCTAACGTTTTCTAGGGTATATCATTGAAACTTGAGTATAAACTTAAGTATGCATTTTTACATATGGTTACTAGATAGGTATCCGTTTCAGATGATTTTGAGCCGCTGGAGAATTTCACAAGGAAAAGGAAACTAGAAAATTGTGTTCTGAGTCTGGAGAAAATATTTGAGTCCAATGCTATCCAAGTGTACAACATAAATGAGAGAACCACTGAAGACTGTCTAGAGTTGTATTTCTCTTGTCCTAAATGGAGCAGAGGGGGCGATGTTGAGAAGATTGATTTGAAGAAAACTGAGCAACTAATTGCTATTGTCTACTTCATGGATTACAGAGGTAAATATTGAGTCAGAGAAATAATTTTCATGAAACTGTTAGTCACGTATGATAAATAGTTGTAATGTAGTTCATGTTTATTTTTTCAGTCGTAGCTAATGTGACAAGAAAGCAAACCCATACTTTGAATGGTAACAATATGACAGTGAGAGTGTATCACGCTTTCCTTGGTCCTGTTGATGAGGACTTCAATACATCGACTCCCCATCTCAGGTTGCCCAAACCACTTGTCAAACCACTAGAAAGAGAAAGGAGCATTGTATGTGAAAAGGTGACAAATCTCAAGAGTTGGGAAACGAGATTCTTACTCATGAACAGGTTCATAGCCACCCTTAATGAAAAATTCCAAGATTTGGAAACAAAAATAGAGTTAAGTAAAGGTCAGCGAGGTACCATTATACTAAAAGGTGTACCCCAGGACTGCACAGATTCTAAACTACACATTTACGAGCTACTAAAAACAGCTGTATGTAGATCTTCATCACTTCCTCCTGCAACATTGAATTTACACCAACAAGACCAATGTCGAAAGCATGTGATGGAGTGTTTAAAGAAAAAAGAGCTTGAAGCTGTTTGGGAGGTCGAAGGAGAAGAGTTAAAAGTCTATGGTAACTCCCAGAAAGAATCAGACGCAGCAATTAAATTTATTGGAGGTCTTGTGGTAGAAACCAAAATACAAGTGGACAGGAAATCATCTCAGCTACTGACAAACAACCACTGGATGCAGCTCGTTACATCACTCAGTGAAAAACACAAAGGACTTCTTGAAATCATACCAAAAGCAAATAACACAGACGTTGCCATAGTAAGCATTAGAGAGTTGTCAAAATCTGTCAGATGTATTATAAGGAATTATATCAGTATCTAGTGAATAGTGGAGAGGTTAAGCTACCGTATAAAATCCAGAACGCAACTTAAACGTATCAATCGGCCCTATACAAATACATGTAGAGTTCACACATAATTAGCCGTTCAGCTCTAGTGTTTGTTTAGACTACACCATAGCCTGTAATGATTACATAGTATCCCATTGATGAAGTTCAATAGCTGGTTTTCTAATACATATTTTAAACGAGCTCGTTTCGTAAGATTATTGGAGTTAAATCATGCGTAACATACATCATCTTCTTCAGAAAGAATTATACTCTGCATCGAAATCAAAATTGCAAGGATAGTATTCAACAGACATGAGTACTCGTATAATGATTCCCGTTGATAGCAACGTGAAATTTAAAATCTCCCGTTCTAAACACGCAACTTTGAAGTTGAACGGGTATCTGAAGTAGACTAAAGCGATACAATCCTATGTTGATTCAATGTACTTTGCGTTTACGTATACGTTTTGAAAAAACGTATTTGCTTAACCTCTCCACTGACTGGACATTTACCGTAATGTGTATGTATTCTTCATGGTCTGAATACCATAAAGAATTACATATACCACAAAGGTGCAAAGACAAGATCAGTAATACCATGAGTAGCAAAACACTAGAGGCTATATCACAAATATAATAGTAATTGCTAGCCAGTGAAGGATGAACTAATATAATGAAATATCTTGACGATAAAATGACTGACGGAAAATGGCATAGATCCATCGTGAATGAATAGATTATTGACACATTGCCTCTTAAAATCTATTACCTCATATCTGAGTTTTCCCATCAAGGCCGAACAGCTCTCTGATTTCACAATCCTGTAATTCCCACCACCTGGTTTGGTACCAGTTACACCCCAGTCACATTTGTCGCACGGCGGCCGTACGTCGACCGCAGATCAATTAAATCAGTGTATTTCTGCGGCGAGCGTAGGAAAACTACGCTCGCCTTGTGGCCTCCGTACGGCGTATCCAGTTTTTTACAGGCCGCAGGGTCGCCGTAGAAATAATAACTCGGAGTTATAATATTTGTTCATTTCTGAGGTCCCCGTAGAAATCAACTGGCTCAACAAGATTGAATCCTTATTTGTCAATGTTTCACGATCGCTTTTCATTTGATATTACATCCTAGCACTATAAATAACATTTATAAATTGTCCTGATGTAAATAAAATGAAAAAAAGAAATTTAAAATTCACCGTGCGGCTACCGTGGGAAATGTGACTGCAAAAGTATAAGAGCGCAGAAATTCTACGGCGAGCGTAGAAAAGCTACTGGCCGCAGAAATGATAGACCACACGGCGGCCGTGGGAAATGTGACTGGGGTGTAACTACAATTAGATAGGCTATAGTGCTCATTGTATATACAGGATGGGCCAAAAAAACAATACCCAACTTTAAATCTGGAAAAAATAGTTTCGTTCAATATGGTACATTGGCTTATATATCATTTTAAAGGTAATGCATTTTCAAACAATTTGGTATATAACACTATGTCATAAAATCAATAGTAAAAGTATATCATACTTACAGGGTGGGTTTAAAAAAACGCCACTTTTTTCAAGACACTACAACTTTTTTATTTTCCAACGTACATACCCCAAATTTTGCAGTTATATAGTGCCAAGGGTTCTTAGTAATAATATAATGTAACAAGTCCTTCAACTTGGATTATATTTGATCTAAAAGGGGGGTTCAATTGGTCCGCCACCCTAATTAATGATATATTTTAGCTTTAGTCGCCTTGCTGATATTGCAGTATCAATGAAATGTTAACTAAGTTTTTTTCAACCTGTCTTAATTGCCAGCTTTAGTTGAGCAATTTTCTAGATGGGGTGCCTTCATACAATCTCCTGGAGACCTTCCCATACCCTATACTCACTGGGGTTTGAATCAGGGCTATTAGCTTGGCGATCATCAGGCTGTATTAGTTCAGGAACTTTTTGCAAATTATGCGGTTTATTTCTCATGGCACACCAAATGTTTAAGTGAGACGCTGGTGACATATTTTATTCTAGTAAAAGTATATAATTTATGATCCAACCTCAAGTTTCATTTAGTATGCAAATTATGATTTAATATCAAAAATTAAAAAAGTTATAGCATTTTGAAAAAAAGTGGCGTTTTTTGGCCCATCCTGTATTTGAGAGGCTGGGTTGCTATTTACAATTTAAGGTCTCTAGATTTTAAGGAGAAAATAGTGAATCTTTGGAAATATGTGAACATTTTATTCGTAGAATATTCGCTTTCAACAGAGGGGTATGCAACTTCCCATATTTCATACAAAAGTATTACCTCGGTTTTCCAAATTTGAGAAAAAATGTTTCCTGTACACATTCCAAGAAAAATCTTATTTTGTACTTTTCATGTATGATTTAAAGAAATAACTCAAAAATAAAAACATGATTATCTGCATTCGTACATGTTGATAGTTTAATACTAAATGGAATTCATAATGATTATGGCAATAATGAAAGTGAACATTCCCCCACAAATTATATTTTTTATTTGAATGTGTTCTTGAATAATTATCCATGATGCAACATTCGAAGAGATCATTTTGATACCTCTTTTTCCTATTATGGCTCTTTTTCGTTTACTTTTAAATGGGATTAAACATGTTATATGTGTTACTCATATTCAAAATTGATTTTTCTTCAAGATAAAGATAAAACTTAATATAAGCATATTTCTGAAAGAGGGCATTCATGGCCATCTGGTCAACTTGCACCCTGATTAAATCGGACCCTACGATAACTTGCTCCCTAGTCAGTTTGCACCCAGTTATATTCGAAATAAATATAGGCATCCTGTCAATAAAGGGCGGAAGAAATTAAAGCTAAATATGTAGAATATTAGGAATACTGTATGTATTTAAGATTCACAAAATCGATTTAGAAAATAGCCTATACAAGGTACTGCTTATCCCTATATTTTATGTTGCATATAGATCAAATGTGACTGAGGCATTAACAAGAAAAAATTCAAAGGTAGTCAAACAATCTTCCAGAGAAAGATATCAAGGCCATGTGGAGGGGCGTGGAATTTAGTACTTCATGAGTAATCATGCAGGTGGAGGATTGATCACCTCTCAGGGCTGGGGGCGTCTTCCAAGTAATAATCGAATATAGTCGGAGCATGGGCAAAATGCCATTGTGTAGCCCCCGAAATCCGAGGAAGGTAGACTACTGAAAATGTTTTACTCGTAGCCAGGATTGATGAGAATTTTGTGTTTTATTTATCAATTTCATAAGATGAGACACTGGTTGACATATCATTGAAAAGAAGAGACCCGTGGTTGCATGGTAACTAAGTTAAGTTGATGTTGACATCGCTGGTTTTGTGCTTTGACAATGTTTTTGTTTGTTGCGTTTTTTGAGACGCACTGTATTAATATATCGAATGTCTTTACAAGTGGCATCGTTTATTTGGAGATGCTATGAACGGCACTAACTTGCTCAACTGAAATTATGGTCAGGTGAAATTGGTTCCAGTAATTTTTCAAGAGGTTATGACAACTTTCCTAAAGAATGGGTATCGATATGGCGAACTTTTTGAACACACGTTTCTCTTAAACCAGTCATCAAAAATTTCTGAAAATCTTACAAATTGTCAATTTAATGGCCATCTTTTGAATGGTAACAATATAATTTGAAATAGATATACATACTGTCATCTATATTGTTTTAAAAAACACATCAAACACTTGTTTTGTTCTTGGTATCATGTTACCAGAGTGAAATGAAACACCTTTCCGAACCTCATTGGAACAAAACGACATAAACACAACATGTTTAGGTCTCTCAGTATTGTAATTGTACAAAGGAAATTTTGGTTGATTTTAAAAAAGTATCTTGTTAATGAAATAAAAGGTTTTTCTTGATTTTTATCTATTTTGGGGGGATTTTGTTTTCATTTTTTGAATACTTTTTTTAAAATCAACCAAAAATTCCTTTGTATAGCTTTAATATTGAGAGGTCTAAAAACATGTTGTATATGCAATTTTGTTCCAACAAGGTTCGGAAAGACAGTTTATTTCATTCTCAAGAATTGGTAGAAAGGAGCAAAAACAATTGCACTAAAAAAACAAAAAATGTTAACAAAAACAGTTATATAAAATATTTCTAAATAATTTTCGCATTAAATTGTTGTCAATCAGTCAACATTACATAAAATACTGTGTTTTTTATCAGAATGTTTTCAATGATTGGTTTGAAAGAAAACATTGTTGAATTCAGTTCTCCATATCGATACCTATCCTTTTTCACGTTTTGGGGAATGTTAACAAAGGAAGTTAGGATGCTAAGGTTTTTAATTCTGTTGTGTATAGACAGTAGGATCAATTCCCAAGAGACTGCGCTTGACACAGTATTGCCATCCGAACTCCGAAACAACTTCATTTCCGTAAGATAAGATCACCATTTTCACTGAAATGATCAGATGCATTCGCGAATTCGGTAATAATATCAACAAGGCATTAACATGCAAAATGTTAGTACCTGTCATTTGTTACAGACGCCGACCACCATTTGTTACAGACGTCAACCTCCAAACACAGTCCACAAAAAAGTTGTAGACTAACAATTTGTCAACACTTCTGGTGGTGACATAACAAACCGAGTACTGCGGATTGATCACTTGTAGAGAGTGTTAATTTGTAACTGAACACAAATAATGTAAGAACTTCGTGTTTGAACAGGGAGGTACATGCAGTTTTATTTATATGCCTCTAATCTAAAATTTGTATATCAGTTAACAAACTTGTGATACAAAGACAAGACATAACAGGATTAAAACAACAAAGTAGATATATGGCTTACTTGTAAAAAGTAAATAAAAACAACAGGTGACTTGACAAAAGAAAGATGGCAGAACATCTACTCTGCCACATCCTTAAAATGTGAAATCACAAGATGCGCTACATTTTAGAGAAACCCTCAAGTAACTCTAACAATGTGAAGATTATAAATAGTAATAGGACGTTTTTATGAATAACACAGTTTAAAGTAACACAAGTTTGTTTTATGTACATGAATGTAATCGTTGTGCTTTGCTCACACTATAAATTGCACACTTCAAAGAAAGTGGTCATGGAATTTGAAGAAAGAAAGTGGTCATGGAATAACACCTAGATCGACTGGGGCTCCATCCAATCCAGAAAATTAAAATGCTACTGTTTTTCACCTAATACTCCAGTATAATATAGTTGCATATATTTTGTCATGATTATTATTCACATCGTGGAACTTTTGTAGTTATTTATCACTTAGCAGTATTCTGGACGCACTTTTGGTCCTATATTTCTATACTATAAACAGCATGCGTTTTACACAAGTATGCTTATTAAAAGATGTCAGGGGATACGGACAAATCCTCTGATTATACTAGTATTTATCCATATGGTGTCCGTATAGTTAGTTAAAAATCTTCCTTGCAAACTCCTTCAGGTAATGGAATATCAAAGATAATCGGTGACTGCACTGTTTTGTATCCAAGGTTACAAATAGAAGCATTGATGTAGGTAGTGGTGCCATCTGTTGACATACCATGAGCTGCAAAAGACAAAGAGCAAGATTTAAGTCGTTATGCACGATGGTGTCATAGCCCTGTACCATAGACATTATTGTGTAACAGTGTAATATGAATTGAATGTGTTGTTTTCACTTTTTGCACAGACGCAGGGTTTGGTTTAGCAATCTCCTATCATGGGACAATATTTCACTTCTGAGGTAACAAATACCCATTTGCTTGTGAATAAAAATGTAATAGAAAATGAAATCTCTCATATACAGTACATTTGTAGTTTGAAGCTTTGTAGTATAGGTAATCTAGCAGAGACAACACATTTTGATCAGAAATATACTCTTAAATATACATTCAGTACATTCATGAAAACACAGATACGACTTTCAATGAATAAACTTCTAAGACCTATAACCTACCTTCATGTATGTGACCAAATATGTGGAACTTTGGTTTGACTCTGAACTGGATTGTATTCAGAAGTTCAACACAACCAGCCCTTTGCATAGATTTTGTCAGGTCACAATGTCCTTTAAAATACAATGCACATTTAAAGTACAGTAAAACCTGTATCTGAACACCTCTCTAATTTAAACACCTCTCAATGTGAAAACTTTTTGGTATCATTTCTTAATCTGCCAAACTTCAATGTTAAAAAACACTGAAATGTGAACAGTAATAACTTGGCACTGTCCCAGTGGCGTTTGGATTAGACAGGATTTACTGAAGTAACATTTCGCCTGATTTTATTTTGTGTCGATGAACTGGCCTATGGCCTGTAGCAAGCTGTCATTGGGAGGTCGTTCCTATCTTCAGACAGAGGGAGCGATGCAATTTTTGGGTGAAATCTGATCATCAAGCTACGCTATTATCAACATTTGCAATAACTGAATAACAAGTGTATAAAGGTATTTATATTATTCCCAAGTGTATAATAATTTATTTTTTAAACACCATTAGAACAATTCATCAACTTTTTCCTTTTAGGATTCTTTGAAACCCTCATTGAAAAAATACAATTCAATGGAGACTATAGCTACAATACACACATTTTTACTAAATTGCTGAAAAAGTGATGCATTGGTGGACATACCTAAAGGAGGCCCATGTGTGATAAGTACGTCTGTATTGCTTGGAATTTGCTGCCATTTCTCTAGTAGCTTTTCCCCTCTTGGTAAGCCAAAGGCATTGATTCCAAATTCTGGGGCCCTACAAGGTCATATATATACTGAGCAGTTAGTACTAGTAATTAAGAAGTTATTTAAAGAAAATTATTTTGTAACTTGATACCTAACAGGGTTCAGTACCATTTTGGAGATTTTTTCATTTACATTTTCAGAATAACAGTCAGCAAGGTTTGTTTTTAAAAATGCCACAATTTGGTGGGCTGACATATTAAGTCTACATATTTTGAAAAATGAGATATTCTTACTACGTTAGGCAGTATTCCTTCCAACTGAGGTAGAAGTAGGAGCCCAGACAAGCAAATAAAGTATGCACAAGGAAAACTCTCAATATATAATTTTCATAATCTGAGCATGAGTGAAAACCCTGAGTTAGCCTACTGTACTTTTTGCAAAACTACATGTACCTACCACGGGGCTCCATAAATGTTGATGCCATAAAGTTCTATTGTCTTATCTTGAAGATAGGTGGCACTGGTAATCAATTCCCGCATTTCTCCTGTATTATTTCCAGGAGCTGTTTTCTCATCAAATGTTATTTCATGATTGCCCGCAATCAACACTTTGTGTTTATGTGAAAGAGATCCTAGAAATTAAATTGAGGTTAAACATTTTAAAAGAAAGCTGACAAGTTGAGGTTGATATTTAAAATCATGAAATGATTTTAATGAAAACAGTCAAACTGAAATATTTCAATTGATGGCAACTCCAACTCTAATAAGTCTGAGAGGAAGTATACATGGAAATTTTCAATCTTTAGAGGAAATAGACATGGAAAAAATGCTCAAAAAGGGGGTCTTTTGCGCGGCCCATAGGTATTAAGAGGTATATTGGAGGGAATACCCCGGGTAAATGGTGGATATCATATTCTTAGGGAGAAATAGGTCCAATCAACCAACTTCAATGATGAGTTATGCATTTTCAATAGATTCCAAAAGGATTGAATCAATTATACAGAAATTATGGAAAATTCTATGTTTTTTCTACTATAGGCCATCACCATCAGGAGAATTGTCAAAATCCTGTATCTTAAAGGTTTATGGTACATGTGTTTTTGAACAGAGGGATCACGTGAACATGAACATTTGCTCACCCATTGTTTTGTTGAAATTCATGATTTCTGTGACTCTGCCAATATTAGAGAAGTCACCAGCATGGATGAGGACATCCCCCGGAGGTATAGCGTCAAGGCACTTATGAAGTTGGGAATGAGTGTCAGATATACACACAAAACGCACCTAGTAAGAAAAGTAAATGTAATTTAAACAAGAATTAAACTGACGGTTAATTTTTTTTACAAACAAGATATTTACTTGCTTGCATATTAGAGCTATCATTTTAATGACTGTGCTTTACACTAGTTTTGGCATTGGTTACCCATTCCAAGGTGACATTTTGTCCTAATGTTATTTCATGGAATGATTTTAAATGCAATTGTGCATTCCTTAATCAGAAGTTTGACTATATGTTCCTTGGCTGTATTTTCCTTGATCTTCACATTCAATTCAAAGATTCAAAGAATTTTATTTTGGCAAACTAAGTATTATAAATATCATAAAGGCATATACCTTATCAGGGAAAATTGGAGTGTCAACAGGCATTCGTTTTTTCTGAGGTATTTGTTGAAATATTCGCTTTACTCTGAGGATTTCATATACTGTACATGGATCATCTGTATATTTGTGAATTCCAATGTGAGTATCACCTTTCTCACTAACAGTAGGGGCGGAATTGTCCGTCTCTTGTTGCTTTAATTTCTCAACCTCATATCTCTTCGACACATGACTATTTTCCCGTTTAACAGCATCACTTGCTTTAGCATAACTCACACAGTTAAGTTTACCAATGAAATCAGGATTTTTGAAACGTTCAAAAACAGAACGACGTGCAGCAGTACTTCCATTAGGTATAACACACTCCACAGGTTCTGATGAACTAGTTCGACTTGCTTGGTTATCATTCATGGAATGAGACTCATTCTCCTCTGATGTGTGATGATTCCCTGATGCACCAGGGCACGAGGTAGTTGAATTGGAAGTTAACTTCGTACCATGGAATGTAGTACACAAAACACATTGATGTGTGGTGCTTTCAATATTCTTTCCATGTTCTCCCATATTACAATCCCTGCATTGTTCAATTTCTCTCTCCATCTGAAATATGTACAAAGGGTCAATGTGGTTTCTAAGCAGTGGCGTAGCAGTAGTGTCATGCAATACGCGTGGCATCTCGTTGAAAATCCTCAGTTAGAAAATCCATAATTTTACCTGTTACTTTAAATTGTCACCACAAAATACATGAAAACCTCATAAAAATTATGAGGAAAACACTTCAGATAAAAGCCATTAGGCTAATTCCTGGTTTGAAAACTCCAGTACTGTCAACCCCTAAAGATTTTCTCGCGGGACAGATTTTTTAGACCAAGTGCCCAAAATTTGCGGGATTTTGCGGGACATCCACCTAAATTTGCAGGATGTCCTGGGACATTCAAGGGATTTGCGTGATTGGGACTAATGTAAAAGCGTGTAAAAGTACTTAAATCAAACTTTCAGATACTGATTAATCAAATATAATGCACCGTTACATTGTAACTTAAATAAACGTCAACACAATTTCACAAAATACGCATAGGAATATTATTATACTTCACGGTCAAGCCAAGTAACTTAATCAATCAATTTCAATTGAAAGCCCATGATATAGAGGTTCGATTAATCTACATCAAATTATAGGAAATGAGGTTACTTTTCTAGATAGGGTTTGTAGAAAAAACCGGGTACTGGGTAGTAAATCCTCCATGCTGGGTTCAAACTTGGTACCCGGTCGAAAAAAACGGGTACCCAAAAAACGAAATATACGAATATACAACATAATTAGATCATTAGAAAACGTGTAAGATTTGTTTTGAATTATAAAAATGTATGTTACTTCCTTCAAAATTGAGCTAGAAGCTTCAAATAAAAAGCATTTTAAGGCTCTTTTCTTCCTCTATCATCATGGTCATATTTCCATTGGTAATGACATTGTAAGACGATTTGAAAAACAAGACAAATCAATCTTACTCTATTTTCAATACTGTAGATTGGGTTAATTTGGCGCCCGCTTTAATTTGGCGAAATTGAAAAATTCGCCAATATAAATCTTCGCCAAGATTTAGAATGAATCCCCGGGAATTATCTAGGGTATTTCGTCCAGTGTATTTAGGTCATTTCCGGTTTAGTTTTTTCCAAAAATATGAAAAAATGTCTCTCATAAACTGGCTCAGAACTGGTCCGTCACTCATTAATACTCAGGGAAAAACTAGAAAGGAAAAGCATGGTAAAGTAGCAGCATCGATCGAGGTGCAAAATGTAAAGGATGATCCCACAAAAATGTACAAACGTGGTGAATATCGCTAGTGGTCCTCAAAAGAACATAGCCAAACATGCCCATTTACATGGCAATTCGCAAACAGTGCGGCGCGTAAGTTAATTAATTTTTTTTTGCATATCCGCCAAATTAAATAGCCGCCAAAATGCCAAAAATGGCAAAATCGCCAAATTAAGTAGCGCCAAATTAACCCAATCTACAGTACTTCGTATGTTGGTACATGAATTGTTTTGATTATGATTTAAACCTGTAAATAGCTATCGTTGCTTTAGCAGAGAGGAAACGTGTGTTAATTTAAATGATGCAACGTGTAAGATTTTGATTATTAATCATAATTTAAGTTATCCCAATTTTCGACAAAATGTCCACTGAATTGTAAATTGTTATGTCTTACAATGTCATAGGCGTAGCCAGGAGAGGGTGCGATCGCACCCCCCCCATAACCAATGAAAATATGGCCATGACGATAGAGGAAGAAAAGAGCCTTAATATGCTTTTTATTTGAAGCTTCTAGCTCAATTTTGAAGGATGTTACATACATTTTTGTAAATTCAAAACAAATCTTACACGTTTTCTCATAATCTATTATGTTATATATTCGTATTTTTCGTTTTTTGGGTTCCCGTTTTTTTGACCGGGTACCGGGTACCAAGTTTGAACCCAGCATGGAGGATTTACTACCCGGTACCCGTGTTTTTCTACAAACCCTTTCTAGATATCAGCGTCCATTTATTGTAACTCGCGTTTGCTAATATTTGCTCAGTTCTGAGATGAAGGCCACACGGGTAGTAAAAAGGCCAACGTTGGAACTATTTGTGACCTACATCCCTATTTTCGTAATTAAAATGAAAGTTGAACCTTTCCCCTTAATTTTGATATCAAACAACAGCATGCTAGGTACTTAAAATTAGGTAAACTTTACTCCTCAAAAGTGCAAAAACTTGTGCTTCTTATAAAAGATAAGATAATCACAATATAGGGGATTGCAACAATTTCGGAAATTCGCGGAGGTCAAAGCCACATTTGCGGGACTTCGCGGGACATTGCGGGACACGCGAATTAGCCTAATTTTGATCAAATTTGCGGGATAATCCCGCCATTCGCGGGACACTTGACAGCTCTGAAACTCCCTAAACTGCTAAAATAACACAAACGATTTGAATAATTAACAGTTTGTTTTTATGCCTAGGCTTATTTACATGTAGATAGGAGAAAACCTGGGTTATGAGGGCCCAACCTGTGCCAACGATCGAGTGCTTCTGGGTGATTTTGAAGTGTACTAGAGTAAATCCACACCAATCAACTATACATTCAGACAATCCAATAGCAATAAAACAGTATACTTATGGCTTTTCAAGAGTTGAAAGCCCATGGTATACTGACACTGTGCACACTGACAGGAGTAAGTCACCCCCTCTTACATTTAGAGGTTATGTCACTATGATGTGAATTATGCCTGAGTTCTCCCAATATAGGCCAACCTTGGGAGGCTAGAATTGGGCATAGTGACACAACTGGTGTACAGTATACCTTAATTCCCATGGTTACTTTGTATCAATGACATACTTTTTGCTTGTTTGCGTGAAGTACTTCAGGGTGTTTGACTAAGTGGTCTGCAACTCGTACAAAAGGCTGTGGTGTGTACTTATATGTCTATGTATTACATACCCAGCGAAGCATTTGTATTGAAGTCAATGGAGCTGAAGGTCGGCTATATATTCCTGTATAGCCGCCAAACCTTTTACCATGACAATCTTATGACGTCATCGGGACGTCATGTTTTCTTCCTACTTTCACTTGCACACAGACACGTGATATAACGTAGCCATAATATAAAAGTATGTAATACAACAGTTATGTCCGTATCATTGAATATATGCCTTCGGTCTGTCGTAATATAACCCTCGCAAGCTCGGGCTATATTGGTGACAGACCTTAGGCATATATTCAATGATAGGGACATAACTGCTAAGTATTACATACCCAGCGAAGCATTTGTATTGAAGTCAATGGAGCTGAAGCTCGGCTATATATTCCTGTATAGCAGCCAAACCTTTTACCATGACAATCTTATGACGTCATTGGCACGTCATGTTTCATTTCTTCCTAATTTCACTCGCACACAGACACGTGGCGTCATTGATATAACGTAGCCATGATATAAAAGTATGTAATACAACAGTTATGTCCGTATCATTGAATATATGCCTTCGGTCTGTCGTAATATAACCCTCGCAAGCTCGGGCTATATTGGTGACAGACCTCAGGCATATATTCAATGATAGGGACATAACTGCTAAGTATAAGTGCACATAAAAGAACACAGGGCTCCTTCAAGGAGGGGTTTCTGGGTCTATCTTCCATGTTAATTACGTAAATTACGACCGTATATATACGGGACATACCCAAGAGGTATTGCTCACCTTCATTGGTGGTAAACAAAATACAATACACAATACATCACACATCTGTGTGCGAGTAGAATTTCAAAACAAGGTACATGTACGAGGGCTATATCGGGGTGATCAGGCAATATCGGTTGATATAGCCATGGGCTTTCAATAGACCCATTGACTTCCATACAAATGCTTCGCTAGGTATGTAATACTATAAATAAGAGTGTTAACAAGGAGTTTTAATATAGCATAAACATGTAAGAGGGAGGGGTGACTTACATGTACATGTATTTCCCATGAACAGAATAGATAAATACAGTAAACCTAGAGTCCATTTCACTGCTTCAGTGCGTCAGTAGAACGGCAAAAATAAGAAATTCGGAGACTATTGTGCAATAATATATGGAAAAGTATATTCATAATGTACATGAATGACATTTGTATATCTTGGATTGCTTCTAGTTTGGCTTATAAAGTGTGTGGCCTCTTATATTTGGATGTTTCTCTGCCATGTTATTTTCAATAAGATTAACATGGCTGAAATTCTTCAAATTACAAGACGGCACAGGCTTATTGCACAAAAAACTAAAAAATCTGAAATAAACAAATGTCATTCATGTACATTATGAATATACTTTTCCATATATTATTGCACAATAGTCTCCGAATTTCTTATTTTTGCCGTTCTACTGACGCACTGAAGCAGTGAAATGGACTCTACCTAGTCTAATATCAGCAAGTTATCCCAAGTCTTCGTTTACCTAATAGGTATGTTCTTGTCTCATATTAATATGTTCTCGTATTAGTCATGAGCAGCATTGTACTTTTGATTGTGCTGTTCAGATACATGTAATTGATAAAAATAAATTCTGATTCATCAAGTCGATCGAAATTGATCCAAATCAAGTTTACGCACTTTTCATTGGATAAACTAAATGGTTGAAGTGTTTATTCTTTAAATACAAGGCATATTTTCTTCCTTATTCATCAATTTATAGCATAGGCGGAGGATAAGTACTATAGTAAACCATATAATATGGTTTACTATAGTACTTAACCTCCGCCTATGATTTATAGTCTGAAAATTGAATAAAAAAAGTGATTTTCCAAAACCGGAAGTTTTTAACACTGAGCGAAACGGATCTAATTTTCCCTATTTCAACCCGGGAATAACAACGTCCTATCCAGAAAACATTTATCAAGAACAAAACAGACTAAAATGTACAAAGGTTAGGATCCGACACGTATAAATGTTTCTATTTTTACGTATTCTGTTTCAATAGTCCTTTAAATGCTTATTTTTTAGATTCAAAGTAGTTCCAAACATTACTGTCAGAGGCGTCTGGTGTACACGCGATCGCCGCTCCTGCCAAGTGCCCGTGGACCTTGTATTATAGACTGTGGACTATTCTGTAGAAGTGCTCTAGAAATGGATCCTGCTTTTCATGGAAGGTCACACATTCCAACATATTTCAAACAATTTGTATGATTATAATAGACACTTTCTGGGTAGTTGGACTTAATGTAGGGGTGGCAGAAGGCCCTCAGGCCAATTTATACCCCTACCCCAACAAAACCTTGGGGGTACTTTAATACCACCCAATAAAAATAATATCAGATATTCATCGTTTTATAGTGGGTAGGGCATGCCATGGTTAGTCAGTGCCAGAAATTTCCAATCTCTGACTTATATGGTTACCATGGAAACAGTATTTATATCTCACAATCTTCTCAATTTGACCCCGTCCCAAATGTGTCCTTAAGTTCTCAAAGTGAAATATTTGCAAATCTGTTTGGATTTTGTGGCTGCAACTTTGTCAAAAGTTGAATTAATATGTATGTATTCATACTAAAGCACTAAAAACTTGATATAATGATCTCATAAATTAATAATATTTATCAAATGTAGTCACACACAACTGCTTTTAGGGAAAAGTGGGTGTGGCACTTTTTGGTATTTGTGTAATTGTTGCAGCATTAAATGAAAAATACTTATTACACTAACAACAATTGACATTTAATTAGCATCTACTAACATTGTGTAACATTGTAGTATGTTCATTATCATTATTAGATACTTTAAATATTTTATATAAGTGTTATCATGACCCTTCCCTATCATAGGTCATTAATGGTCAAATTAACTTTTAAGTCCTAGAGGTCCTTAGTCTTTTTAGCTTGTCAAAGTCGTATTCATTGACTTGAACCTAGAATATAAATAGTTTCATTGATCAAGAGCTATGAGTTAAAATTGATTAATACATTTGTCAGGTTTAGAGCCATTTTATGCAATTGAAAAGTAATGGACCGACACTGATCAGTACCAAGCGAAGGTAACGGCCGTAACCTTCGCATCTAAGATGGCGGACAGTAATTGTCGATTTTGATATTTTTAATTTTCATTGAATTAAACTACTTTAGAGTTGATGTTATGCTTTGATATTTGCACCAAATCAGGCTTAAATGACATTGGAACCATAGATGTAGTAAACATGAATAAATGATATGTGAAATGTTATGCCCTGCCTTTATACATAACTAAGATTTTCTCGGATAAATGGTGTCTTACAATTGACTAACTGATTCTATTATCAACATCAGGTAATGCATGATCTATCCAATGGATTAACGAAAATACTTGATTCCAATATGGCAAAATAAATTATTCCATGTATGAATTGCATAGTGCATCATTTTGCAGATATTACATAATGCATTCATTGACTCATGGTCAACAAGGTACGGGTAAAACTCCTTTTAGTATTTCACAAAATAATGAAATATAAACAATTTACACATTTCTGAAATGCTGTACCTTTAGTGATTCCTTCAATCTGGAAAGTGGTTTGTTATGTTAAAACTTAAAATAATATCTAAACAAATCTGCTTAGTGTATAAAAACAATAAAAGTTAATATGTTTAATATCAAATATTATTAGACATATGAATATAACCTAAAATAAGAAATCTTGTTCTCGTATTCCATTTTAAAATTGGTTGAATGATTTTGGCACAGTAGAAATGATGGTCATGATTCAATATTATATGTAATATGCCCTGATGCTGTAACATCAATGGTCCTTTATAATCAGGTATGACGTCACTGAAATACTGGAGAAGATCTTATAAGGTTACAGTTTCCATATAACGTATGTTCCATATTACTACCCCAAATCTCCATTGTGTAAGAACGAATATGGTAAATCAATAGACTAAGTGACACATGTCAAGTCAATGGTAAATACTTGTATCTAGCCCAACTAGCACAAGTGCTGCCATCTACCGACTAGTATCAATCCATCTATCCATATACATAGCACCTAATGAGGTCACGACTTCAAGTAAAGCTTTTTCCCTTGTCTATGGTAAAAAATAAGTTAAACAGAAAAGTTAGTTTGACACCATTGGTGATGCCCACCTTGTATGGTATAGGGATAAAAGGAAAGTTCATGATAACACTTACATAAAATAATTTAAGTATCTAATAATGATAATGAACATATTACAATGTTACACAATGTTAGTAAATGATAATTAAATGTCAATTATTGTTAGTGTAATATGTATTTTTCGCTTAATGCTGCAACAATTACACAAGTTCCAAAAAGTGCCACGCCCACTTTTCCCTAAAAGTAGTTGTGTGTGACTATATTTGATAGATATTATTGATTTATTGGAGCATTATATCAACTTTTTAGTGCTTTAGTGTGAATATATACATATTTATACAACTTTTGACAAAGTTGCAGCCACAAAATCCAAACAAATTTGCAAATATTTCACTTTGAGGGCTAAGGGACATATTTTGGAGGAGGTCAAATTGAGAAGATTTTGAGATATAAATACTGTTTCCATGGTAACCATATAAGTTAGAGATTGGACATTTCTGGCACTGACTAACCATGGTATGCTCTGCCTACTATAAAACTATGAATATATGACATGCATTAGTAGCCTTTTTATCAGGTGGTATTAAAGTACCCCCAAGGTTTTCTTAGGGTGGGGGTAATTGGCCTGAGGGCCGTCTGCCACCCCTACATGAAGTCCAACTACCCAGAAAGTGCCTGGCATAATCATACAGACTGTTTGAAATATGTTGGAATGTGTGACCTTCCATGAAAAATGGAAGTTGCAATTATCAGAGTAGTCCACAGTCTATTACGGTCTGCTGGCACGCGAACGCCGCTTCTGCCAAGTGGACCCTGTACCATTAGGGTATGGTACGCGATCGTCGCTCCTGCCAAGTGGACCCGGGTCTGGTCTGGTACGCGTCCTGTGCCCTCATCAGTGGATAGGTCAGGGCTAGGTAAGACTAGAAGTAAGGAAAAACACATTCAGTCAACGCATCATCAATGATTGGAACAGTCTCCCTACAGAAGTGGCACAGGCAGAAAATCTGGATGTCTTCAAGACAGCTCTGGACAGACACTGGGTGTATCAACACTACCGGCTATAGGTTTCCCCCCTTTTTTGTCCTTAAAGTTGTACCAAAGCTCAGATCTTAACTATGTTTGAACAGATGAGACTAATAAACTGGAGTAACCAACTAGTCTTAATACTGATGATGATGATGATTTAAAACCCCAACTGTTTTAATAGGGTAAGGGTTAAGGTTAGGGTTAAATTCATTTTTTGACACACAGGTTTATTGTATTTATGGAATTCATTTTTCTTTTGACACACATATTCATGGTCTTAGGTTTGGCGTCTTTTTTCTGACACACAAGTTTATTGTGTTTATGGATATCAGCCTGGGCTTTAATGTTCTCTGGGCACTGGTGGAGCTGGTTGCGCCAGAGGAAGCCTAGTACCTTGTTAGTAGTATCAAAATCTAACAAGGTACTAGGCTTCCTCCGGCGCAACCTCCACCAGTGCCCAGAGAACATTAAAGCCCAGGCATACAAGTTACTAGTACGGCCTAACCTAGAATATGCTAGTGCAGCATGGGATCCTTACCGTCAGAAGGATATCAACATGCTGGAACAGGTACAAAGAGGAGCAGCCCGATTTGTTACCAAATGTCACTCTAGGGAACCAGGCTGTGTCACCCAAGCTCTCCAACACCTGCAGTGGGAATCACTACAATCCCGTAGGGAGGCTTCTAGACTTTCCCTCTTCTACAAAGGAACTCACAACTTGGCAGCCATCACTATACCCACATACTTCAGCCCTCAAATAAACACACTAGACTGACAGTTCCATCCATCCAAATTCATCCAACCAGCTGCCAGAACGGATGCATACAAGTTTAGTTACTTTCCAAGGACAATAGTAAAATGGAACACTCTACCCAGTGATATTTTAGACAGTGATAGCCTATCCAGTTTTAAATCTTCTGTCAGCAAGCAGCTTAACAATTAACATGATTAAGCTCAGTTGTATTTTAGCAATAGGTCTATGGTACATTCTTAAAGATCTAATAGCAAAGGTTTTGCAAAAATAAATCAATGCAGTGTAAAACAAATGTATGTATAATGAAGAAATAAATATTTAATGAAAAAAATAGATATGTGTTTGTAATATTGGTATTAACTTAAGATTAAAAAGTGTCACTATCTCTTTCATTTTTCAACAAATATAGGCTCACGTGACATATGACGCGGGGCAGTCAATTTTGATCTATCGTAGACCATATCAGTATCAAACTGCCGATATTTCAACCTCGTCTTGCGAGGCCATTTTTATTTGAAACATCTTGAATTTGGTGTCAAAATAAAGCTGGTCACGCCCACTTTCAGAGTTATCAATGAATCATTTACTACGACTACTATATTCATTTAGGAGGCGTGTAAAGTTAACCAATCAGAAAGACAATTGCTCCATATATGACAGTTCATTAACATATTCAGTGTTTACTATTGTTTTTCGCGTCATGACAACACGAGTAGTAACCAATCAAAATGCCGTATTTTATCACGTGAGTTCAGACTGACATGCACGACATGTAAGTTTAGTCTGAGCTGATCGCGATGTTGAACAATTTCTTCTCGGAATTTGTCCAGAGAAATCAGCGATTCTAAATTAAGGTAGGATCTCCCATTTCTTCCTGTACAAGTTTTAACTTATCTCTATCGAATCCTAAAGTTTTGGATGAAGATATGAAGCATACGTTTAAAAACGAAGCGATTAATTTGACGATCTGATTTTGCAATTTGCAATGGCCAATTTACTGCAAGTCTGCGTGTATTTGACAAGAGATAGCGCCAAGTCTTGTATCCGAATGCTTGTTAAGCCACTCAAAAACAAGATCCATATTTTCTAAATTTGATAACTTTGCAGAGAGCACGTTTTCATAACCTGTTTTCCGCGTCTAAATTCAAACTGAGTAGGATTATAGGATCGCTGGGATTCTCAGTCAATGGCAACGGGTCTTCATTCCAGAACGCACATTTTTTTAGTTGATTCTCCGTCATAGTACTTGTCTAAAGTCCATATCTGCTCTTTTACTGGCATACTTGGACATATTTCCCCTCCTTAAATTGTCCTCCTTAAATAACACCCTCTCGCCGATTTATATATAGCCATTTCCCAGAACCCGGGAGTCAGAATCGCTGATGTTTGCCATATTGAACATGTTGAAATATGTACTGTAATATCTGTAATACTAGGTATTGCCTGCTACGCGTAAGGGTCACGTGACTAGCGCGATACAGGAAAAATGGGGAATTTCGAAACAACAATTTTTGGGCACTTTTATTGCAAATTTCAGGTATTTATAAGTGTTTGTGGTATAAAATATAATCCACAGACATAAATGAACATCCAAAATACATATTTTATTACGTTTTGGAGCCTTTTTTGCTTTTAAAATGACATCTTTAAAATTTGTTTTTGTTACAAATGATTTTTGAATATGGCTTACTTTTCTACGAATGGGAGCATCGACCTTGGGGAAGATGCCTCCTTAAGTGGAGAAGTGTTGCATGATTTCAGTGTACATTTTAAAATAAAATGAGTTGTAAAATGTAAACCATAGATCTATTTTTTAAATGTTAAGGTTCAAATTGTAATCTATTCAAATTATATCACTGTTAAACTATATATCTGCTTATTATCTGCGGATGTAGATCATTTTTTATTTTCTTTGACACATACTTATGGTCTTTTTGGAATGTTTTGGCACAGTTTCATGGTTTTGATGGAATTCATTTTTTGATTGCATGTCTAATGATCTCCGATGAACTTCAAATACTTTTTTTTCTATGCGAACAAACTTTGTGTCATATTTGAGCAAGTGTGTGAGTAACATGTTTGAATGATTATTTTTTTAATTTTTCTTCTAAGTTAAGTAGGCTATACATGGTATAGTGCGCCTTTAATATAACGATAGCAATGAATTAAATCATAGGCAAAGGTCGATAGAAATATTAATTTTAAATAAAAGAGAAAGATAAACACAGATCGATTACCATGCCATCTTAAACATGATCTTTGGATGGATTGAAATCATTTACTAGAGAAAAGATAATACTGGATTCTTTTTGTGCTGCCATCTTTATATCGGCCCAGAACCTATGAATTAAATGATACTAGCTAAAAACAGCCCTATGCAGACAGAGCCTGTGGGAAATATTGGGTGCGGAGCAAATGAGCGGAGGGTGCGGAGCTAACGGTCATTTTTGAATTTAAATTTGGGATATTTCTGAAACTAAGCCGTTTTGAGACTTCAAATATACCAAGATATGTGTATTTGACACCAAATATCAATATAATTGTGAAAATAGTGGCGCAATTCATTCTATAGCGACGCAGTGTGCCTTAAACCTTTCCCAGACCTATATATTTTGAAATTATCCTTTTAATACTGAGTCCCCAGCATTCATAAAAAATGGTGTTCAAGGTACACTATCTATACAAATTATTTTTGCATCTTGGAAGCCAGGCAGTATCTGTGTGATTTTATAAAAATTCGGAAATGTTTTCAGATATGAGCCCCCTCTAAATATTGGGTGCGAAGGAGCTCCATAAACGTACCTCCGCACCCAATATTTAGAGGGGGCTCATATCTGAAGAACATTTCCGAATTTTTATAAAATCACACAGATACTGCCTGGCTTCCAAGATGCAAAAATAATTTGCATGGGTAGTGTATCTTGAACACCATTTTTTATGAATGCTGGGGACGCAGTATTAAAAGGATAGTCTCAAAATATATAGGTCTGGGAAATTTTTAAGGCACAATGCGTCGCTATAAAATGAATTGCACTACTATTTTCACAATTTTATTGATATTTGGTGTCAAATACACATATCTTGGAAGCCCCAAAAAGCTTAGTTTCAGAAATATCCCAATTTTAAATTCAAAAATGACCGTTAGCTCCGCACCCTCCGCTCATTTGCGCCGCACCCAATATTTCCCACAGGCTCTGTCTGCATAGGGTGTAACAGCCCACATATAAAGTTTAAACCACTTTGGCTTATACTGTAGTCATTTAAACATTAACGTGGCGCATTAGATATAACATTTTGTTATTGAAATAGTGTGCCATTTGTTCAATCTTTGCATTGGTGTTAAAAAAGATTTGTATTTTGCACTGTGTTGTGGAATATTTGATGATCAAAAATTTTCAACTTTTATTTTAATAGTTGATGGGAAATTTGAATATTTGAGAAACTTTTTTAATTTTTTTTCATCAATCTCTATAATAAGTGATGAAAAATAAGTAATTGAATGACAAATTTCAAACTTTACATGGGGACTTTAAGTTATCGTACCATGTACCGTAATAGTTTTACCAAGTGTGATCAGTACTTCAATATTATGTTACTTGCACTTGCCAAATGTTTTATCTACTCATGTACTTGGTACATTTATACAAACATTTCGATGACCAAGTTTATCCGAGGTCTTCATCTGGTAACACAGTTGTTACAGTTGAACAATGTAAGGGATGGACAATGGACAATAGAATGTTGAATGAAGCAACGCTGTGTATTCGTAGCCTGCAAAATATAATACCAGAATAATCATGATCATCCAATACCTAGGCACCTGAGAATGTTTGCATATCATAATAGGAGGTTTCTTATATATTGATGTAAAATACATGCACTATAACCACCATGCACAGGTAATGAATGAATGAGATCGATAGCTTGTTATCGGGATATACAGTACATTTCAGACAAGAAATGACAAGTATGGGTTGGTGGAACAAGATCACCTATGGCTGGCTGGTGGTACTTGCGGGGTTCTTCTCGCATCTTTTCACATACGGAATCAGTTGGTCTGTGGGTGTGTTTTTCGTCGTATATCTGGATGCATTCCAAGAATCCAAAGGAATGACCGCCTGGACTGGGTCGCTAAACACTGCTTGTATGTACGGAATAGGTAAGACAACTGTAATTTAACTACTGTATTTAAGGATTAACTCTAATGTAGGTGTATTTTTGTCGTATATTCGGATACATTCCAAGAATACGCATTCAAAGAATCCAAAGGAATGGCTTACTACCTGGACCGGATCAATAAAAATTTCCTGTCTGCACGGAAAATGCAAGACTAACATTAAAGGATTACTTACTCTATAGTTTGTGTATTTTTGTCCTTAATCTGAACGCATTCCAAGACCTAAATGACTGTATGTAAATAATAGGTAAGTAAAGATCACTTAACCACTTGATCTTTTGTAGCTTGTTATTTCTACATACATTCATGTCGATGTGTATTAATTCATTCATTTGCTTGAGTACAATTAATTCATTCAATTTTGCTACATTGAATGGATCTTGAGTACAATAATTCATTCAATTTTGCTACATTGAATGGATCTTGAGTACAATAATCCATTTATTTTTGCTACATTGAATGGATCTTGAGTACGTAATACTGCTTTTGAATACCTTTAATAAAACATGAAGAGATGTTCTACATTCGTGATTTATCACTCGTTAACATTGTTCTCACATGTTTTATCATTGAACTATGCCACCGAGTCAATAGTTTAAATAAGTGCATCTTCTTATTCTATAATACACTTCCCTTGAAAAGTATGGCAACCTTGGCTCCCTTATTGAATTACATGAATTTCTGTTAGAATTTCTAGTGGACATTGTGAACGTGTGGTATATAACAAAAGAAAGATATCCATTGTGATCACTATGACTAATGAAGCGGAATATATATCAACTAGGCCTATGACATATCGAGACTTCGAAAGGGGGGATTTTAGCAATATTCTTCCCAAAAAGTATTGATAGTCCCCGGATTATCAACCAACTTAAGTGCATTTTACACTCTTCAATTTAATTAACGTAATTAAACCTGTATTGATTCTCTGGGAAAGGGTTGCCTTCAACCAGGGTAAAGGGTCTGCCCAAATAATCTTAACATCATTACTATGCATGTTGATGTTGACAAAACGTACACAGTCATGTACGTTTTGTCACATGTACGTTTTGTCAACATCAAAATAGCGATTGCATTTTGCCAATTATCAGATCTTTTTGCTGACACTTTCCGCTTTCCATCAGTAAGTTCAAAACCTAGGACAACTACTTACTCTCATATTATGTTTACTTTTAATTCTTTGTTTAGCAGCTTTCATTTTATAATGTGACCTCTTATTAATGTTATCTATAAATGCTTCAGTAGTGGCAACCTAGTTTTTTTTCATTTCTCATTTATTCCATATATGACATATAAAAATACACTGCAATGTTATTGCCTACGTTTTTCATCACTGTCGGCAATATACACCTAGTGTTACGGTGATCACAACTTAATAAGTTTGCTGCGTAGTTCAAGTACTGGTGCGTTCAACAGCGGGTCGAAAAAACCTTTAATTAACATCGTAACATTACAAACGATCGTGACTTTTGCAAGTCAGTGAAACGAGAATAATAGATGTCGTTACCATAGAATTTAACTAAAAAATCGTTTGTCATCCCTACATTTTCATAAAACTTTATTTCTAACTAGTTCTTAATTCATAATCACTTGATTCAAGTACAATCAAGAGAACATTATATACACTTTGTACACCACAAACATGAATAGGACGACCTGGAGACTTGGACATATTATAATATTTTTGAAATCCCTCAATGTATATAGAACGTATACTATACAATAACAATATTTTCGTAATCGATTTATGAATATCATTCCAAAACTGATGTTGTTTTCTTCAAGGTGATTTAGGAAAAGGCGATTGATCAGAGAAAAAGGTCAAAGCATTACATTCTCAAAAAATAATTCAAATGCCTAGCTAAGGGGTAGATAAACACGTAATGGTTGCAAAGTAAGGAGGTTTAGGTGGGTCATGATATTACACATGATTTACAATTATCGTGTAACTTATACCTCCCTATCACCATGCAATCAATTGCAGAAAAGGGTTTATCAACCAAGTCCGTAGCGGGGGGGGGGGGGGGGTAAAGTGATTTTTGGGCAAAGTTGACGAATGAGAACCCCCTTGGAATTTCATTTAAAAGGTGGGTTGCCAACCAAAATGAATTCAAATGAAAATGAGACACCCACATATATTCTATTATTATATATGAACCAAAGGTCATGGAAAATCAAAATAAAGCTTAACATCTGATCTGTATGTAAAATTTTACGTCAAATGGTACAGGTTTTCATTATTATTGCCTGACAAGAGAGAAACGTGGCATATGTCCGCTAAGAAGAACAGCTATTAAAATGTTAAGAATTTGTGAATGTCTATCGTGAATGTAAAGTTCGTTATTTTTCATTATTCTTTTATTTTACTCAAGTCTCATAATGTCTTTCTATTTGTAGCCAAGGCAGTCATCTGTATAATTTATCCGAGGTATATTTTCGCCGCTATTAAATTTCGCGGATTTCATTTTTCGTTATGTATTATCTTATTCACTGAATCTTTAAGCTTTGTAAACATCAGGTAATTACTTTAGACCAAATGAAATAATTTACTGTAATCATGTCTACATGTACCCAATGTCATATCTCCCTAGAGATCTTATCGGTAAATTTCGCGACGATTAATTTTCGCGATTTTACCACCATCACGAATAGCGCGAAATTTAATCGCATATGAAAAATACCGGGGTATAGTATTTAAAGCAGCATTTCATCAATCTTCTGACTATTTAACATGTTTTGGTACATTTACCTGACATATTATAAGAATTCTGGAAAAAGCCTTAAAATCAGGGTTTCAGTGCTAAAATGAGACTCCTGTGGTTTATGAAGATTTGTTAAGCAAGTTGAGGATAAAATAATTTATAAATGAAAACTAAAGTCTAAGGATGGCATAATGTATGGGCGTTTTACAGATATAGCTAGGGCGTATAAAAACGACAATTTCAAAATATATAAGTCGGATATGTTTAATGCATACTGCGTCGCTATAGAATGACCGTTGCCTCCGCACCAAAGATTCTGCCGCACCAAATAGTTCCCACGGGCTCCGTCTGCATAGAGTGCATAGCATTACAACATGTAACATATAAAAATATCCCCATCTTTGGTTTGCCAGCCTTCCCATCATGTTGTGAACTTTAGTTAAGTTAATCTATGATTGTTTCTAGGTCCAGTTGCAAGTATTCTAACCAACAAGTTTGGATATAGAGTAACAATGATGACAGGGGGTGTGCTCTCAGCCGTTGGACTCGCCACAAGTGCTTTGTCAACTAATATATACCATTTGTATGTTACATTCGGAATAGTTACAGGTACGTTTCAAAATATATTGCACAATATCGTGCGCATCTTATCACCCCTTCAAAAGAGTGTGATTATTGATACTTCTGACGAAGGTCTCTTTTAAGAGGCAAATCTATCTATTGATATAGGGTAGTTTAAAAGTTTGCGTCTTTTAGAAATCGGCATATGCTCTGTCATGTAAAAAGTTAATTTTATGATGGATTTAAATCTAATTTCAGGATGTGGTTTTGGAATCTGCTACATTCCAACAATAGCCGTCTTGGCTGTGTATTTTTCAAAGAATTTAACATTGGCGTTTGGATTATCATCAGCAGGTGTTGGCATTGGAACTTTTGTTTACCCGCCCCTTATAACAAGCTTAATATCATTGTATGGGTGGCGAGGATGTATGCTGATTCTATCAGCTATTACCCTTAATCTATGTGTATGTGGTGCTATAATGAAGCCGAATCCGATTCAAACTTCTAGTCTAACGGAGGTCGATGAACGATGCCCAATGGATGACATTGAGACCTCCGCTCCCCAAAATAATGTATTTGATATTAAAGTCCTTACAAATCTGAATTTTTTATTCATGTGCCTAAGTTCCTTCCTCTATTGTTTTGGACATTCAATAGTTTACGTTCATTTTGGGGAATATGCAATTACCAGAGGCATCAAGGAAAATCAAGCGACATTCTTATTTTCAGTGATTGGGATATCGAACCTAATTGGGAAGCTCATATATGGATCAATATCTACGGTAAAACATCCTTGTGCGAATATAATACTAATGTTTGCGATATCATTGACATCTTCTGGTTTATTAACAATGACGATTCCCTTTCAGACAGGGTATCCACTGTTAGTTATATTCTCGGTTGTATTTGGGGTATGTAGCGCAGCTTTCGGCGTGTTGCCATCGGGAATTGTCCACCAGTTTCTTGGGACAAAAAATCTTGCCACTGGATATGGTATTTTATGTATATTCTGTGCAATGGGTACACTTCCTGGTGCTCCGATAGCCGGTGAGATGTTTGACTCTGTCAAACGTTACGCAGAATCATTCTACTTGGGAGGAGTTGCTATAGGCCTTAGTGGAGTTATTATGATTATACCATATCTCAGAACCCGCACATCCGGGCATTTACAAAACAATATAAATGTCACTGCTGCAGATGATTTTACAAAACAAAGTCTACTAGATATCGCCACAGACCATTAGAAAAATATTACATCTGAAATTACATTATTGGTTTAGTGAATAAATAAGTATGACATGATATATTTTATCTAAGAGTACGATGGAATCATTTGGGGTATTGCACTTCTTTTTGTTTTTTTGAAATATATAAATTTAATAGCTGGTCTATTCTACCATTAATGAATGTTTCTATATATTCTGTACAGTGTACCCTAGCCTGCTATAAACAAATCAGGTTATTGTTAGGCTAATGCAAGACCTTTAATCTCAATTTTGATATCTATTGAGGACAATATCAGGACATTTCTAAGTTCATGTCGATGAAGAGGTAACACAGGACAAAGCCTTATTTGGTAATGTTGTAGGTGGAGTTATGACATTGTCCTGTAAAGTTTTGCCAGAATGATGAGGGCAGTACTTTGATAGTTGGAGGTACATGAGTACTGGTATCCACACCTATTTTCGGTGTCAATAGCATGAGAAATCTATTTTCAGTTTGGATTAGGGGGTGTAAGACATCGTTTAAAAGCCCATGATTACTAGTAAATCAAAGTTAGAGATATTTTTCCATATGAATGGCAGCGCTTTCTTTGAAATTCTCCTTTGGGTACATGTAAGCAGATATTTATTTATCAACAGTTATCTGATTTAAACTTTTCTTGAATAATTCTTAAAGAACCAATAGTTCTACCAACACCAATCGATAAATCAATTAACATAAATATTTACTGTATATATATCATTCAAAGTGTCCGGTGAAGTGAACATGCACGATTCAAGACTTGGTATAATAAATAGTAAAATCATTTAATTGAGTAAAATATAATTTATTGTATATTCACAAAATTCACTTGTTTCCACGCATCCTATATATGGTTCATTTATGATCTGTATCATATTTGTTTTGGAATTAAGTTCAAACTATGGTATGTATGGGCTACTTACATGTAGTGCATGTGAAGACATCTAGAAAAGAATATAAACAAACAGAGAAGCTAAGAACCACGCATAGAATTGTCAATACTTCGAGACAGACATATCTTTAAAATTGAGCATTCTGACCATTGATTTAAAGGATCACATGACATGATCATTTAAACAGCATAACCATTCCAACTAGTTCTCTGAATCACACAAATAGAAATTCGAGTCCATGGATTAGGACCCTAATTGAATTTGACCTTATTGGGCACCTTATGAAGGTGAATAAAATCTCTTGTTTCCATTTTGATTACATGTGCAGATAAAATTTCTTTTTTAAAGAGGTTATTTAAATAGAACAACATTTTCTGGAATAATAATCCAAGGAGTGTCAATATGGGGTAAAAATAGAGACATGCTATCCATGGATTATCCGAAATTTGAATTGATAGGTTTATCATCCTTGAGAACTCGATAAATGCTTAGTAAATGAAAATATCGGAAAATACTCAAATATATATCTTATTTCACATGTCATACCATTCACCAAGAATATTACTCAACCCTTTGTAAAACATAAATGGTGTCAACACTAACTGGGAAATATAATCTCTTAGGGTGTCTCAAAAATGTACCCAAAGTATATCAACAGCACAGATAAACCAATCAATATTTTCAGAAAAAGTAGTTTTCAAAAATGAATGAAGTCCCGACACAATTGTGATCATGACGAGTCAGTAAGCTAGTATGTATGTACAGTTGTCATCTTTTTGCAATGACAACATGTCATTTCTTCTGAAAATGCGTTTATTTGGGTTATCTGAAGGAAAATTTCGAGTCAAGTGGCGTATTAATTTTGCCTTGATTTTTGTGAATTTCAATTTCTGTCGGCAAAGAGAGGGGGTAGTGTCACAATTGACTAATTATTTCAAAAAGTAGATGTTAGGCCCCTATTGAGTTTAGTGTCAAAATGTAGCTTAGACATAGCTCTAGAACGTCAGATAGGCCAGTGAGGCAACATAAATCCATAACTCTAGATAAAAAGTCAGGCGTTCGCCCTTTTGCCCATTGACTAGTATGGTGACGTGAATTAGGGCAGTTTGGCCATGTGATGTAGCCACTGGTCAGTGGCCGTGACCTTCGCATCAAAGATGGCGGACGGTAAATGTCGATTTCGATATTTTTAGTTTTCATCGAATTAAACTACTTTATACTTGACGTAATGCATTGATATTTGAACTATATCAAGCACATATGACATGGAAACTGTGGATTATGAGCATTTTTAGCTGCTTCCAAGACAAAAGGGATAAAACAACTTAAGGCCATCATCTGCAGAGAAATTCAGGCATTCCACCTGAAACATTATGAAATGTGATTAACAATGTAGCAGTAAGGATGCAGACTGTCATCGAAATATGAAATAAAAAGTAAAATGTTAAAGCATCAATAAGGCAATTAATGATTGAACTAAAAACTGTGTGTTGCCAAAAATGTCTGAAAATATTGATTGGTTTATCAGTGCTGTTGATATACTTTTGGGCACATTTTTTGAGACATCCTGTACATAAATGTTGATCAGTCGAACAAAATCGTCTGATATATATAAGCTTTACAATTGGGTACTTTCAAATCTTACATCATCTAAAAACATTTTTGGGTCATACTTTCCCTTTACCGGGGAGTGTCCATTTTCGTTTGGTCCTTTCTGATGTCCAGTACCATTTTGAGTGAGTTCTTTTTTAGGTTTAATAGGAGTTGATGTCATGCCATTCGTTGTCACTCCATTTGAAAATGTTTTCAAACTAGCTCTACCATTTCCCAATCTGTTATCAATTTTGGGAGTTTCGCAACTTTCATCCGGGTCAAAGGCTTGGTTTCGTAATTGTTCGGGTGTTTCCGGTGAAATTTCAGTTGCCATTGCTTTGGCCAAAATGTCATTGCCTTTGAATGGAGATTCGCACTTCTCGCTGACAATACAGTAATCAGTGTCCCTCACTTTCGTATTGTTGGTTGTACCACTCTGAGATGCAGCGGTTGATGTCACTGGGGTTTTACCACGGTATTTCTTAAAAGTACCCGTCTTGATTAATTGAGACCAGGCAGCTCGGGCCTCGGGGTTAAGAGAACATTGAAAAACGAATATGCAGAACCCTTGTAAAGAGTTTGTAATAACGAACGCATAGCTTATTGCAACTTTTGCCTCTCCGATTGCAAAGATTCCTAGTATCCAGGACACTCCAAGAAGTACGAGAACAGCCATTATACCTCTGACCTAAACAATGAATAATTGGTGAACAATTAGTAATCAATTACTACTGATGACAGCAGCAGTCAATTCCAAATGATAACATAGTGCCCAATTTAAATAGAATTCAAAATGGGATATATACCTTTCAAAACTCTTTAATATACGAGTGGAAATAAACACTTCACTGACCTGTGTCAAGCTTATATTCTTTTGTCCAGTTTTCCTATCAAGCTTGGGTCTGATAAGGACTTTAGTGAGAATAATGAATATAATTAAGTTGCAGAAAATAATGAGACAAGCTGGGGCAATATAGGTGGCGTAGTAGATGATCGGATTTCTCCCAGACAGACGACAGCTAAAATCAAAATTCAGATCACATTAATCAGTTAATGGTTTCTAGTAATTTAATCGTTTGATAATATATGTTTTCGTTGTGTGGAAATGGGTTTCTGAGATGAATTACTCACAAGTTTCCTTCGTGGTTATACAATAAATAATCAGTTCCGACAGCAACCCCAACAGGTATACAAGGGAGGCCCCACGCAAAAAGTAGCCGCTTTACTAAGAATAGTCCCTCGTGAACGCCAAACACCTGAACCAGCATCTTGTACATGTTATATGCCTCAACAGACATCCATAAGAGAGTAGATAGCACAAAGAAATGTAATGCAACGGATACTCCTAAACACACGTGGTCAGATACAACGTGGTTCTTGTCCGATGCCACAATAAAAAGGATGTTCATGAGAAGCATACTAAAGCAGAGTTGGATAAGAATCTGTCCAGTTTTCTCACGATTTAGACTTCTAGAAAAATAAGAAAAAATAGATGTCACAATATTTCATTGTATCTTTCCACACATATTTGTGACCAAAGACGTCTATCTCTTGGACAGGGGTCCTTTGAGTGACAAAAAGGACATAGAATATGTTGCACGGGTGTGCTACAACGGTCAATGTATTAGTATATACCTCGATGATATCACTTTATGAAATCTTAATTGTTCTATGTTTAGCTAGGAGAAAGTGCAAACTAGAATTGGAGATTACTGTACCTGAAGAGGATATATGTCAAAAAGGTTAGGAAAAGCCCAAGAATGGACAGAGCACTCCCAGCATACGATAGCACAGTAAGAATATATTCATGGTGGCCCATTTCGACAGGACGTGCATCAACCTCCTGGTGAAAAGTAAATTGAAGCATTTGATTTCAATGTTCGTCCGAGCCTGTTTCCAAAACGCCTATCATTTAAGACGTACTACTAATAGAGGGAGATGCTTACATTAGTCTATTGCAGCTAATGTTAAAGGTGCAACAATTAGTGCAGGGGGCCATTCAATGATCATCGACCGGTGTCAAAATATGTTAAAGTTTGGATATTTTATCAAGACTACCATATATTTTTATTATCTACAAAGAAACCCCTGAATGAACATTATTTCAGCTGATATTCCTCGTGAAACGTTGTGAATCTTAAAAATCTATAAGTGGGACTCCCTTTATAGAAGCTTTGAACTGAATTTACACTTCTTAATGCTGAACTTCAGAGTTTATCCATACATTTTAAGAAAATAGGTATGTCAAAGAAGATGTCAAGCCAAATATTGACCCGATAGCTCAGAAAAAATAAAAAATTTTGAATTTTCTCTCTACAGTCCTTGTTGCCCCTTTAATTTAGTAAACATCATGATTTGTCATCTGACGAACACTTTTATTGATTTATTGGAAATGCATTTGAAAATTGTATAAGAAAAAGAAAAGCAATGATTTTATAATATGGTTGTGAAACTATTGAATATATCAACATATAAGCTCACCAGTAAAATTGCAAAGTTTGTCAGATGTCTCGAACAACATTTCATTCCTTTGTCTAACTCAGTCATCAGATGAACCCCTTCCTTTGACCACATATGATCTAAAAAGTAATGTAATTGACAGTTAAAATACTTAATCGAGCATAGTCCACCCGTTTAGCTCAGCGGTAGTGCAGGTACCTCTTACGCAATAGGTCCCAGATTCGATCCCCGGTTCAGGCAAGACTAAATTTGCTTGTTTACGTGAAGTACTTCAGGGTGTTTGACTGAGTGGTCCCCAACTCGTACAAAAGGCTGTGGTGTGTACTTGTATGTCTATGTATAAGTGCACATAAAGGAACACAGGGCTCCTTCAAGGAGGGGTTTCTGGGTCTATCTTCCAGGTTAAGTACGTCAATTACGACCGTATATATACGGGATATACCCAAGAGGTATTGCTCACCTTCATTGGTGGTAAACAAAAATACAATACAATAACGTAAAATTCATTTTAAATTTCAACTTCATCTGTTCATATGCATATATACATGTAGTTAGCATGACGTACACAGTGGAAAAACAGAATTAATTCCCTATTGTATAAATTCATTACCCACGTCATCCCAAAACACACATGACTGCCCGCCCTTCGCTGTCATATAAGGAAGTATGTATTCCACACAGTCCTCAAGACCAGTGACGAATGTATCATTGATAGAAGCAGCGATTACTTCACTGGCAGGTCCTTGAACAGGCAGGTGACTCTTAAATAGTTTGCTTGTTTTGTAGTAAATGAATGAGACTCTAAAAGCGTCTGCAGAACCACGTCGCCTCGCCATAGCAAACGCAGATCCAGGGACCTTGATCTGAATTATAGAGTTGGCCTATCTGTAAACTTAAATTCATGAATTGCAACCTGGTTGCAAAAGGTGTGGAAGTCATGGTAATACCTATCATTAAAATTGAAAATGTATAAATATTTAGTCAAAGTGAACTTCAGAGGTTTTAAAGATTCTTGCAATGCAGTGAGACCTTACTTCTTCAAATGACCAGGATTTGAAATCCCGTGTGTTAGTACATTGACACATGCTTCAACTAAATGTGAAACTTACAGAAATAGTCCCCCCACCAGGGGAATACTCTAGACCATTCATGACGTCAACATATCTGACATCATGTATCTTCATTTTAATATTATGGAAACTTATTGTCAGCGTTCCACCTGAATCTGGTGGCAACTTTACATGTGATACAAACATATCGATGAAATCTCTTGACCTGTAACACAAAACAACAAACCAGATGCTTTTTAATATTTTCATATATATACGGCTCTATTACACCTAGGTTTTACCGGAAATCATCATCATCGGGAAAAGGGTCTAACCAAATACTGAAATATGTACGATGTTTGATAAGATTTTTACAGAGTAATGTATGTGTTCTTAAAATGCTTCCCTTGAACATCAAAGTGACTCTTACTTGGTACCAATGTCATTTGCAACGAATGCTTCTTCCTCTAAATTCATAACATCGTCAATAAGTCGAAGTAATTTGTGTGCGACCTGTGAAATACATTATCAAGATGTCATAAACCAAATTTTCAATTTTACTAGTTATGATTCAAGAAAATGCTAATATGATGATATTTAATGAAAATATTTATCAAATCAGTCTAGACTGATTCTTTTAAATCATTAACAAAACATGCTGATGTTTACCTCTAGGTCATTTGTAGAGTACATCTGTAGGTAGTAAACCACATCAAACAGCTCTTCAATTTCCTCCTTTGTACCAATGTCATTATCTTGCAAGCGTTGTATCTCACTGTTAGCTATATTTTTAGTAACAGTGACCTATATTGAACAATGAATGCTGTTCACAATTATAATGTAATTAGAATTGTAATACATCGTATGAATTACAAGTTAAACAGGTTAAACGTTATCATTACAGGTAAAACGAACGAATCAATTACTTTTTCTAAATACTTGAAAACAGTCTTTGATATTTGATACACACTTTTTTACATTTGTCCGGAATTTCTGTCCCCCAGTACAACATTCCACCGTGATCGATGTAACACGTGCGGCTTGCCCGAGGTATGGGTGAATCCGGCGACATTGCCTCACATGGTAGCGACACTGTGCTTCCATGGGCGGTAGACGGCCAGTTGAATACGCCATAGCGACCTATAGTTTTTTCTGATGTACAGTTCCCTAAAATTATACAATTGCCTAAAAATTATACAATTATCAAAATACAATTTCTTAAGTTATACAAAATGCAATTCATACTCTCTGAGGATTTTATACTGCGACAATATGAATAACTACAAAGATCAGAATATGGAAATGAAATAAAAAATACTCAGATAAAGGATTTAGGAAGCTTTAGCTATTTCAAATAAGATGTATTGTACTAGGACACAGTATCTTTGATGAATATATTAAGACGTAGATCCAAATAGGGACGACAATACCCAAATGGATTGACCGTGAGCCATTGAAGTCACTTCAATATCATCTAACGTTAATGTCTCTAACTTACGTTTAGTTTGACACAAGGTGCCTGTAAAACCTGAAGAACATGTGCAGTCGAAGCTCCCACGTCCTCTCCTTTGGCACGATGAGTTGTGGTTGCATGGATTAGAATAGCAGGGATCGATCTCTTCCCCGCAAAGTCGACCTATGTTAACAATAGAGATTTCCGATTAACCCTGCCATCTTTAAGTAGACCACAGAAACTTGCATATTGGCCAGAATTATGATGTCATTGGTTGTAGGTTTGTTTTGAAGCAATGCGGCAGGGTTTATTAGAAAGGTCTATTAACAGATTGAACTCCTTCAATGAAAAGTCAATACTCGTGGTAACACAATTTCATCTTTTTGGAAATGAATCAAATACCTCCTTTCAACCTATTGGTATTATTAACTCACTTGTATTCTACCACAAAGAGGGGGGTGAATACAAGAATAGTGTCAAGGGCCATCGCATGACCACTTGTCATGATTGTAGCATAAACATATGGCTTACCAGTATATCCAGCTGTACATTCACATGAGAAAACTCCATCGCATATGTCACCTTCTACGATACACTTGCCGTGGATGCAATGGTTGGTACTACACGTGGTGATATTCTCACAGTGTTTCCCACAGTAAGTTGGAGGGCAGTCACACATGTACTCTGTAGCGGATACATTCCTGCACATCCCGTCGTGTACGCAGGGCTGAGAAAAGCATGGGTTGTAATGTTCACAGTTTTTCCCGGATGCACCGTGAATGCACTCGCATTCGTATTCCCCCTCTTCCTTCGTAACGCATAGGCCACCATTCAAACAAGGCTTGGTGTTACATTTATCGTATCGGGCGCACATTTCACCGTAGTAATCCTCAGGGCATAGACACTCGTAAGTGGTGCCATCTATGTCCTTGCAAGTTGCTCCGTTCAGACAACTGTGACCGATACAAGGGCTGTCTTCGAAATATTCACAGTTTGGACCATGGTAAAATTGAGGACATACACAACTGTATTTTGCGATGTTAGAATAATCAATCACACATTTCGCATCGTTCTTACAAGGGTCTGGATGGCATGAATTGATCTCCGTGCAATTTTCACCTGCCCACTCTGGAAATACGCATGAGAAGAAGGAAATGGAGAAAACATTTAGATGTCGAATGACAGTGAAAGTTTTCTCCAAACCTGGTACCATACATTGCCATAGGACATTGGCCACTGTATATGCCATGTATGCTGTATTGGGAAATCAGCTTTGAAAATATCCTAAAGTTTAAAATGTTTATAATCAGGAGAGTAAATGAAAATGAGGTTCTGAAAAGAATTTCCCTTTAGAAACTTTGTTGGTAATGTTCATTAGAAAAGCACAAATGAGAATAAGAAATGAAAGATGATAGAAATATGTTGGTTGGAAAATAAAAAATGGGATAAGGGATATATCTGATGTATCCTACCTGGCATACATCTGCAGTAATAGTCGCTATTAGATGTATTGAGACATCCTACTGTTCGCTCGGAATGACACGGGGACAAAGCTTTGCACAAATTCATGTGTTCACAATGTGGTCCATACCGTCCAAGCTCGCAGTCGCATATACATTGACCATCAATAGAGTTAGCTATGCCACCATGGTAGCACCAGTGGTTTGCACAGGGGAAATACTGCTCATACTGGCATCTGATCCCATAGAATCCGTCTGGACATAAACATTGTTTGGTTTTATGAGCCACAATACATTGACCGCCATTCTCACAAATATTTGTATCGCAGGGGACATAGTATTGGCAATGGGGCCCAGAAAAGCCAGATGGACACCTGCACCTGTAGTTGTTTTCTGCCAGCTCGTCTGGTTTGATAGCTGTCGTGTTTTTATTGATATTTTCACAAACCCCTCCATGCTCACATGGACGCAGAGAACACCAATCGAAAATGTCACAACGCTCACTTGAATATCCATCCGGGCATTCGCATACGACTGACGTCAGAGTTATGTTGACACAAGTAGCTCCATTTAGACAATATCCACTAACGCAAGGATCTGGAAACTGGCAGTTTTCTCCATAGTAACCCTGTGGGCAGAGGCATCTATATGACAACGTGGAGTCATTTGTACACGTGCCGCCATTCCTACAGGGGCGTTGCAAGACACAGTGATTCTCGAACGCACAATCACTTCCGTAGTAGCCATCGTAACAATTGCACTCAAAATGAAAGTTTGAAAGAACCTTGCAAGTGCCTTGACCATTACAGGGGTTTAGAGAGCATGGATTGAAGACATTACAAGAGACCCCGGTGTATCCTCCAGTGCAGATGCACCTATATCCGGGGGACTCATGAAGCATCTCACAGCGTCCATTAACACATGGCTTCTGGATGCAAACTAAAATTAAGAAGCATTTCATCATTCAATACAAATAATTCAGATATTGGCATTCAGGTGACATAATTGTGATTGATCTTGGCCATCTATAAAGACAAAATGTATGATAGATTCGGGAGTATGAAATTTATTGCAAGATAATTTAATTATCTCAACATTTCTGGACAAGTTATTTTGAAGAAACTTGACCCTGATCATTGACTTACATGTAAGATGTACGCTATGAAGTATATGTTATGGTTCATTTAGTTGACAGTGTCAAACCGCCGTCTTAGTCACCCAACCGATACCAAGGTCTATGGCACCCCAAATTTGAAGTACTGTACATAATATTACAAAAGAAATATCCAAAGAGATCTGGGAAAACAATTGATAGACCAAAAAGGCATTGGTATATTTTAAATCGAATGGACCATAACTAACTTCCAGTGTGTCACTTTGTTGTCGTTGTCTTTGAAATGACGTGTCAAGTAATCTTGAAATAATTCAATCAACTTTGCCATAAATTGAATATCACAAATCGAGAATACACCTCGTCCTGCTTGTTGGCCCACATCAATTACAATTCCGTCACTTAATGTCAATTAGAAAAGTGCTCACTTTAGCACTTTATCGTTCTATTCTTTCAATGTGTGACTTTGCGTCTATGGTAATGAGTTATTGAACCAGCCAAACCCGATTACTCTTTGAGAGCAGAGAGACACAAGTTGATTGGGGTTCTATTCGACCATGACAAATGAAATATAAAGACTATCAAGAAGTGAGATATTATAAGAGATAAATTAGACAGTAAAGGATGAATAAATGAGCCCAGTAATGCCAAAACCTCATGCACAACTGGTTTAATAACACAAGTAATATCGCTCCAACGTGTTACCAATAAGTGTTTTCCGTAACTTTAGTGTCATGTGCTATATCTAAGATTGTCAGAGGACGCCGATAAATTGACTTTTGATGTTTACCATTCATAAAAAAGTGATAATGAAGCAATTTTTAAGTTTGTTACCATCAACTTCCATTTGGAAATCTAATTTTGATGCAACTCCTCTTTCTTGGGAATTGAAGGCTTTTAGCTCCAAGGAGTATGTCTCCCAAGATATCAGATCATCCAGGTTGAAGCACATAAATACTAGATCGTTTTTAACAATTAGTGACGGTTTTCTTGGCGGTCTTTGGTTACCGTCTGGTGTCACGTACAGAAGAATTTTCTTCTTGGCGTTCGGCCTCGATTTGAGAAAGTATATAATCTCGTAGCCATATGCGTTTCCAAAAAGAGGCTCTCTCCAGCACACCCTCATTGTTGTTCGATTCAGCGCATCTGTTGTTATCTGCTGCACCTCTAAAATTAAGAAAGTTGTCCTTTGATACCTAAAAGTGTATTCAAACGTTCAATCTACAAGCCAATAATCAATACAAATGCAACTCTTACCTGAAATGTTCTTAACGTGTATGGTCAAATCTGCAGTTTTAGATCGTATGGGTGAACCAAAATCACTAGCCGTCACGGTAAGGGTGTAAGAGTTCCTTGCGGTCAACAATTCTTGTCTTGTTGTAACAACACCAGTCGTTTCATCTATATTAAACAGATCGATCCCCTCATCCGCTGAAGTTAAATGGTATTTAACTCTGGCATTGTACTCTTCTTCGTCGTCATCATCTGCGTGAATCGTCGTAACATTTGTACCAACATTTGCATGTCGCGACACGTCAGCATCAAAGCTCTCCGATGGAAAATACGGTGTTTGGAGATTTTCTTTCGAGACTATTACTTTAATGTCTAAACGCGCATGACTGGTGGAGGATTCCGTCTCGTATAGCGCGATAAGGACGATTGAATAGGATTCGCCAAGTTGTTTTCTCAGTGGGTTCTCAAGAGTCACTACACGTGATCCATTCGTCGTGAAACTCAAGCTATCTTCTCCAATTATAACGTATGATATTTGCGGTAATCCGTCCATGTACACTTCATATCTCGCGTGAAATGCGATAACACGTGACCCAGCTGGTGCGTTCTCTTTTATTCTCGCGATTAGTATCGAATCGTTGTCCACTTTTGGATAGTCGAAAATAATTGTGTGTTGACCTGAAATAGTATGGTATAGTCAGATAGTATACATTGTGTTTATGGTACAAGTAGATTATAGCTATATAGATTTTAAGAGTTTGGCTCGTGTCTTCCAAATTTAGGTAATAAACGGATTTACTACAGAGACGCTCTCTCACTTTTGTTTCATATTTTTTGTAAAAATTAATACTATATTTATTCACTAGTTGACTAAACTTCAATATTCCTTATAATAAAGAAGTAGCAAAATGATTGGAGAAAAACTGAAACATCCATATAAATTCCTCTGCAACATACTTATATTTGATGAACATTTGTAAATTACTGAAAATTATGACTTGACTCACCCACTATTGCATTTATGCCTAGCAGGATCAACACTATATAACAACCAAATCCACGCATATTCCTACTGTGGCCTGGAAAATAAAACAAACACATCATAAAGAACAAAGTTTTACAAAATTAGATTGTATACAGATACGTCGTTTAGATTTGGAGCATATTTTCCATAATTATGAACAACGGTGTACATTCACATTGAAATCATATACAAAAGTGACTGAAGCTAAAAAAATATGGCTGTTAGTGCAAATGCCAATAAGCTTTACAAATGTAGATGCAAATCTGTGTTTTATTGAAATTAAAATGGTTTGGTCACGAAAGAAGAGCTCCTCAGATGTATGTATAAAGTGTTTCATTCGCTTTCCCCAATTAACATCAGGCGCTGCGATTTATACACCCTGACGTGTCCAGTCCAATAAAATGTGAAGTTCAATATCTTGAATTGCCACTGAAAGTTATTAAATCAAAGCCAAAAGATAATGCAATTTTGTAAGATTTTGAAAAATAGAAGAGCAATTTGGAAAACCAATATCTAAGAACTTGCTTCATGGTAAAGAGATACTATCTCCATGGCTCTTGCAGAATATATTACTGTTAAACCCGATCACACTTTGAATTATGTATGCTCTGAAACAGAAGTTGACATTTTATCAAGTACCATCAAGAAGATTCGAAATTCATCAATGATACGAAGTCTATATATTGTCTTTAGGCAGTTAAAAAGTGAAGGGGTTAGAAGAGACGTAATACAGTTACTTCCGAAATAGTTCCACAATCGATAAAGTGTCACCGTAAAAAGCATCTCCGTCTGACCTTTGTATACAAACAAACTTAAACCTTATGTATGAGGTCATGATATCTCAGTTTATATTCACGTAGATTCTTAAGAGATCATCGGTTGAATACCCTGTGTATATGTCTATTCTTCATTAATTCAGAAACCCCTAATTAACTGATTTATCCGAGGTCATATTAGGCTCCAAATACCTAGTAGGGAAAATTCCATCTTGATTGACAGTGTTTAGGAGAGTTGATCTATCTGTTAAAAGTAAAAAATGGAAAAAGCGTAAATCGTGATTTTTGTTTTACCGAATAAGTCTGAGTCGTCTTTAATTTTCAATACAGTAAGGGCTATAGACTAAGCAATGTATTAATTTCCGAAATGATTCGATTAAACTATAACTTCACTGGTTGATTAATGCATTGTTAAATGAATCCCATAGCGGGAAGAGAACGTGGTTTACCAGTTACTCCATCGCAAAGGGCATTGCTTACGAGCAAACTACTACACTATGTTCTGTGTTCCAAGATTTGTTGTAGCTCTAATGGATTCTTTCAGTTATTACGTTATTTTTATTTTGCCCTATGACTATGAATGGGTTATAATGAAAACACGCGCTACGCGCTAACGCGCCACGCGCCAATGCGCTAATAGAAAATGATCCTTCCCCCACGATGTGTGCGCATGTTTTAAGCGCATGTTTATGATTGGTCTATACCCTTGGCCCAGGGACATGTATAATTAGGGTTATGACTCCCTGGGAACTTGTCAAAACATTGACACTTCAAAGACTGTATAAATCACCGCTAACCTGTCAATCAGACTTTGATGTGAACTTTGCGGCCGCAGGAAATAAACAAAGCCTCTCGAAAATTACACTTTTCAAGTTACGATTTCTCTAAAAATATAAGACCAATTAAGATGTTCTTCACACCGTTAAAAAACAGAATTCAACTTCAATTTAGGAAAAAATTCCAAAACTAAATGAACGTGTACTTTTTTCTGTATTTGACCTGAAAGAACATGAGTAACTTAGAATTAATAAATATTTACGGCCAATTACCGGACAATGATAAAACACGCTGGTCGGGTTTACATTACTTTTTAAATCGTCTCTTATTTAAAACTTTAATTCCAAATGAAGTACAATCCTGTTTTCAACAATATTCCTGGTAAAATAGGTAATACAATTCACTGGGACTGACGTAATTCAAAACTTTTTAAATCTAAAATCAAATTGAGAAAAACGAAAGCAAACATGAAAGGGGGGTTCATAGGGGTCTTGGAAATCCATATACACTATTTTTCACAAGCCCCTCAGTCTTATACCATTTAGAGCATTTTTCACCCCTTTTACATGTATAACATACAGTGTATGCAATATTTTTCAGATCTCCCTATATAGACGGTGAACCAACACGATCCTCAGAGACCCAGAGGGTGCATGAATGCACCTACTCCCTATAGTACTATATTTTACAAAAAGGTCGGGTAAATAATATATCTGTACGATCATTTTGAAATTACCGTTGAGAAAAGTTTGGATAATATTCAGAAGGAAATAACATAATGCAAGAATCCACGTAGTACCAAATGTATAATCATACGGCAAATAGGCAGTACACAGCCCCGAAGCCAGGGGGGTTCGGAGGGTGACTTTGGAATTTTTGAAAAAGTGCCCCCCCCCTGGGAAATCCTGGTTACTGTCCTGGCATATGGCATATAGAGACTACTATATAGAGATCTGGATTACCCCCATAAATGTGGGACGTTTTTCAAATCACCCCCACAACCAGGCCCGTAGCCAGAGGGGGAGCCAGAGATTCTTTCAAAATCATGCAGTTTTTCACCATTCTGAGAATTTTTTTCATGATTATTAGCCAAAATTGTGAAAAAGCTTCCCCTGGAAAAAAGCTGGCTACGGGCAAGCCCCTACAACTACTTGTGTATTGAAATCCCAAATTTATGGGGATAAGCTGGATCTGCAGTATTCGTTCAAACTGCCTTTAAATTTCATAATAGGCTTCTTTAATTCTTTTAAAACATATGTTTATTTAACTTATACGATGCCATATACGATAAATGTTGCCCCCTCTTATGCGGCCATACACAATAGATTTTCACCCTCCTCTTATACGATAACCCTATACACCCCCCCCCATGAAAGCGAAAGAGAGTAACCGGGCACGAAAAGAAAAATGGAAAATAATGCGACGCCTGAATTATCCCACCGTTTGGTAAGTCATGTGAGATATAATTTCAAATACAAAGAGTAAAGATATATAAAACATCCATGACTTGATATTAAGAGGTAACATGCGACAAATAAACATTATATTAAGTCATTAGTCAAGTAGTCGGGACCCCGGTGTGAAAGAAATGATGGTCCCCCAGGGATTATGGTCCCCTTTCTTAACGGCCCTTACTGGCCCTAATAGTGTATAAGATAATGAGGAAAAGAGTTGTATTTAGGTCACCATATAAATCTATGGCGAGTAGGACCATAACTTGATAGGACCTCCCACCCTTTTACACCGGCTCAGATTTCGAAACGGGACCCAAATAATGCAATGAAATAGGGAGCATATTCGCATATCTGCGACCATTCATCTTGTAAGGTGCTACTTTCTATCTTCCTTTTAAATCAGATAAAACACAATGACAATCGATAATCTTTGCACAGTTAACGATCAAACATTGGGCTTCTTCATACCTCTGCTTTCTGATGAGCCACCTAATCTCTTCACTCACTCGATTTTTATACATGTTCCCGGGCCTGTGGGAACGATCATTCTGAACAGTGCGTTAGCGCGTAGCGCGTGTTTTCATTATAACCCTATGAATGTGCGATGGTTGATAATACTAGTCTCCTTTACGGTTAATGAATTGTTGGCGACAAATTGTTCCTTGCTATTGATCTTACGCCTTAATCGATTAATGAATTTTAAGAATCCCTTATGAATTCTTTTCATGTCCAATTACGATAACTTATCCTAATAAACACCAATAAAAAGTCAATCAACGATTTTGCTTTCGTAACCTTTTTACGATTCTTTATTTAGGTGAGTTTCGTATTTCCGTTATTAACCTTTTGTATGTTGCTGATAAATATCTACAATCTTTCACATTCACTCCAGGCCCGTCGACTGGCGGGGCGGTATGTCCGTCGGCGTCACACTCACCCTCCTCTTAAAAAGAAATGGTTTATAAATTGACCCGGAATGATATTACCCCTTCAGGTTTAAATTTTGATATCAGACTATCATTCAACCTGTGTCTGAATTCCTGATTTTTCAGATCATGGATAGTTCATTTGTGCTTTTTGTGGAACATGCGGCGATAATTGCATTTGCTTGTGACGCAACATTGCCGCCAGTCGTACTCACAATTTCAACACTTCAATGGTTTATATCCCCAAAAGGCCTTCCCTAGTCACTTGTTCGTCGTTTTCCTAATTAATAGACAGTGTATATTCTAAAACACAACTTTTGTAACAATGGTATTAATAATGGAATTGTTAGGCACAATTGTATTATTGTACAAGTGTACGCAATGTCAGCGTGATCCAGTTAAATATGATTACAAAGGTGTCAACAAAATGAGATGGATCAATTTTTCAATTCCATGTAGTTCAGCAATTTTATCATACTAATCTCCCTGGATTTTCAAAACCTCCCGTACAATTCTTCTTCAGCGATCGAATTAGAACGAATTCAAACAAATACAAACGAAAGAGAACGAATTCTGCAATTCTATCTCGCTAATCCCCAGATTTGGAAAACTGCTAATGTTGTATTTTAAATCCAGCAGCTTGAACTGATGGGTTTTACTAATGGCCCCTGTAATGAAATTGTATATTTGTAGTAAAGGTGGTGTATGTGTTGTTGGGTTATACACTCCCCTTCATAAGTTTGGCAAACGGCAGTTTAGATTGGGTAGCATAACAAAACCTGGCAATGTCGGAATCTTAATTTTATTCCTTAATTACAATAGTTAGAAAAGTATGACACAGTTGATGAATCTGTTTTGAGTCGTCACATAAAAATGCTTTATAAATGATCCAAATAGGTACATCTAGATCTAGTTGCCTTAATAGAGGGGAGAGTATAAGTTATAGGGGTCTTTATTTGATACGTTGTCTTGTTTGCGTTGTTAATTAAATCTTTCACTTTTCAATAAACGAATGTAAAAACAAAACATTATCTTGACGAAAATGTTAACACTTGGTAAACATAAGTTATAAGTTATTGCAAAGTGTTTCACTTTGTTAGATATACTGTACACCACAACCGGCGCTGAACACCGGACACGGTGGCCGTAGACTGTAACACGATGTTACAACTTCATGGTTGATACACAGTTAACTTCGGCATCGCTGTAAATTGACAATCCTAGTGAGTTCTAGAGACACAATTGACTTTAGAACCTGTGGTATTAGCATGTGGTAATGGTGTATTGTTGTTCTAAGCTCGTGGCTTGCTCTATGTAACACATTCCCATTGCTATCTTTTGTTACCACTGAGATCCATTTCTGAATCGCATGATGTTTAAATCTACCCTGAAAATCTGGGATATCCTCCCTCCTTTTGGGGATATTTTGATATGAATTAATTTCAATTACATAAAAAGTAACCCAGTCGGAGAATAGCCTCCAGAAAATAACGAAATCTCAAGCTCTCCACTTATCGAAATGAAGTGGGATATTTTCCTGGCCAAAAACATCATGTTCTCGTTTTACCAATTAGAAAATTACTTTGCGGCAATAACATATACTGGATAAGAGATGATTATTTCTCTGAGAGAAATCTCAAACTATCTTGAGGAAGCAAACGCTACCGAGGTATCAGTATCTATTTATTATCTAATATGTACTTTGTTACAAAGTGGTTGCTTGTATAAGTGTTCCAAATGAGTAATTCGGATAGTTAGAAGATTAATGAGGTAAAAACTGCACTTCCTCAAAGCAGTTATCTCTCCGATTTGAATTCCATAGCGCAACTATAAAGGAGCCTCGATGTTTAGGTGACGTCAGACTCTTGAAACTCTAGGGTTGTTTTTTCAAGGAATCTTTTTTGGAAGTAACCTATTATGGTTTAGTTTCCCATATTCAAGTAATTGTTCATATTCTGGATTTCGATGATCAATTCTGATCTCAATCGATGTCTTGATATTTTCTCATGCGCGAATACTAGATATAGTATTGTAATAAGAACAATTTAAATCATGAATATTCTCTGGGTTGGAATTAGATAAACGTTAAACGTAACAAGTAAACATGTTTATGATGTCAGACCGATGTCATGTCATTGTAGCTTGTTTATGATGTCAGGATGGTGTCATGATAGCCAGGGACGATAAATCCAAGTATATTTCAAGATCAGTTATCTGTATGTAGAAAGTTTTTCAAACCCCATTACCATCGTTTTCGCTTATTCATAAATATTAGACATATCTCTACGAGGGTCGTTCAATAAATACCAAAACAAATGGTCTCATTCAAAATCTAGGGGGGGGGAGGAGGACCAAGGTTAACTGTCTCATAGAACCTTGGTGGTGAGATATTCATAATATATTTCAGGCCCGAAACCAGGATGGGGGTGGGTCAATTTTTTAAATATTCCCGAGGGAGTTCACTTGTGACAACTGTGACCCCAAAATAGCCCAAATCACTTGAAGAGTGGTTAGAATGGTGAAAACTGCATGATGTTGAAATACTTTTCGGCCAGAGAGAGGAGTAGGGGAACCCCCTATCACCCCCATCCCCTGGGTACGGGCCTATATTTAGTCAGCATAAATACATTGGGTTTCATTCCATGTGCGCAAAGTCTTTCAAGCAGCGAAGTCGAACAAATGCAAAGGGTACTTGAATTGCTGACAAACAAGAAAATGAGAGCAATTGTATCAATGTTATCGAACAACCCTCGTACTTTATCTTGTTTTCAATATGAAAACATTCATTATCAAGTGTAAAAAACTTATAATTGTTTATTTGTACTGGAACACGTTTCAAATGCTTGCTTTATCAAACCTAACAAATATCATTAGCTATGAAAAATGATAATTTCTTCTGTTGAAGATTGTAAACACTGCAAGTACCACAAGTTAATGAAGTTGTTTGTCATAATATCTATCAATCTATCTGTGTTTATTTCCATACTATTCTGCTGCAGTACGACTATATTGCTAAATGAATATATGGTTTTAATATTCTTGGCATGCCTTCATTTTAATTAATAAAGAAAGATTTCGAGTTCGACTTGATTTGTTTATGTTTTTGTTGAAACCGACATGAAGAATCGCAGAACTGATTGATCGAGGCGTTGTAGCCTTATTGGAATAGAAATTGTAAATGTTATTCTCCGCGGGTATTGTCATTTTAAATGTCACTTATTTTGCTGATTTACACCAAACATCGCCTTTTTGATAAACCCTCAATCATAACAGGCTCGTTGTCAATTTGGTGGGGATAACTTTGAAATGTCACCAAAAAAGAACCGTGAAAAGAACAAGAAGTTAAGAAAAAAGCATTCACGATGCAGCTATCTTACACAACTTTGGGATGGGAAATAACCATGATGTTCACTGTATGTACGTTTGACTTAGTCTGCTACACAACCCCCCCAAACAAGTCCTTGTATTATATTGAAAAAATTGTGAGTCAAGTTAAAACAGGCTTTTGTGACATCATCTTTTACAAGCTTTTACCTTCCAAGTAGAACAACGAAGATAGACCCATAATGCATGGTCTCCTTTAAAATCTTTGGGGTAAATCCCAAAGAATGTGTCATGAAACGGTATATGTATTCCCCCAAGGGTTTGAAGTGTCGGGTTAATATTCATATTCATGTAAATCGGGTGCACTAAGATGTGAATTTATTTTTTCGAGAATGATTGAAAAATCGTTTCCCTCTATTGTGATACAGATCTTGAAAGATTGCGTAAATTAGTTTTTCTTTTTTTCAATCCAAACACGCAGCAGTGGCAATTTAATTTTCTATTTTTTCTCACTCAGGATATCCGTGAGCAGTTTGATCACTTTAGTGGTGCCAAAACGAACTAGGGCTAAACTATTAACTTATAACACACTGCCCTTGGGGAGGTTTAAACCATAATGGCTTTGTGATCCACATCGATTCATAACACTCAGAGAATATAAGATTTGGGTTATATGCATCTTGTTTTTAGATTTCATCGTAACATTTTAGTAAAACTGTTTGGTTGATATGTAATAGCTGAGACTAACATAAAATATTATAGCCACAATTTGATAATTGATATGAGTTCAGATCAATTAAGAAAAGTAATTCGAAATTTGGAAAAGTCCTACCTGCTTATATGAGATTCATCAATGCTTCAGTGAAACGAGGAAACGTTCGTCTTATTCATTGTTTTTAAAATTTTAAACCTGACTTGTCTCTTATCACTCTTGTGTTGATGTTTCTCGGCAATATAGACGAAGTTGGTCGTCCAGACCCCTCAGCTCCACATGGAATCAAATAAAAGTTCTGGAAAAAGCTATCTTCAAAATCCAGTTTGCTATCTTCAACTGATCAGCTCGGTGTAACATGTTGATCCAAAAACGTTAATATTAGCTTCTCCAAATCATTACGTTACAGTAGATCCAAATCTTTCGATATTCGTTACTTTAAATCATTTATATTGGTTACATTAGATACCTAATTAAATTCTACCAAACATAGAAGCAACCGCACTTTATAACATCCTCTAAATCTAACATCGCCTTTTATAAGAGACTTCTTAAAGTGTCCTTTAACATTATTAACAATTCTCCGAGGAGATACTTGCGCAAAAAGATGCGCATGCGCATGGTGTGCATCAGTTGAATGTATCAACAAAAAAGCAACCCCAGCTAACAGGGAGGATTGGCTCCCAGATTGCAACATCGATATTCTGTCCCATATATGGTATGGTGAGCTCTAACTTTATTTACTCCTGACAGATTCCAAAAACATGTCACGTGTAAATAAGGTTATATGTCACCATACCATATATGGGACAGAATATCGATGCTGCATTCTGGGAGCCAATCCTCCTTGCCAGCTGATGATACTTTCAACATCTTTTGTCAGAGACATTAACATAAGATCACTTTAATGCTCGACGCGATTAAACCTCGTGGTACATCAGTCGGCATCAAAGCCTAGAGACTGATATTATACAGTTAAGTGGAAACTTTGTTTCCGATCTTCTACTTTTCGTTTTATCAGATTATCATTAAAATAACTTGAAAACACTAATTTAGTTTGTCGGGCTAAATTTAAACTCCAGACATTGATACCCAAATTGAACATTGTCCACAGGTCTTATGTCGATTTGAAGACATGGTAAATATTGCGCCATTCTATCGATTCAACAGCTTTATAGGTCTTATGATAGTGGTCAATTCTATACGAATGACGAATAGAGACAACCTATATTTGATATATTTGCATCAGAACTTGATCTGAGAGTAGCTGACCATATAATAAGTCCTAATTGTCAAGAGCACTTTGGCCAATCTGGCTACTCTACGATGCATCTGAGTCATTGGATTATCTGAAAACATCAGAAATTAATAGGATCAAAGCCCAATTCTTCAGACCAATTTTTTTTCAAAATGAGGAATGTTTTCTGCTTCATTATTCGTATTTTACAATATGTATTCGTAAATTGAACGCTCGTATTTGTTTAATACTTATGGCATTCTATTTTCTGATTGTCGAATTTATTTTCGTAACAAGCAAATTCGTGAAAGAGCATATTTATTGTTCGTAAATATTTTCATTTGTATTCGTAAGTTACACCGTTATATTCGATATTCGTTGCTTTATTAAGATCACGTGATCATTCTCAACGAGACCAACATTGTCAAAATAATGTCTAAGTCATCAACCCCCCCACACACCTAACAGTGCCGTGTCACGTGACGTGACTTATGCCTTATTTTTATATTCGTAAACTCACCCTTACACGTATTCGTAAATTCACATTTAGTTTGTTAAGTTTCATTTTATTATTCGCTAATGTACAAATATTTCTTTCCTTTACTGTAATATTTCATGGGTAAATATGCAAGGTAATTATTCGTAAAAATACGTTTCTTCGATTAACTGTTGGTAAGTTACTAAAATATTGCTAGTCCTTACAAACAGAAATGGCAACGTGCATGTAAAACCCGGATGTAAAACGAGCCCATAGATGGATCCGAATTAAAAGTCAAAATAAAGATGAAAACGTCTAGATCTGTAGATGTTTAGCTTGCTTTGAACAAGAGACTTAAATCACAAATAGAAAATGATGAACGAATGAAGGCTTTTGGAGATAACTGAATTACTGTTCTAAGACAGTGTGTCAATGCAATACATACAGTCACATGGTGAGAATTGTGCCAATACTACAGAATATTTGCGATTTCATAAATAAATAAATCATTCAAGTCAGGTTTGAATGTTTGCATATGCATCCGGCTTTATTAAGCAGAAGTCTGACAAAGATTTAACAGAAAATAGTAATGTATTTGGGTTTTTCTTCAATTGAAAGTTAAAAATTAAGTATTTAGATGATATTATCCATTTACAAGTCAATCAAAATTTTCCAACCAAACTGAATCACCTCGCCTATCTTGCGATCCTGGTTAAGCCTCTGGTATGACTGAAGACTCCTATTATTTTCTGGATTAACCTTAATCTTCCCATGTCCAATTTTCCTTATGCATACCATGTCACGGTGATCGATATGAGGAAAATGTGAACACGGAACATGCTACTTGGAGATGGAGGCCAATCGGACTCTGTTAGAATTTCATGACAAAATCTTACATGACTTCAGTAATATGAGTATTTGGATTTTCCAAAAATAAATCTTCTGAAATGGTTTAAATATCGTCCCATAATTACCACATTGTTATTACTCGTTTTTTGCAGATTTTGAGTTAAGTATTCTATTTTTTCTCAATTTTTCAGAAGGAATTTATTTCTAAGGTCCATTTCAATTGATCTCCTATCATCCTATCATCGTCAAATGATCCTAATAGACCCTGGTTGACTTCTGGCATCTTAACTTCTGCCAAAACTAAAAATAAGCTATATACCAAATATTTGAAAAATCCCTGTTGCAAAACAGGAAAAGCTTACAAGTCCTTCAACCATAAACTTAAGCACATAATTAAATACTCAAAACGTACACATTATCAAAATAAGTTTGCCGAAGTAAGTGGTAACATTAAAAAGTCTTGGTCTATCATTAATGAACTACTTGGAAAAAACAAAAAAGCTGCATTGCCATCTAAATTCACTATAAATGGAAAGGAAACAACAGATCATGAAATCATTTCCAATGGATTTAATAATTTTTTTACCAATATTGGTAAAAATCTAGCCAAGGAGATTCCAAAATCCAAAAAATGCTTTAATGAATACCTAGCAAGAGCTCAAAAAGTTCAATCATCTATTTATCTCAAAAAGACCTCAAAAACTGAGCTTGAATTAGAAATGTGTCTTCTAAAATCTTCCTCGCCTGGACCTGATGGGATTCTACCATCACTTATTAAGTCTGCAAGACAGTTTTTAATTGATCCACTCTTGTATATATTTAACTTATCTTTTAAATCTGGTATTTTCCCAGACGCCCTCAAATTGGCCAAAGTAACACCTGTATTTAAAAAAGGTGTCACTACAAATCCTTCGAACTATAGACCAATTTCAGTTTTATCTGTATTTTCTAAATTGTTAGAAAAGCTCATGCACGCCAAACTCACTGGTTTTTTAGAACGTTTTGAAATTATTTTTACTTATCAATTTGGATTTCAGAAATTCAACTCTACCTACATGGCCATTTTATATTTCATTGAACAAATTCGAAAATCAACTGATTTGGGGAAAACGAGCATTGGCATAACATTAGATTTTTCCAAGGCCTTTGACACAATAAATCATGACATTTTGATACAAAAACTTGAATATTATGGCATCAGAGGAATAGCTAAGTCCTGGTTTGAAAGTTATTTAAAAGACCGCAAACAATATGTCACCATTAAAAATTATGAATCTAAACAATCATCTCTAAATTGTGGTGTTCCGCAGGGCTCGGTACTTGGACCACTATTATTTATTCTTTACATAAATGATCTGCCTTTTGTTGCCCCTAATCTAAAATTTATTATGTTTGCTGATGACACCAATCTTCTTGATAGTGATTATGATTTAAATGAACTTATGACTAGAACTAATGCAAACTTGAATGCAATAGATGACTGGATAAAAGCAAACAAACTTTCACTTAATATTGGCAAAACCAATGCTATTCTATTTGGACCCCAAAAAAATCAAACAAATCAGAATCTTAAAATACGCAATGAGAACATAAATTTCCGGGAAAAAATTGACTTTCTTGGAATTATTATTGATAAAAACTTGAAATTTAAAGAGCACATAAAATCTGTTGAAACAAAGATTTCTCGCGTCATTGGTTCTCTTTATCACATTAAACATCTACTTCAAATAGACAGTTTCAAAACAATTTACTACTCATTGATACACTCTCAATTAAATTATTGCAACATAATCTGGGGTAACACATTTAAATCATTTTATGATCGTCTACATAAACTGCAGAAACAATTCTTAAGGCTAGCTTTAAATAAGGATAGACTTTCTCACTCCGCTCCCCTATTTAAAGATCTTAGAATATTAAATATTTTTGATGTCAACAGATATTGTACTAGTCAGTTCATGTACAAAATCTTTAATAAGCACCCCAGTCTTCCAAAAAATCTATTTCAAGACTTGTTTGATATCAACCTTAATATTCATCATCATTACACAAGACAATTGCATTATTTTCATATCCCTAAATGCTCTAAACTTTCCCTTCGCTATCTGGGTCCTAATCTTTGGAATGCTCTACCACATGATATTAAAAAATGCTCCACTCTAAATATTTTCAAATCTTCATATAAAAAACTACTCATCTATCGATAATGTATAATACCAATATCATACTATACTGTTGATTTTATACTGGTACCTGATTTTTGTAACATTTTTACATTGTACATCCTTAGATTAATTGTTAATACCATTTTTATATACCTACATGTAACATAATATAAGTGTTTTCTTTTATATGTAGTCTAGTTGTCATTTTAATGATTTCTATTAAACCGCAACATATACCCACTAGGGTGTCTAGCGGCTTGTTTTTTATAGTGTATATTATATAAGAATTATGAAATAAATAAATTGAATTGAAAAAAAAAAATTGAAAAAAAAAAAATTTCAGGTATTCCAGGTCCTAGACTAGTATGTTTTGTCTCCCTTCGCCCATTTTGTAGGTATTTATTCTTATTCAAATTTTCGACCTCATTTGACCTACTTTATTTGAAATTTTATTACACCTTCCTTGACAGTTTTGAATGACCTATAATATGCTACTTTAGTTTTTACAGTATATCTTCAACTTTGGAAATACCATTAATGTGAAAAAATTAATGAAAAATACATTAAGGATAATGGAACAAAAATTCAGTTTTCGGGGTTATTTTGATATTTCAAGAAAGAAATCAAGAAATCATAAAAAGACGTGTTTTATTTATTGGTTATCAGTGATTTTTGCTCCTGCAAGGCCTACATTTACCCGGGATTACCCATACGAAAAAACAAGTTTTTAAAAATTACTTCTCAAAAGTTAAAAGTCCCAAAATCTTCAACCTCTGATTTCTCTATATCAGCTGAAATGACAATGTGGAAATAATGG